TGCCTTCCAGAATGGCTGAGTTGCCAGCCATGGTTGACAGTACAGGCATCCATTGGGGCTGAGTACCCCATCCATCCACTTCCCTGGTGATGCTGTTTGCTTGTTTCATCCAAAATGGCTGGCTTGGAAATTCCGAATGCGAACATCTTCTGCAAATCGAGCTGTTTATGGTGTTTATGGTGTTTTTTCGATTTCCAGGTTAGATTACAGGAAGGTAAACTTCGCCGAGGGCTACCCCAATGCTCGTCATCTGGTTCTCCATCTCCCAGCCCAATGCTGTCGCCCAGCTCCTGCTTCTGTCTAGGGAGAGGGCAATAGGTCTCAAAACAACACCACTGTGCTTCGTCCTTGGCAAGTTCCAGTGGATCTGGCATGGTGAATTCAGGACCGATGAGCTCGGAAGTTCCGACCTCAGCAACCCTAAAACAGTGCCTGGTCCCCACAGGGTTAGAATAGAAATTGAAGCTGGTGAAGATCTTAAGTGCGTAACATTTGGGTCGATTCGCAAAACATGCGAGGCAAACCTGCCATAGCATGTCAAGGAATGGAAACTAATGGGAAAATAGCCTTGAGAAACAAGAGTGATTCTGGTGAAGCCTTTTTGATGGACACTCGCACTTACTATGTATATCTATGTATATATATGTATATCTATGTATATCTATGTATATCTATGATTATCTATGTATATCTATAGTACATCTATAGTACATCTAGAGGTAGTATATCTATAATATATCTATAGTATATCTAGAGGTAGTATATCTATAATATATCTATAGTATATCTGTAGTATGTCTGTAGTACATCTGTGTATCCATGTATTACTGTGTCATATTTGGGAATGTTACAAAAGGACTGCCATGTTCATCTTGCCAAGTGCAAAGGGGGTCAGGAGAAGGGACCCCTGGTGGTACATGACGGCTGCACCAAGGAGGGCAGTAGACGTGCCCATCAGCACCGAAGACGCCGGACCTGAGAATTCCAGCATGCAACAGCTTGACCCCACCGTCTCCACCATGTTCCATCGAGCCAGGCCTCCACTTTCCAGCACCAAGACCCAAGTCGGCACCTCCAACTGGTTTCAACTTGGTGCACTTCCCGAAGTCAACCCCGCAAATGCCATGGAAAAGTCTGCCGCGAAGGAACAGCACTATGAACCAACGACATACCAACAACTCCATGGATGCCCCGCCTACAATCTGCACATCGATTTGCTGAGGCTCCCGTGGATCGATGCGCAGCACATGACTGGCATTCCTTCAGTGACGATGCTCGGCAAAAAGTCGACAGCCCTAGAAAACCCATCACCATCCATTATCCCAAGACATGTATTATATATGTGTAGTATACATCCAAATCATATAACGCACCCACACACACACATACATATATTAGTACAATATGCACATACATATTAGTGTATGCATCTGTATATACACTAGTAGCTAGTAGCTAGTATCTGCATAACTACTTTCTGTATATCCAATGTTACTGACCTGAGATGGCCTGACCTGAGATCAGGCCATCTCGAAACTAAGGCTCCTACCATGGAGGGCAGATCACAATGCCACTGGGTGTTGAGATGGCCTGTGGGTGAAACTGCATCCGTAGAAATTCTGTAGCCAATTTTCTCGTTTTGATCTTCCCAATTTGTCGCGAATATCGCCAGCCACGTAGAGTAAGGAGTCGACTGCTCGCCACTTTTGATCACCATGGTCAGTGAGGCAAGGGCCTCCACAAAAAAATGGCAGTCCAAAATCACCACTGAACCACGTCTCTGAGGATGGCAGAAGATACGGGCCTACCAATTGTGCATACCACATCTTGTTCTCATTGAAGCTCCTTACACCAACCACACTCGCGAAGAGTCATATTTGGTGAACTCTGTGGCTTGAGTTTGACATATTTTGAAATTGTAGAACGCAAACTGCAACAAGCATATTTAATATTATTTAATCATTTTTCCCTGGCTGAGAGTATGTCGAAGGTCTCATTCATTCTGAGCTTTCTAAGTCATTGGCTCTGGTTCTTCTGGCTCAAACATGGCTCAGAATTGTCGGATTCCCAGCTACAGGTTTTTTATTTTTAGATCCGTCCTTTCCCAAAAGGAAAGTGCTTCTGAATTATGTAGACTTTAATGTAAATTATGTAGACTTTAATGTATTTTAATGTCACTTTCCTTTCTTAGTTGTTGATAGTTGTTGAATCAATTTGATTGGATTTTGATAGATTTTGTTTGTTCCAGAAAACCTTTCCCAAAGGGCGAAGCTTTAACTTCAACCACTGAACCGTATGTTGGATTGGGTTGCTCAGGTCAAGAGCTGGATGCGAGCTGACTTTGCAAACCCGCTGAAGCTTTGAGGCGAAAAGCATCGAGCACTGCGCATTCCATCACATGTCTTGCGAATCTTGTCCAATTTCACGCACAAAAATCCCATTGCACTTGGCATGCACCGACCATGGCATGCCACGACTCCACACTTTTTCGTTCCCTTTGGGCCGAGGACCTGCTCAGACTGCTGTGATCTGCTGTTGGAAGGTGCATTGACCGTGAACGTTTCCGTGACCCGCCTCTTTCTCAGGTCGTGAAACACAGCAAGAATCCTGTCTCATCCTGACTCTCATCCCGAATCCCGACTCTATCCGACTCTCATGCTCTCTTTGTGTAATCAAGAACCAGTGGTGATCAGTCTTCTTCCAAAATCATAATAAAGCAAAGTCTGCCACCAAATCGCGAACATGCTCGGTGAAGGGTTGTCTCGAATCTAAATCCGAAATCCCTCTTTGATATTCTTTGAATTTCTTTGACAGGAGTACTTACTTTACTTGGGTAATGAGATCTTTTTATCTCCAAATTTCCATCAGGATGCAACGGGCTTGCGCTGCCCTACAAACAATCTCCCAACAATGCAGGAGCTGCGACCCCAGCCATCAAGGTCGCCAACAAATACCCCGGGTTCGAACTGGGCTTGTATTTCGCTGTGGGCTGACTTCACGCGGTGCAAACCTTGTGCAGTTCGGGCTCCCATGACTCTCTTTTGGCGATTTTGGTGAGCCGCCCATCCTTGGTTCACAGATCATGTTCAGAATTGCGCAGCAATAGATTGCAACCTGCCACAAGTCTTTGTGTACCCTGCATCATCGGTTATATTGGCTGTAGCTAATCATAATTTTCCCTACCAAAAGGGGCGTTTTGGGGGTCTTGTGCCATTTTCAGACACACCCAGAAATTATTGGTTACAGGCAAAGAGTATTGACAGCCACAATACACCCACCATTTTTATCCCCATTTTGGTTCTTTTGGTTGGTTTGTATCCGAATTTCTGTTGATAAATCCTGAGGATTTCCAAGATTTCCAAGATGTAGTGCGTTCATTTCCCACTAAATGTCATTACAGTACATCCCCGTTAAACCTCGATCGTCGCTGCTTCAACGCAACTGAGATACTTATGGAGCTGCATCTCCCGCGGTGAGATTCTTGGACTGGACAAGCGGCGATCTTCGCCTGGTGAAACTATTGCATGGTCCTGTCCTACCGAAATAGCACTTTGATGCAGTTGTTAATATCTTACATTAGTTTTCATCACCATGATATAACATGATATAACAAACAAATTAGAGTTCAAGAAACATAAGAAATGATCAGCAGATACGCGCGCACATATGACATCATTATGACCAAGTCAAACTCCGTAAGGTACTTCACGCAACAAACATCTGGTCTTGTCGGTGGCCTCCACTCTTTGGCAGCGGGGAATTCCGCGCTGCTGTGGGACTTGTCGCTCTGGAAGTCGCCTCGCGCTTCTTGCTACACCGGCGCTGGAAGAGAGGCATCATGCGACATAGGAACAGCTCAGAAATCTAGAAGCGAACATGTTGACCGATCAAATTATTCTGATAATGTTTAATATGAAGGTATGTTATCTGATTGGTACATACAGCATGTCCACCTTGGAAAAGGTCAAATATCTTCAAACACAGAGCATGTTTCTCAAGAAACGCATCGTCCTCCGACTGGAAGATGGCACTCCTGCAGCACATTTTGTTCGTGCCAACATCCATAGTCGTTGGACCATGCTCTTTTCTTCTGTCTATGTTCAAGCAATTGGAGGCACAGCGAACATTTCAAAAATAGCAAATGATAACAGCATTTTCAATCAGCTAAAAATCTTCCTCTCTCTAATTATATATAGAGACATGTATAGTGTGTGTGTATATATGTATATATCTTAATATGTATATATATATATGTATGTATGTATGTATGTATATATATATATGTATATATATATATGATTATATATGATATATATGTATGATTCCTGGTTTCTGATGAGAACAGGCCGACATGCAGACCTACAAGCACGAGGCGAACAAGGCAATGCTTTTGCTCGAGGCCCGAGGCCTCAAGCGTCAAGTGTCTGGCAGTCGTTTGATGTTGCGGCCTGTATCATGCTGTGCAAGGATCTTGTGCAGAACTCTGGTTTTGGCCACCAACTTCTTGACTTTGCGACTTAGGCTTTGTTTGTCTACCCCAGTCCATAGAGCTTTCTCCCAACATTCTGGAAGGCATAAACTCGAAAATCTCTGCATCCCGAGGCCAAAACTCTGGCAAGGAGACATTGCACCTTGAGCTGGTGGCATCCCAAAAGCATCTTCTGCGAGCTCAACTGAGCTGTTGACTGGAAAGACCAAAGGTATCCAAGCCTCCGAAGGCCTCTGGACCAGCACAGGTTGGTGGAAAGCGCACAGAGTCCGGAAATGGGGGATACCGAATACCCCAAAATGATGATTTTGATGGTGAACATGACTGTCAACCAACTAAGCATGTTCAGACCACACCTAAAAAGGTTCGAAGGATGATATGTGAGTGCCAACGCTGAGATACAGGCGGCTTTCTGACGACGAACGAATATCTTGGGATCTTCAGAGAAAGTACTTCCTTGACGATTCGGCGATGGAGAGGAAGCAAGTCAACCAAATAAAATACATTCAACAGTGTGAAACACATGTGCATATACTATGTCTATACGAGGATAACACAGGATAATCAAATATCTAGTGTATGTGACGGTTTGTCAAAATGTCTGTTCCCGGTTTTGTTGATAAATCGCAATTCCATGCGTGCCGCCTCATGTTTGCCTTTAAAAAACATGACCTACCTTGATGAGGTGAAAACGTGGAAATTCTTCGTCACCTTTGGAAATCTTTCTAAAACCACAGGAATCGGCTAACGCACGTCGGTTTTCATTCGCTGTCGCTGGTACTATCTCCTGAACTGTGTGTCTCTGTGTCTTCTTGACATGCCTCCTGATCAACGCTGTTTCCTTACTGTAAGCTACCAAAGCGTGAACATGGCTGTGCCTCTGAATGGGCTGCGGGTGGACCGGGGCATGTATTTGCAATTTTCGCTAGCGCGTTGCTAGCGGCGATCTAGCGCGTAAAATACGTAAAAAAATCGAAAATTTGGGAATATGTGGAAACTGACAGACTTGTAAGAAAAGCTGGCAAGACATTCACGACATGGAGGCCATGGCTGTCAATCAAAGCTAGCGCAAACCTAGCGGGTTTGCTAGCGCTGCCTTGCAGAATTGCCGAATTTAGTTGCGTGCCGCCTCATAACGAAGAGGAAAAAACAGTAGACCCAGATGAATTATCAACAACCAATACTAAACTTCTAAACAACTATTTTTGACAAATGGTCATGTACCTATCTACCTTATCAATTATCACTATTATGATACAAGTACGTTGCAGACTTCAAAAGGTCGACCTGCAACGGAGGTCTCAGTGCTGGGCCATCCAAAGCTGCCCAACGCCCTGGACAATGATCAGGGGAATGTGCTGCCCAGCGGCCAGGGCCATTCCTGGCCAGTCCTTGCGGCGCGGTGATTCTCATCGGCCTATATCCACATATTATATATATATATTATATAAATATCCTCCATCTCTCTCTCTCTCTCTATCTCTCTATCTCTTTATCTATCTATCCATCCATCCATCCATCTATCTATTTAATATAACATTATATAACCCCATATAATATTCAACAACCCCCTAGGAAACATGGTTTAGTAAGTTTGGTAGGGGATGTAATCACATATTTGGGACCATTTATGGGGTGTTAGTATTGTTTAATACTAGGGGGATAGGATTTACACTGGAGGCTGGGTATACGATCTGCCTGGCTATATAAAGAAGTGGACACCTTCCCAAGCAAGTGCATTCTGTCAGGGCTCTATCTACTGATTACAAACAGCGGATGTGCTTCATCCTGACAAATCTTACAAGAATCTTTACGACCTGTACCAGTCAAGTGACTCAAGTGGAACAATCATGGAATGATTCGCAACTTACAAAGGCATGTGCACAGCAATTGTAGGTTCCAGTGAGGCTTTCTGCAGCTGAGTTTGCTGGCCAGTTTGAGCAACATGAAGCTCTGGACCAATGATCCAATGGCCAGTCCTCGGCAGAGCATGCAATGCCAATGACTGAAACAATCGCAGCACAACAAAACATCGGATTTCTGTTCATTTAGTTCCAATGGGTTAGTAAAAGTGAAATGGTATCACTTTGGATGATTTCGGGTACCACTTTTTTAGGTACCCCCCATATTTGTCTAAGTTAACAATGACAATACCATACAATCATCACCAATCCTACGTACAGCTTTGGAATCTCTATATAGACAAATGCGACAGCACTGTGTCAGGCAACATCATTGCAACAGCAAACATTCCAATCCCAGGGCTGATGTTGCGGACTCCGGCCAAAAGAAGATGTACTTCGGAAAGTGATCCTGACAAGGAATCTGATCCACTGCTCAATATGCCGTCATTGCCCAACTGAGAAACTCAAGTTCCTATCTTTTGGCAGAATCTTGGGCGAGTGCCAAACATACTAAACCAAGCAAGAAAATTACAGTTCTTTTTTCCCCCGCTGCTGGCTGCCAATCAATGCAATGGCTCTACAATCTCTTTGAATGCGACAGTCAAACACAACTTGAGACCTCCTCATCGTCTTCCTCTGGCCGCCTTAGAGAGCACAAGCAGAGCTCATGCTGGATGATGTTGCATAATGTCGCAGGCTGTCGCAGGATGTCACAGGAGCCAATTTGATCTTAGCACTGGACATTTTCTTCCAAGCTGGCCTAGAGGCCCACCTACCGAGGGCGCTGTGTGACGCAAAGTACTCATGCAGGATCTTATGATAGCTGGCAAACAGTGGTTCTGAAGACGTTTGTTGTCGGTGGTAGAAACAAAATGATTCAAATGGAGGCTTTTGCTGCAGCAATGTGCCCTACATCACATCCCTACAACCGTACGAGTAGGAGGATTGAATCATGCCGGCTTCAATCTCTATAAATGGTTATAAAATGATATGAATGATATAGATGCAGTGCTCCCATCTCCCTCAAGCTGAGCTAGTTGCGACGCACATTAAACACGCACTTGTAGCATGCAAGCTTTGAGGCAACCTTTGGGCCACTTTTGACCCTCGAAACACCTTCTACCGCTGGGACCACCTGGATACGGAAAATATCTATAACATTTTAAGGAATTTTAAGGAATTTATGAAAATATCTACAACACTTGATTTCATTCCCAAATATTCCCAGTGCTTCTGCTATCCCTCTTGCTAGTTGCCATGCAAACCCAAGAAGTGGGGCTTCCTCCAAGAATTCCCTGGCGTGTCTCTACCTTTGTCTCCGTACACCCACTGCTCGGTCCCAGCCACATGGATTCAGGAAGGAGCTCATATGAGCCATTCAGTGACTGCACCCTGAGGAACAAATCATGAGAAATGTTCCAACTCACTGCTCCATGCATCTCCATGCTACTCCATTGACTCAACCTACTCAACCTCAATGTGACACCAGGCTGCACATCTGCAAGACACAGCCACCCAGCCACATATTCACCCTTCCATTTTCCAGATATTTTTTGCATTTTTTTGCCTGCTTCCACAGCCACCCACACACAAGAATGTAGGCGATGCATCTGTCCCGGAAGCCATGAGTTGAAGCCATTCCGTTGGCCTCATACATTGTCACATCAACTTCAAAGAGCACATGTTTCTTTTGAGGACTGAAGGCCGGGATTCCATTTAGGGAGAATCATCACAGAGGACAGACTGTCATCAACTGGAGTACCACTCGCCAAGTTGCATCAGCTGATCAGAGAGCAAAGCGCTGGGAGGTGCCTCAAAAGGCTTGGCTTCAAGTGGTAATGCTACTTTATCCACATTTCATCAAGGCCCAATGATGTCAATGAGATGGCTAGACTGCTTCAGGAGTAACATTTGCACCGGTGTTCACGTGAGTTCCCATTCCCCTGCAGGACTTCATCAGGTGTGAAAGATCAAGCTTGGATGGCGGCTCTGGAAGTTGACAAACGGTGATGAAAGCCAGGAACCTGCAAAGTCACACATCTAAAATCTAGATCCCGCCGTTTGATACCAAGATATACCAAGGTCATGGACAACCTATGGTCCCAAGATGTCCCAAGGTTACCCAACGTTGGCACCGGCCTGACTATCAGCTGCATCCCAAGCTGGAGCCTCCTTTCAGTGTCCCAGGATCCGTGGCTCTCCCTGCCACTTCTGTCGGTACGTCGTACGAAAACGTGCGTTGCGCTCCTGCGGAAGCAAAGAACTCCAAGCTGGTCCGCTTCTTGCAAGGACCTGACGCGCTTTTAAGCTTGACTCAAGGCAGTAATATCAAAAAGCATCATTTCTTTAGCAAACATGTTCAACAACTACATCGAGTACTCTGCTGAATTTGTCTTTGACACATAAAATACGTAACATGGTGTAACAACACTGCTTTTTGTAGCTGTGCCGTCGGCCTGGCCAAATCGCCCCAGCACATCTGGTCTAGCGAACCTCATCTGTCACATGATGTCAATCATATACCGAAGGACGATCTCTTCAGATTTTCGATGCACTGTCCAAACTGATCGAAACTTCATTCCACTGGATACTTCTCAAGGATGATCGCTTGCACTGTGCTTGCGACGCTATCGCGTGGTTTGCCGCCAGAGGTGAGATTGTGCTGACCTGAGAGTCTTGAAGGGCAGTGCAGCACTTTGGCGCTCAGCGGGTTTGCGTAAATCCCATCTGCCACAGTTGATTCCATGGAACTGCAGGAAATTGAACTCTAAAAAATCAAAATCACAGGAAGAACTGAAAGAAATGTAAAGAAATGATAAAACTATATAAGACTCTGCACTCTGAGAGTAGGACCACCCAGTATCCAGACCGAGGCTCGAAGAAGAGGAAAAGTCCAGGCCTTTACAGCAAGACAGTCGAGGCACACAGAAAAAGGAGTGGCTTCAATTTCTGGGAATCCGACTGTGAAGGCAAGCTTGGCCTCCAGGAAATCAACATTATTCATGTTTGGCAGTTGTAGAACTCACTTTTCTTCCAGCTATCAAATCCCGGATGTCAACATACAGCTACATGCTTCGCGTCTTTTGTTGCACCTGGGGCCGCATGTTTGCAGTGGAGCTCGCCTGTACACCTGGCAAAGAATTTGCTTCAGCACAACACACACGGACCATCCCAAGCTTTGGAAATTGTTGCTGGTGCCACCGGCCGCTTTCCATATCTCTGGCGCAGCCTCAGTTGCCAAACTGCTGGTGCACTCTGTGCAGAAAACTGGCCATCGCATGTGGTCGATTTCGTCATGGGAGTCATAGGGCGACATCTTCTGAACAGTGGATAGTCGGATAGCCTTTGGTTTCTTGAGAGCGCTGCAACCTGAAGTCACCTGCTAGTGGATGTTCTGCCAAAGCCTGGTGGAGAGAATATGACGACGTCTGCTTTGACGTTTCTGACTACGGGATCTCTGGCCTGCGCTTCAGCCTCTGGACCTGCAAAGAGATGCGCAATTGCGTATACCCTCGGCTAGTCACAATGTCAAACATTGGACATCCAGTACGTTTGATCACCAGAGGGCAGTTTCCATACTGCAGACCATGGTCCGTAGCATATCAGTAGCATGTCCGTAGAGATCGAAGGCTGGGCCTTGATAAAAGAATGAAACCGTCCTGGAAGGCGATCGATCTTCCACCGCCACCACCTCTGCACGGATGCGAAAAATGGTCATGGCGGCATATGGCGGCCACCCCTATCATCCAACAGCGCGCCCGTGCCTCAAGTGCAGGGCAGTTCTGGAAGTTGGAGTCCTGACACCAAACCAGACTCAAAAAGCTAGGCAAGTATATCAAAACTAGGGATACAAATATCTAGGATCCATCTTCAAATGATTTCAATTGCAAACATTGTAAGTTCACATTATATAAGTGGCTGCCATACTATTTGCACAGGCTACATATGGCTACATCATGCAAGATCATACAAGTACAAGTATTACATACAGAGAACAACAGGCAAATACAGGCAATGCTAGATGCACACCTGATGCACACCAGATGAGAAACATGACGGTCATGGGCCATGTTGGGCTGGATTTCCACTCCCCATCCACTTGAATCTTGGCTAGCTTTGTTTGCTTCGTTTGATCCGATGATAAATCTTGGTTGTGGTCTTCAACACGTGGCATGGAAGTCAAGTTTTGCATAGCTAAAACAATGCAAACACCCATCAACAACATGAAAATAGGACAACCACACACATATATATATATATAAAATATATATATATAATTAGTTCTGAATGTTCTTTATCAATTTATTGGTTCTTTGATGTTTTTTGGACTAGTGACCCGTTTGGTGCAAATTGCTGACATCGCCTCTGGTATCTGCATCTCATTCTTCCTGCGCCCGATGCTGAGCTCCGGCTCCATGGTCTGCAGCGCTGATCGAAGAGCAATATGATTCATATATGATTCATATGATTCACCATTGCTGTAGGATTTTGCTTGTCTAATCTTTTCTATATTGGGGGTTGCCATAAATCTATATAAATCATTATACATCTAGAATTACTAATCCGCCGACCCCGGCAGACGCAAGGGGGAGCGCCCCAGGGAATAAGACAAGCAAAGACAAGCAAGTTTAGCCGCACTAGCAGCAAGAGCAGCAGCAGCAGCAGCAGCAGCAGCAGAAGCGATAGCATGTATTTTCTCCGCAGGTAGGCTGCTGAGTTTTTGTGCACCAGCTTCCCGGAACTCTTGTGGGTCGGCCATGTAGGAATGCATGGTTGTCTTCGGATAATAAGCGTCCGACGCGAAGTTCGGCTTGCAGGGCCTGTTCGTCCTTCCGTGCCTTGCTGTTTTGGTGCCGGGAGGTGCTTTTGATACTCTTCTGTTAGCAGCAGCAGGTGCTTTTGGGCAGCAGCAGCAGCAGGTGAGCTGGTGGGAGATTGAAAAAGTGGAAAAGATTGAGAAAAAGACAGGGAGCAGCAGGCAGCAGGCAGCTGCAGGCAGCAGCAGGCAGCAGCAGGCAGCAGCAGACACCAGCAGAGGCAGCAGCAGGCAGCGGCACAGCAGACACCAGCAGAGGCAGCAGCAGGCAGCAGCAAGCAGCAGCAGGCAGCAGCAGGCAGCGGCAGGCAGCGGCAAAGTTGCAATTTTATAGTAGGGTTTCAGAAGTGACGTTAGGCCCTTTTTTGGGGTTCCTTTGCTACGTTTTGGGCACGACATTAGGTGGTGTTTTTGCTGTTTCGGATATGTTTCGAAAAGGGTGTCTGGCTGTTTGTTTCTTGCTTTGGAGGCTGTTTGATTGCAGCAGCACCACAGCAGCAGCAGCAGCTACCAGCAGCAGCACCAGCAGCAGGCAGCAGCAAGGAGCAGCAGGCAGGCAGCAGCAGGCAGCAGCAGGTAGCAGCAGGCAGCACCAGGCAGCAGCAGGCAGCAGCAGGCAGCAGCAGACACCAGCAGAGGCAGTAGCAGGCAGCGGCAGGCAGCGGCAGGCAGCGGCAGGCAGCGGCAAAGTTGCAATTTTAAGTAGGGTTTCAGAAGTGACGTTAGGCCCTTTTTTGGGGTTCCTTTGCTACGTTTTGGGCACGAAATTAGGTGGTGTTTTGCTGTTTCGGATGTGTTTCGAAAAGGGTGTCTGGCTGTTTGTTTCTTGCTTTGGAGGCTGTTTGATTGCAGCAGCACCACAGCAGCACCACAGCAGCACCACAGTAGCAGCAGCAGCAGCAGCAGCAGCACCAGCAGCAGGCAGCAGCAGGGAGCAGCAGGCAAGCAGCCGCAGGCAGCCGCAGGCAGCTGCAGGCAGCAGCAGGCAGCAGCAGGCAGCAGCAGACACCAGCAGAGGCAGCAGCAGGCAGCAGCAGACACCAGCAGACACCAGCACACACCAGCAGAGGCAGCAGCAGGCAGCAGCAAGCAGCAGCAGGCAGCGGCAGGCAGCGGCAAAGTTGCAATTTTATAGTTGGGTTTCAGAAGTGACGTTAGGCCCTTTTTTGGGGTTCCTTTGCTACGTTTTGGGCACGACATTAGGTGGTGTTTTGCTGTTTCGGATATGTTTCGAAAAGGGTGTCTGGCTGTTTGTTTCTTGCTTTGGGGGGGGGGGGGGGGGGGGGGAAAGGCTGTTTGATATGCGCAGCAGCCACCAGCAGCAGCACCAGCAGCAGGCAGCAGCAAGGAGCAGCAGGCAGGCAGCAGCAGGCAGCAGCAGGTAGCAGCAGGCAGCACCAGGCAGCAGCAGGCAGCAGCAGGCAGCAGCAGACACCAGCAGAGGCAGTAGCAGGCAGCGGCAGGCAGCGGCAGGCAGCGGCAGGCAGCGGCAAAGTTGCAATTTTAAGTAGGGGTTCAGAAGTGACGTTATGTGGCAGGAAAAGGGAGGAAATGAAGAAGAGGGACCCTTTTTTGGGGTTCCTTTGCTACGTTTTGGGTACGAAATTAGGTGGTGTTGACGTTAGGCCCTTTTTTGGGGTTCCTTTGCTACGTTTTGGGTACGAAATTAGGTGTTTTTTTGCTGTTTCGGATGTGTTTCGAAAAGGGTGTCTGGCTGTTTGTTTCTTGCTTTGGAGGCTGTTTGATTGCAGCAGCACCACAGCAGCACCACAACAGCAGCAGCAGCAGCCACCAGCAGCAGCACCAGCAGCAGGCCGCAGGGAGCAAGCAGAGCCAGGCAGCAGCAGGCAGCAGCAGGCAGCAGCAGGCAGCAGCAGGCAGCAGCAGGCAGCAGCAGACACCAGCACACACCAGCAGAGGCAGCAGCAGGCAGCGCCAAGCAGCGGCAAAGTTGCGATTTTATAGTATAGGGTTTCAGAAGTGATGTTAGGCCCTTTTTTGGGGTTCCTTTGCTACGTTTTGGGCACGAAATTAGGTGGTGTTTTGCTGTTTCGGATGTGTTTCGAAAAGGGAGTCTGGCTGTTTGTTTCTTGCTTTGGAGGCTGTTTGATTGCAGCAGCACCACAGCAGCAGCAGCAGCCACCAGCAGCAGCACCAGCAGCAGGCAGCAGCAAGGAGCAGCAGGCAGGCAGCAGCAGGCAGCAGCAGGTAGCAGCAGGCAGCACCAGGCAGCAGCAGGCAGCAGCAGGCAGCAGCAGACACCAGCAGAGGCAGTAGCAGGCAGCGGCAGGCAGCGGCAAAGTTGCAATTTTAAGTAGGGTTTCAGAAGTGACGTTAGGCCCTTTTTTGGGGTTCCTTTGCTACGTTTTGGGTACGAAATTAGGTGGTGTTTTGCTGTTTCGGATGTGTTTCGAAAAGGGTGTCTGGCTGTTTGTTTCTTGCTTTGGCGGCTGTTTGATTGCAGCAGCACCACAGCAGCAGCAGCAGCAGCCACCAGCAGCAGCACCAGCAGCAGGGAGCAGCAGGCAGGCAGCCGCAGGCAGCCGCAGGCAGCTGCAGGCAGCAGCAGGCAGCAGCAGGCAGCAGCAGACACCAGCAGAGGCAGCAGCAGGCAGCGGCAGGCAGCGGCAAAGTTTCAATTTTACAGTATGGTTTCAGAAGTGACATTAGGTTCTTTTTTGGGGTTACTTTGCTACGTTTTGGACACGAAATTAGGTGGTGTTTTGCTGTTCCGGATGTGTTTCGAAAAGGGTGTCTGGCGGTTTGTTTCTTGCTTTGGCGGCTGTTTGATTGCAGCAGCACCACAGCAGCACCACTGCAGCAGCAGCAGCCACCAGCAGCTGCAGGGAGCCGCAGGCAGCAGCAGGCAGGGGCAGGCAGCAGCAGGCAGCAGCAGACACCAGCAGAGGCAGCAGCAGGGAGCAGCAGGCAGGCAGCAGCAGGCAGCAGCAGGCAGCAGCAGGCAGCAGCAGACACCAGCAGCAGGCAGCAGCAGGCAGCAGCAGGCAGCGGCAAGCAGCGGCAAAGTTGCGATTTTATAGTATAGGGTTTCAGAAGTGATGTTAGGCCCTTTTTTGGGGTTCCTTTGCTACGTTTTGGGCACGAAATTAGGTGGTGTTTTGCTGTTTCGGATGTGTTTCGAAAAGGGTGTCTGGCTGTTTGTTTCTTGCTTTGGAAGCTGTTTGATTGCAGCAGCACCACAGCAGCAGCAGCAGCCACCAGCAGCAGCACCAGCAGCAGGCAGCAGCAGGGAGCTTTCCGTGCCTTGCTGTTTTGGTGCCGGGAGGTGCTTTTGATACTCTTCTGTTTGCAGCAGCAGGTGCTTTTGGGCAGCAGCAGCAGCAGGTGAGCTGGTGGGAGATTGAAAAAGTGGAAAAGATTGAGAAAAAGACAGGGAGCAGCAGGCAGCAGCAGGCAGCAGGCAGCCGCAGGCAGCAGCAGGCAGCAGCAGGCAGCAGCAGACACCAGCAGAGGCAGCAGCAGGCAGCGGCACAGCAGACACCACCAGAGGCAGCAGCAGGCAGCAGCAAGCAGCAGCAGGCAGCGGCAGGCAGCGGCAAAGTTGCAATTTTATAGTAGGGTTTCAGAAGTGACGTTAGGCCCTTTTTTGGGGTTCCTTTGCTACGTTTTGGGCACGAAATTAGGTGGTGTTTTGCTGTTTCGGATGTGTTTCGAAAAGGGTGCCTGGCTGTTTGTTTCTTGCTTTGGAGGCTGTTTGATTGCAGCAGCACCACAGCAGCAGCAGCAGCCACCAGCAGCAGCACCAGCAGCAGGCAGCAGCAGGGAGCAGCAGGCAGGCAGCACCAGGCAGCAGCAGGTAGCAGCAGGCAGCAGCAGGCAGCAGCAGACACCAGCAGAGGCAGCAGCAGGCAGCAGCAGGCAGCGGCAGAGGCAGCAGCAGGCAGCAGCAGGCAGCGGCAGGCAGCGGCAAAGTTGCAATTTCATAGTAGGGTTTCAGAAGTGACGTTAGGCCCTTTTTTGGGGTTCCTTTGCTACGTTTTGGGCACGAAATTAGGTGGTGTTATGCTGTTTCGGATGTGTTTCGAAAAGGGTGTCTGGCTGTTTGTTTCTTGCTTTCGAGGCTGTTTGATTGCAGCAGCACCGGCAGCAGCAGGCAGCAGCAGGTAGCAGCAGGCAGCACCAGGCAGCAGCAGGCAGCAGCAGGCAGCAGCAGGCAGCAGCAGACACCAGCAGAGGCACCAGCAGAGGCAGTAGCAGGCAGCGGCAGGCAGCGGCAGGCAGCGGCAGGCAGCGGCAGGCAGCGGCAGGCAGCGGCAGGCAGCGGCAAAGTTGCAATTTTAAGTAGGGTTTCAGAAGTGACGTTAGGCCCTTTTTTGGGGTTCCTTTGCTACGTTTTGGGCACGAAATTAGGTGGTGTTTTGCTGTTTCGGATGTGTTTCGAAAAGGGTGTCTGGCTGTTTGTTTCTTGCTTTGGAGGCTGTTTGATTGCAGCAGCACCACAGCAGCAGCAGCAGCAGCAGCCACCAGCAGCAGCACCAGCAGCAGGCAGCAGCAAGGAGCAGCAGGCAGGCAGCAGCAGGCAGCAGCAGGTAGGAGCAGGCAGCAGCATATGCAATCATAGGACTATAAACACCTGGCTCGCGCCAGATTCGCCTTGCCAAAACGACGCAAATGCAGCCGACCATGGATCCCTTGGGCCCCCCGACAGGCTGAGACTCTGAATATCGAGAAACCGCTTATAAATGGTCGTACCGCCATGGAGCAGAATCAACTGAATCGGAAAACACACAGACAACCTTAACAAATTGTAACTGTAACTGAGACTTGGGAAGCCTGTGCTGATTAACATTTACTCTTTATCTAAACTACTCCAAGATCGACAAAACATGATGCTGGCTAGTTGAGTCCCTAAAGTAGCTAAAGGCTGGAAACTATCAACCAATTGTCAAAAAAAACTCAGACCATCATCTGATATATGATATAACTGTCATATAACCACATGACCATTCTTCCGGGGTCGGCGGCAGGGGCGGCAGCCCTTAAATTATCAGCTAAAGACAGCAAACGCACATGTAGTATGTAATGCACATGTATATGGCATATGGGTAGTACTGTGGAAACACCTCTGGGGCACCGGGCGCGAAGTTGCCATGGACCAAGATCTCTTGGGGCACCTTCCTTAGATTAATACATGTAAAATGTAAAACGAAAAGATGTGCAGCTCAAGCAGACTTGGGCCATGGCTTCTTCTGAGCAAAGCACCTCCAAGAGATTAAAACTGAGATCCAGCGACACTCACGGACAACTATGTCCTGTTCTTCCTTCTTTCCCTCTTCTGTTTTCTTCTTTTCCCTCTTCTTGATAGTCCAGGTCGAGAAAGAGACTCGTTCTTGCTCCACCATCAGCCAACATCTCAAAACCATTCAAAACCCAACATCAAGACACATCAAGACACATCAAGACACATCAAGACATATCAAGACCACAGAACCACCACAGAACGACAGAGCTGCAGCATGCCTCGTCCCAGCCAACCGGACTTCGTGCCAAGACGCTGAGACCTTTGGCGCCCACCTCTGGAGCCACCTTGCGAGATGGGATGGGAGACATGCGGCAAGACATCGCTAGAAAATCGGGCCTTCCACCGAAATGTCAAGTCGTTGTAGAAGAGAAAGAGGTGCCTTTCCTGGACAAACTAGGCTGTTTGAACTTTCCATAGTCTGAAATCTGAAGCCTGAAGCTTTGACTTTGTCGTCACATTAATGCAAAACATGTTCCGGCGCCTGTCCAACCCTGTCATCATCCAGAATGCCTGATGCCACTTGAATCCAACAAAGGATATTTGATGGCACATGTATCTGGTATTAGGACTTTTTCAGCTCTTTGCAGGTGAACTCAGTGCAAAGCTCCAGCGAATCTGGCTAATGACGCTAGTAATCGCTGCCGCATGCCAGCATTTTCACGCCTCCACGCTGTCGCAAAGGTGCCTTTGAGCAGCTAAAGCCAAGATTCAATTGTGGTTGAGGCTGACACAAGGAAGATTCACACAGCAACAGAATCTAACAACTAACAGTAACTAACAGTAACTAACAGTAACTAACAGTAACTAACAGTAACTAACAGTAACTAACAGTAACTAACAGTAACTAACAGTAACTAACAACAATGTGACTACGTCACCATGGCCCCCATGTGCCTTGATAAAGACAGGACGATCTCCATAAAGCTGATCAGATCTCACATAGTCACCGCTGATACCTTCGTCAAGGGCCACGGAATTTCACGGACACCTTCGTCAAGCCTCATATGGCATCTGGGTGTTGGACCGAAGCTCTCTGCGATGCCCTCGTGGTTTAAAAAGTGGAGACACAGGATGTACTCAGTTTCCTGCTAGGAATTGGACGGCGACACAATTATACAGTGGCAAAACAGTTCATGTTGATATGTGCACACACACACACATATTCAAGTCACGTCAATATCCAAATACTATTCAGGAATATTTTGTAACACGCACACACACACACACGAACACGAAGTCTATTGAAAGATATTGAAAGTTACCTGCTAGATTGCTCCTCTCAATGCCTTTGCATGGTGCAAAGGTCAGCACTACAGGATTTCAACATACAAGTGCATGCAATGACTCTACATGTTGCAGTGACATGTCCTAGGATTCCTGCCTGCTCTGTGCCGCAGATCTCTGCGGTCTCAGTGATATCCAATGCCTCTTTGGGTGATCCGTCAGATTTGTCAGGGCTCTTTGGGCTCAAAGAGCCTGAACGCTGAGAAGCCTCAGCGGAGGAAATGCTGATGCAGTTGGGTTGCAAACATGAAACACAAAGGATCAACCCGTTCTGCCATAGAGATCCATGAAGACCCACAAATGCAACCCAAATCTGAGGTGAACACATAGGATAGTGATCGCCCGATGCTGCTGGAGGCCTATCCGGCTGGGATCGCTGAAACAGTGTTTCTATGTGTTTATGAGTGTTGGAGACTCCAAATCAAGTAACATCTCGGCTCAATGTGTCCGAGACATAAGACACACTCATCTGGTCTCATTTGCAGGTGGCTACCACCCTTCTCTTGACTGAGTTGCAATGCGTTTGCTTGGAGCGACACACCCAATTTGGGGGCCACCCGAATGTCTGGTTTCCATCTTCAGTAGTCTGGTCCGCATAAGGCGCGCTGAATGGTGCTGATTCCGGCACCTTGCGACCAAAGCCCTCATTGACTTGTAGCTCTTGACAAGGGATGAAGGTCACCTGCAGCGAAGCAATCAGCCATTTCAGCCATTGTTCTCTAGGGACCAACCTTGTGCTTGTTTCATCTTGTTTCCACACGATGGTCTCTCACTGTAAGACTATACATACTACGATTGAAACATGGTGCACAAGAGAACACAGATTAAAACTCTCCAAAACAGGTGCACCATGGTGCACCAACGAAAGCTGAACTGCTCATGAGGGTTGCAAGCTCTGAGGGCAGTTCGGGGGCATCTTCACTGACCATGTCATTCTCATCTGCCAGTCTCATTGACTCAGCCTTAGAACGGTCAGAAATGGTTAGAATGTCAGCTTCATGGGTTGTCTGTGCCAGTCACAAAAACTTGTCCGCAGAGAAGCAGAGTCTGAGAAAATGACGCGTCTCCGCCGCTCAGTCATACCATACTGTAGATGGGTCCTCAAATCATGTAGCCATATGCAGGTTTCCTAAAATGGTGGTACCCTCAAATCATCCAAATTAGACCATTTTTGTATTGAAACCCATAGTTTTGGGGATCCACCATTTTAAGAAACCCCCATATGTAGCCATGATTAGCCAGTGGGCATATGGTGTGCCAAATTCCGCCAAGTAAAACATGATAAAACATGGCATGGTGCTGAGCCATCCTGAGCCTTTGGCGGAAGTTGTCGGATAATCGACCAAGGTTCATGTGGCCTTTGTGGCAGGCCGTCTCAGGCTTTTCAGCACATTGGAGTGCCAAGGCCCGAACAAACTTGCTGGTGACCTTAGGATCTTGACTTGGTGGAGTATTGGCACAAAAGTTGCGAAGGCAACCAACAATTATCTGCTCTACATGGCTTAAAGCATTCAGGCATTCCTGGCAGACATTGAGTCTGCTGAGAAATTGACGAAGATGTCCATGCAACAGGGCTCCTTCTGAAACACCAAGGCACAGGAAGAGACATCTAATTTATTGCCAGATACATGGTGACGCTGCAATTCGACGGCAATCATTTTTCAAACCACAATGCAGGAAGGTTGTGCGAATCTTGCAGAACTTTGTACATGAGCAAGTAGAACAAAGTTGTTGGACTGGAAAGAGCAAAGATGTTTGAAATAGAAGTTTAGAAGTATTTTGATATATTTCTGACTCCTTGAATGTGAAAACATACTTGAAAATCTTCAGCCCATTGACAGTTCACTTGCCGTCTCTACCTGTGGCCTCCTGTACAATACTGCCACAAGGCTCTCCTTGTTGAGAAACTTGGTCCGAAAAACAATCAAGGTGTTGGGGATTCCAAGTGAAATTGCGGTCGCAATACTAGACAGGAAAAACATGTAAAGAGAAACACACATCAAACGATACCAAATCAATACCAAGCTGCAGTGAACGGGCAGAAATACTATTTTGACTTGAATCTTTGCCCTGGAACGCAGCAACTTCCTTCTGTAGTTGAATAGCATCTGCTGGGGTTGTGCAGCTTCAGGTTCGCCTTAGTTGATTACCAGTCTCTCAGCGGCCACATGTCTCTTCCGGGTTTTTCGCGATCACCAAGGCACACGACTTCCAAGAGCATCGGCGATCCGATGGGGCTTCCCTGGCCGTCCATCACGGCCCAGGCTGAGGTGAGCATATCTCCTTGATGACCAGCTGTGAAGGATAGATCAAGAACCAATTCCACCTGAGGGACTGCTCAAACTGCCGAAATGCCAAAGGGATCCAAAGGGGCAGTCTGTTGAATGTTTGGGACCTTTTGGGACCTTTCAGCAAAACAACATGTGACCTCACATCAGTACAGAAGATCGACTATTCATGTGGATTGAAACAGAGTACCAGTGTACCCGGTATACCCCAATTACAGTCATTTTATGCCACTTTCACATCTTTATCACCTTTATTGCATCTGCCTTTCTATCTATTCTATCTAGCCATCTATCTATCTATCTGTCTGTCTTTATATCTATCAATCTGCTTTCTATCTATCTGTCTATCTATCTGTCTTAGGTCTGTCTTTCTATCTATCTATCTATCTTTCTATCTATCTATCTGTCTTTCTATCTATACATCTATCCATCTATCCATCTATCCATCTATCCAATCTATCCAATCAATCAATCAATCAATCAATCTATCTATATATCTATCTGTCTTTCTATCTATCTATCTGTCTGTCTTTCTATCTATCTTTCTATCTTTCTATCTATCTGTCTTTCTATCTACCTATCTATCTGTCTTTCTATCTATCTATTTCTCTTTCTATCTATCCATCAATCCATCAATCCATCTATCCATCCATCCATTTATTGATCTATCTATCTAACTGTATTATTATATTAAATATTAAATATTAAATATTATACATTATATATTATATATTGTACATTAGATATAATATATATATATATATATATTATGTTATATATATATCATGTTATATATATATATTATATTATATATTATGTATTATATATTATATATGATATATGATATATTATATATTATATATTATATATTATATATCATATATTATATATCATATATCATATATAATATATTGTATATGTGCCTATGCATGCTTTACACATCTTTACATAGGGACAATGATGATATCCCCCGATATAAACCCTATTGGATCTTGGGGGATCGCCATTCCAAGGCACCGTCTCACCAGGGGTCACCGCACCCAACGGCATCTTGTCAAAACCCCAGGATGGCCCATCGCGAAGCTCCAGGGTGGAAGCCTGGAGCGATCAACGATCAAAGGAATGTCAACTTGTAATATTATGTAGTATATATGTAGTATATGTGTAGTATATATGCCATTAGATGTTCTTAGATGTTGTTCGAATCTTAGAGTTTGTTTCGGTCAGATACTTCTCGAACGGGAACAATTAAGCCTGACGGGATGAAAAGCCTTGGAACTTCAAACATACGCTCGTCTTTACTAGTAGGATTACTAGTAGCATGAGTAATCTCTGCCCCAAACATCCCAACGTGTTGCGAAGAGTTCCGAGGAGGACTCATTCCAAGCTATGACCAGTTGGCAATAGTTGACAATAATTGACACAGACAAAGACAAACACACACACACAGACACGCAGAACAGACTCACAGAGTGCATTCGGGAATTTGACTGCCCATCAATCCATCCCTACGTTGAATTTGCATGCCAGCTTGACTCAAATAGCATTACTATGGACTATGGATTACTATGCATTACCAGATCTTCCGTTTTTGTTGGGTTGAATAGCTGGAGTTGTGGTGTATGTGTGTGTGTGTGCCTGTAGCCTGACATTCGAAATCTGTGCATATGCCATACAGCACCAAGACTTGCCAAACGATGTCTCCTGTGCCTCAGGCCATGCTGCCTCGCCAATGTTCACCACCACAATCTTCACCTCGGAGACACACCATGGATTTTGACAAAAACATACAAAAACAATAAATGAATATAAATGATAAGAAACAATATATATGTATACTGTATATATATATAATATTATTATATTATTGAAACAAGTGTTTCGTTGAGGCCCAACCAAAATCAAAACACGTAAGTCTTCTGTTTTATTGCAACTGTCTCAAGTTTGAGGAATATGCCTGGCTTTGAGATGTCTTTCATCTCCAGCTTCTGCTACTCTGGGTGTCTCACTAGAGCTTTCGTCGGTGGTGGGCATGCAGTATGCTTGATTTCGAGGTGACCCAAGCGAAAGGCCTGTGCAAAGAGTTTGGAAAAACAAAGATCTTCTATGAAGCCAAAGTCTGTGCGTTTCCATCACCTTGAAACTGAACACAATGGAGCATCAACTGTTCACGGGGCCTCTGATCCATGCCATTCGATCACGCCCTGCTTGTTCTGCAACTGCTGCATGGTAGTGGGATCGTTGAGGAGAGCGGACACAAACACCACCTTTGGCCATCAACAAGTTGCACGTCTTGCACTTGACGGATGATGAAACAACGGTATCCAGCGGTTTTCTCAAAACCTGTCATGGCCGCCATGGCCTAGTAAGCCCGCAGTGCACTATGCGGTTTTCTCAATCTTTCGCACCAAGTGGCTTTGACAAGCTGCTCTGGCTTCTGGGAAGGGGTAGGGGAAGCCACGCCCATTGGCACGTCCTGGCAAGCAAGACTTCTGCAGAAAGCTGGACATATTTGGAGAACTTGGAGCCTCCTTATGTAATGGGAATCGCAAAACATAGTGCGAATGTCCTGCCTTGGTATGAGACGGAAGCATGCGTAGTTTGTGTACGTATGTGTGTCTGATGTGAATGACTTGGTCTTTTAAACTGACATGGGAATGCCGCTGATCCCTTTTAAAGGATGCGTGTTCATATTATCTATCCAAGTGACTAATAACATCCAATAATCTTCATGTCATCTGCTCAACTACCGTACTGAACCACTAGCGACATGGAAAGTCAATCGACGTGTTGGAAGTGAGATGTTTGGCTTACCGGTTCAATGACCAGTAATGACCGTCACCCATGACGTCAGTCGCCTCGTTCTCAGCTTCTTCCAGCCTGCCAGTGGTGCAATTCTCCACAGCTTGAAAAGCAAACAAACATGTTTACGCCAAACAGAGCGCAGGCCACCCAATCAAGCTGCTTTAAATGCTGCTGTCTTGGAGTTTCGGCCCCATTTCTGAGATGGCATAGGTGTCTCAGACTGGAAGTTCCAAAGAACTCTTGGACTGAGTGTCAAATGTTTGTGTTGTATTACAGTAATCAGTGACATCCAGCAATTTCAAGCCTCTCCCAGTCATCCGAGATATCTGACCCGGAGTCCTACACCAGCTCAGCAGCTGCAAGAACTGCAGACATGAACTCAACTCAGCAGTTGATGGTGACCGTGATGGATGTGGTGAGGTTGATGGTGACTTTGAACATCACAAATCACCTCCGGTGTGGCAATGATTTCAGAATTTCAAACATTCCGAAACAACAATCACTGCTTCCCAGTCCTGGCTCTGTTCCACTGGAGTTCTTGCAGCAACTTCCACTTCTGCGACGCTCATTGCGTGGACCACTGCTTGGCGAAGTGCTTTGTTTGGATTGGAAAGCAGTTTGGCCATAGCCGCGACTGCGACCTGGCGATGCGAGAGTGATATTTGACCCAAATGCCGTTCAAATGCGTATGCAAAGTCATGCATCAGGCTTTGATGCCGTAGGCCGTTGTCATTTTCCAGGGAAGTTTGAATCTATTAAATTAGACACAAGAAGATGCAAGAAGTGCTGTTCGCCTAGGTGCAGCATTTGAACCCCAACTCATAATGAACCGCCCCGGAACACGACAACTTTTCTGCAGCTTCCTTTAGTCCACACACAGAGCTGATCACATGGCATGAGTTGTGCTGTCACAAAGAAACGGACGAAGGCTCGTATTGAAAGATGACGTGGTAATCTACCGATATTGCGCTGCTATGCTTTGGACAATGTGCACAATGCACATTTTCAGAATCCCTCAAACAATATAACAACTTAAACACTTGGCAAACGTGGCCCATGTGGTCACATATATGTTGACAACACCCTTTGGACCTTGGGATCTATCTCAGACTCGCTGACGGTGTCCAATTTCTCCTTGCAAGTCTGATGGAAATGTTGTGACCATACCCTGTGAATTATGATGGAAGAGTGTGCAAATGTGAGAGAACGTGTAAATAGTGCAAGATCATGTAAGTACTAGTGATACTAGTGGCGACAATACTATCATAACAGGTTATACTATTACAATTCAATACACATATTTACATATATATATATCATTATACATCATTATATATCATTCTATATCATTATATAGGTATATCATTAGATATCATTAAATATCATTATATATCATTATATATCATTATATATTATTGTATATCATTATATAACATTATATAGCATTATATATTATTATATATCATTATATATCACTATATATTAATCAACGACATCCATTTTACAATCTTCATTTCCAACACCCAGTCCTCAGTCGACAGTGGGGGGGTGCAGGGCTGTGGCACCCATGCGAGTTTTGGCTCTGGTGGAGTGCTTGGACAGGAAACCAATGCAGCTGGCACCTGTGGTGCCACTCAGCCACTCTACGTTGAACATCTTTTAAAACAGAACAAATATGAACAGATAAATATACTTAAATATACTTAAATATACTTAAATATACTTAAATATACTTAAATATACTTAAATATACTTAAATATACTTAAATATACTTAATTAATTGTACTTACAACTCATTATCAACTCATTACGTATGATCACATGAGCCGCATCTGACTGTTGGACTTGCTACGAGCAAAATGAAGACACATCATTGCCAAGATTACAGTATTGGCAGTCGCGATGAAAGTGAATCAGAACTCTCTTGTTTTGGGCAATCACCAGAAATCACACATGCCTCTTTCTCATCTGGCGAAGTTGGTGTGCATGGAACAGCCAAGGGAGGTGGTGTGCATGGAACAGCCATGGCAGCGGCAACATCTGCCTGTCGAAATCACAGGCCATCTGACAGTACTAGCTTCTCCAGGTGAAACAAACATGGACAGAAAACAACTGTGGCCGTAATAACACTTATCAGAAACCATCAGAATACCAGAAATATCTTATTGAATAAACGGCAAGATGATGTCAGCGCTTGAATCTATAGGACATGAACACACATCATCGTGCGCTTTGCTGCAAACTCTTTCAAACTCCTGTGGCTCTTGGGTGCTTCTGCAGCTGGGCAAAGGATCTCCAACAGTTACATTATCTGATCTCCAACAGAAAAATAAAGGGCTCATCTTGACTACAAGCGAGATAGCATGCAGATTATCATGCAAAAGATGAACATTGCGATCTAAAGCGGGTGATTTGTTGAGCAGGTCCAAGATGGTTACAGACTGCATTGGCACCAGGATTGTCAGGCAACTGTGGCGAAGGTTTGTTGAGTTTGTAGAGGGAGGAGGCCAGGAAGGGCCGTTGTGAAGCAATACTTAGTTACTTTATATGATATACATGATATATATATATATGTATATATACATACATTATGATATACTTTAATCCTTCGCCTTGCAAAGGCATTTAACAATTTCTTGTTCAGCGGGCACGTGGTACCTCTGACAACACCCTTGAACTTCTATTTATTTTGTTCTGCTGTGCAGTATTGAATATTGCCCAATGCGATCGAATACTTCAATGCAAAAGCAGTGACAGATGGGGGTTCTTAAAATGGGGGATCCCAAAACCATGAGTTTCAATACTGAAATGATCTAATTTTGGATGATTTGGGCGTAGCTCCACTTTAGGAAACCTCCAAATGGCAACAGCACTTTCCGCATCCCAAATGGACACTGCACCTGGGCATCCAACAAATCAGGTGTGCATGGACAAGCCATCATGGCATCAGCCTGCCGTGGTTGCAAAGCATCCAACCATTCCAAGGCTCTCTTGCCAGCTGAAGGACGGATTTAGATCTGTGATGCCTGTTGTGAACCTGATGTTTCAAGAGCCCATTAAGATAGACACAGAAAGTTTTAAACCTCCACATAACCCCCTTCCAGAAAATCATCTGCAAAAACAAACGCAACAGCAACCCTGAGCTTGACGGCTTGAGGTCTTAGAAAGATCATGCGGTGCAGACTGGACTCCCAGTGGCAGATGTAATCCAACGAGGAAAGCTTTGTCTGAAAATCATGGACGAAATGCCATGAAATACCTTCACTACACCAAACAACTTCAAAGTGTTCAATCAAAATTGACCTTTTCAATATCTTTCGATATCTTTCTACAATCTTTTGGAAAACGATTGCTTCCTACCACTGCTTTGGATGTTCGTTTTACACTGCGCCGCAGGAGCTGCACCTCAAACATCGGCATGTCGGGGAACTCATTCTTGGGTTCGGCCAACTTCTCCTTGTGCGACGACAGCTGCGCCCCTGTCCCTAGTAACTTTAGTACATGTCGAGTTGGTGCATGTTGGTGCCCTGCCCTCTCTTCCTCCTTTTGTTCTATTGCATTCATATATTAATATAATTATACACATACAATATCGTACAATCTTATATATATACACATATGTATATAATACACACATATACAATATTTGCATCTACATGTATGTATTATATATATATATGTAGAGTATATGTATGGTATATATATATATCGTATACATATAGTATACATATAGTATACATATAGTGTATATATATAGTATATATATATAGTATATAATTAGTATATATATAGTATACTTATAGTGTATATATATAGTATACAATTAGTATATATATATAGTATATATATAGTATATATATATAGTATATATATATAGTATATATATATAGTATATATATAGTATATATATAGTATATATATAGTATATATATAGTATATATATAGTATATATATAGTATATATATAGTATATATATAGTATATACTATATATATATAAAGTATATATATATAGTATATATATTATATATATAGTATATATATAGTATATATATATTATATAGTATATATAGTATATATAGTATATATAGTATATATAGTATATATAGTATATATAGTATATATAGTATATATAGTATATATAGTATATATAGTATATATATAGTATAGATATATATATAGTATATATATATATAGTATATATATAGTATATATATATACACAGTTATATATATATTAAATATACATATTATATCTAAACTATAGTGTGTATATACACATACACACACTATGTGTACACTATGTGTGTATATATATATATACGTACGTACGTATATCATTGTATACAGTACACAACAAAACACACACTTGAAAGCACACTGAATTACAATCACCTCTTCTTGTTGTTTTAGTTGTCGGTGTTGCTGCTTCTGACAGTTTTTGCACCAGTTGTGGTACTTGTAGCTCTGGCTGTTGTGGTTGGTGGCTATTCACTACCCTCCATCACGCAAAAACGTATCGGGGCGAAACTCTTTGCTGCTACCCCAGGCAACTTAGTCTCAATTTTCAGAGAATGCTGAGTAGCAATCCTGTAGTTTACCTTGTGCCAGTCATAAAAGGACTATCACTCCGCTCCCAAAACAAGCGAACGGTAAACTGACAATTTGATTTGATACAATTTGATACAATTTGATCGTTGACATCCGATGACATCTCATGACATCCCCGTCCTCATGCCCGGATTCTGGCTCTGGCTCAGCCGGAGGAGCAGATCCACAGCAAAGTCGTTGTCCCAAGTGCTGCCAGGTGGAATGCTCGGGGTGGATGAGACTTCGTTGCTCAAAACACGAGGTGCACAAATCGTAGTCTGGGCACTCCAAGCACTTGAAGCGATCTTGCGGTTGGACCTGCTTTTTGCCGCAGCCGTCACAGCACACCGAGAGCTCAAGTGGAAATGGGAGTACGTGTCCTGGCACAATCTTGAAGCTGTGTCCAGGGTGCAGCCGGTCGCGTTTTTTGTAGCAACTTTCGCACAAGTCAAAGTCCCGGCAATCGCTGCACTTGTAGCGCCTGCGGGACATGGCAATTGAAACCTGCTACTTCAAAATTGAGGAATACGAGTGAACGTCATGGGAATTGATAGGGAAGAAGGGACATGGCAATTGACACCTGCTAATTCAAAATTGAGCATTCCGAGTGAACGTCATGGAAATTGATAGGGAAGAAGGGACATGGCAATTGAAACCTGCTACTTCAAAATTGAGGATTCCGAGTGAACGTCATGGGAATTGATAGGGAAGAAAGGACATGGCAATTGACACACCTGCTAATTCAAAATTGAGCATTCCGAGTGAACGTCATGGAAATTGATAGGGAAGAAGGGACATGGCAATTGAAACCTGCTACTTCAAAATTGAGGATTCCGAGTGAACGTCATGGGAATTGATAGGGAAGAAAGGACATGGCAATTGACACACCTGCTAATTCAAAATTGAGCATTCCGAGTGAACGTCATGGAAATTGATAGGGAAGAAGGGACATGGCAATTGAAACCTGCTACTTCAAAATTGAGGATTCCGAGTGAACGTCATGGGAATTGATAGGGAAGAAAGGACATGGCAATTGACACACCTGCTAATTCAAAATTGAGCATTCCGAGTGAACGTCATGGAAATTGATAGGGAAGAAGGGACATGGCAATTGAAACCTGCTACTTCAAAATTGAGGATTCCGAGTGAACGTCATGGGAATTGATAGGGAAGAAGGGACATGGCAATTGACACACCTGCTAATTCAAAATTGAGCATTCCGAGTGAACGTCATGGGAATTGATAGGGAAGAAGGAGACGGGAATTGGACTTTGCTTTTCGATAATTGAGCATTCCGAGTGAACGTCATGTAAATTGATAGGGAAGAAGGGACATGGAAATTGAAACCTGCTACTTCAAAATTGGGCATTCCGAGTGACCGTCATGGGAATTTATAGGGAAGAAGGAGACGGGAATTGGACTTTGCTTTTCGATAATTGAGCATTCCGAGTGAACGTTATGGAAATTGATAGGGAAGAAGAGACATGGCAATTGAAACCTGCTACTTCAAAATTGATAGGGATGAAGGGACATCTAATTGGCACAAGTCCAAGTCCCGGCAATCGTTGCACTTCTGTAGCGGGACATCTAATTGTAGCGCCTGCCCGTGAGTGGGTCCTGCTCACCTGAGCCAGCAGTTGCGCAAATAATGAACATGTGCCTGTTCAATACATGTAACTGCAACATGGATAAACAATGATAAACATGGGCGATTTGTTGCTTCTCTTATCCTTGCACAAGAACGTTTGACATTGCTTGACGTTGAGACCAAGTGACAGCCATCACAAACGACATGAGGGTGAATCTCCGTTTCGGTCGCCTCTTCAGCCGCCTGCTGGGCCTCTTCAGCCGCCTGCTGGGCCTGTTGCGCCACAATGTTTTGGAGGGTTCCCTTGAGGGACTTCTCAACAACTTCTTGCAAAGCGCTGGGCATTGTCCTTGGCTCTGCAGCGCGGTCACAAAAATTGCCATTACCCAACAGTACATGTTAATACATGTTATATTATCTTATATCATTTAAATATTCTTTTAGGATATTTTATATTATTTCATATATTATTATATATACAATAAGTATACATAATCATGAATCATCTGTGTATATATATATATATCTAATCACATATATATATATATATGATATATACACACGTATTATAGATACGTACATACTATAAATATGAACAACAACCCAATCATGTGACCACGCGCAAATGATTCAAAATGATTCAAATGCAAGCAAGCTTCTGATACACATCCTTTGCAGTTTGCAGAAAAGACATCACTTCTTTCGTGTCTGCGAAGTTGCCGCTAGCTGCCAAATGCAGTGGTTGGATCAACGGAACCCACGCATCTGTGAAGTGATCCTCATGCTCTGCCAAAAGGTCGAGGCCTTTCTCTGCCAACTTCTGAAGCGTCATCAACACGTTGGGTTCACCAACCAGCGCTGCCAACTTTTCAATCATCTTGCCCGCGGTCTCTGCTTCTGCCTTCGAATTTGTGGTACTTGTAGTACTTCGCCCTGTCTTCACTGCGATGCCGCCAACCAAGGATTCGCACACGAGAATTTGTTCAGCCTCTCCGGTCGAAATGAATTTCCACAAGGAAAGCGAGTAGTGCTTGCCAGAACCTCGTTGCATCAAGTTGAAGGCACTGCATTGATTCTGAAATCAGCCATGGATCTTGATTGGCAAACACTTTTGGCACCGGTGGGCCCACCAAATTGGTCAATTTCAGTGCTATCCATACCTAATTGACATGGGAGCTTTCTTCAATTTCAACGCTCCGCAAAGGCATTGACCCAAACCACGCTGGTTGACGGCTTTATTCAGTCCTAGGAAGACGTGGGAATGGATTCTGCGGAATTCTAATTATTTCTAGTCCCATCATGTCCCATCTACGTCGCTTCCATGCAGTTTGCATCAGCCTGTGTGCCAAGGAACCTTCAATTTCCCATCGGAATCGCTTTGCGTCGCACTTTTCCAGTCCAAGGTTCGAAAAGCCTCCATCTCGATGTACCTGTCAGGTGTGTTCGACAATTCTTGGACACGGACTGACCTACACTTGAAAGATCACACCTCTTGTGCTCAACCAAGTGTCATTTCTTCAGTTATGATTTGCAATCTCAGGTGCAAGCATCACAAACAAGCACATGGATCTGATATGTTTTGATCACCCTTGATGTTTTCACAGTAAGTGGCCTTGTCAACAGTCCTCAAGAGCCATTATCTTCAGTTCACTTTGACATACTTTAACCAGATTCACGAACGCACTGACCACGGCAACACTGCGCACACAATGCTGGCCTCACTGAAGACATAGATCACAGACCCTGCTGGAGCCTGCAACGGAAAACTCACACAATCATTCTTGCCATTGATCGCCTGAGGCTGTTCCTGATTGCACAGCAAAGCATTGCAAAGACCATTCATGAGTATTCATGGCCATTCTCTAGTCATTCTCTTCCCAGATTTTCCCTCTTTGCCTTGACCAAGAAGAAGGTGTTCGTGGGCACAATGTGCTCTCCTCTGAACAAGGTCGATCCAAGCAACTCGTCAGGAATGTTCCTCGCATGGCAGACAAAGCGGGAAAGTGGTGGAAGAAAGACCTGCTAAATTGATCTAAAATTACGACCCAAAAGAACTTTGAAGTGTACAAACATGTACAAACACCAAGTGCAGCGGGCTTCTTGTACACATAGTTTCTGTCTGACCATGCCTGCACGTGCACAACTACTCCGCAGGACTACACCACTATGTCCACAGCATAAAAACGGCGCATGCAACAAATCGGTCGATGACCCGAAATCGTGCCTTCATTCCTTCCTGGAAAGTAGCAGCTTCCAACTTCAGTTTGCTGTGTGTGACTTCCAAGACCTCATGCAATGCGCAATTCCTGGAGGAACCTAGGACCCTCTGAAGGCTGCTAGACAGTCTACTACGTACTTACTTGGTAAGGGTGACACATGGTGACATTAACATCAACATGTGAAGCTTTCCCGGAGGTATGAGTATGGGAACATGCCTGGGCCATTCCGAAAATAGAACGTGTTCCCAACACTACCTCTTGGGTGGATAGTTCAAACATATTCAAACATCATGTTGCTCTTGCCAGCAAGCTTTCCTCAAGCGGTATTTCAGCCCAGGGCTTCAATTTATGCCCCTTAAGTTCATCATTTTTGTCCAGGCAACCGGTGATGAAGCTTCGGCTTCTTGATCTTGACTTGGCTCCTGCTCTCTGAGGGTTGTGAAAGGCCTTGCCTTTTCTGAAAAATACCAGAAACTTGAGAAGGGGCGTCAGCAATGGAAGAACCTGTTCCAGGAAACATGAGATGGGGTATATTGAAAAAGGATGAAAAAGGAACAGCAATATAGGAACAATAGGAACAATAGGAACAATAGGACCTTGGGGCACTTTATGCGGACACAAACGAATCCTAAGACCTCTCCCTCCCTCGACTCGTGGGGCTCCTCGACCGCATAAAGATTCAGCACGCCATCCCTGGAGAGGTCCACGGCATCGACGACACTGGCTGGGCTCAAAGTGCAATGGTCGCCCTCATCCTTGGCCATGCAGTGTACACTTAGATGCGTTTAGATAGTACTTGGATAATACTTAGGTAGTACTTAGGATAGTACTTAGGATAGTACTTAGATCCATTTCGTGGGTCTCATGGGGAGTTTTGCGATGTCTCATCTTTTCTACTGGTAATATCTTCTCTTGGTGTATACCGAGGGGGTAGCATGGCAGTTCTGGCGGTCGCACTTTTGCGGCTGGGGGACATCGATGTATGTAATGCGCTTCAGAACCTGACCGAGAGATGTGAACAACGGACAGAATCAAGCTGCAATCAAGGTGCTGTTGGAACCTCTTTGAATCAATTGAATTGCTTGAAACAATGTGATCGAGAATAATAACAACGTGTAAATAACGGATTATTATAAAACTATATAAAACTTATAAACTACATTAAACTACACAGGCGATCGCAATATTCCCACGTGGCCTTGCCATTAAGGACTTGTTCTGCACGCTGAGCTAGTACTGTGTAGGCCAGCTCAATCATTTTCCCAATTTCAGCGCGATGCATGCCTCAGTGCCATCATTTGGAGGCTCACATTTAAACTTGATGCGTGATGCAACGTGTATGTAATGTGTGAAAGACATTGAACAACAAGGCTGCAAAAGAACGACACTTCCATGACACCAGACTAAGAGCAATTGTCTCACGCTAGACAACAAGTTACAAAGCTATGACATGTCAGGTCGGTTAGCTGCCATCCCAGCTACAGACTGAATCTTTGACTTCTTCTCCAATGCAAATGCGAATCTCCACGACTTCCATTTCTTCATCCATGATTGCTAGCGCCAGAGAATTGGCCAAGTCTAACTTCTATGATTTTCTGGGATTGAACCAGCGCTAGCTCTGAAGCCACAACAGTCGCAACATGTCGCAACATGTCGCAACACTCTGAGCATGTCAAAGTCATGCTATGTAAGGCCTGAAACTTCAACAGCAAGAATCTCGCGGCTGGGTTATGGGGTATGGAATTTAAAGGTTGTGGATTGAACATGATTCAACATGATTGAACAAAAAGAGAATTGCGATTCTCCCCAGTCCTTGCCAACGTAGTTGCACAGCGCCACTGTGGCAAATCAGCATCCTGGCAATCCGAAGAAGTGCTCAGCCGTTCTTCCTGCGCGTGATCATCGAGTCATCGAAGTTTTGTCGGAGCAGTTTTGAAAAATGATCTCCTCCAAGGCGCTGAGAGTCACGCTGGAAATAAACCATCTCCCTGCACCTGAGAGCAGTGAATCATACCATACACCACTGCACTACTGTAAACGGTCCAGTTCTATCCAGTCATATCCAGTCCTTACGCTTTCATTTTCGTGTGCGCTCATGGGATCTTCTGGGGTTCATGCGCTGTGTAAAATGGAGAACTTTCCTTGGCTGAGATATGCTGAGATATTGGCAAGCGCTGCCTTCGCCACCCTACTGCATGCTATGAATGGATTGTCAGGCAATTCTGGCAGAAATTCATTGACTTGCTTAATATGCTTAATCATCCGAAATTCTCGGCGCTTTGGTTGTAGGATGTTGTAGGAGCTCTAGGATTCCAGCCTCTCTTCCTCACCTCTTGCTCCAAAACCATCCTTCACGAAAATGGGGCGGCTGCCCATGCGAACGCCTACAAGATGGTGCGGTGCAATCAACATCTATCCCCTGGTGACCCCTGGTGGCATGAATGGGCATGAACAAGGTGGATTCCAAGCATTTTTAGGCAAAAGCCTCGCAAAAGCTGGTAGTTGCCATTCAGTTGGCCATGGTCCCCTCGACAGCCGGTAACATGGACGACCTGGCAGCAAGGTGGAAGAGCTTGGCTTGAGGGAATACGAAGCTAAGGGCCAAGTTGCAAAAAGTTGCAAAGTGCCAACTCACTGCCAACTCATCTACTATGCCATCCGCAGATCAGCTGTCGCTCCTCTCTTCCTGGCCTCCACTTTGTTCCTCTCATGTCTAAAGCATACGATGCTGCTATCCTTGTGAGCCTCCCATGGTGCACAAAAAGCGACACTGCTGAAGCATGTACTGATGAGTTCCAAGGTAAAAGCGTCGCGGCGTATCCTTGGGTCTCTTTTTACCACTGCGCGAAGGCAAAACAGGGCAGGCCTTTCCAAATGCAAAGATGGTCCACGGCATTTGACCTGACGACTCAGACCGCCACATCTGTGTCAGCCATGGTCGATGGTCGATGGTCAGTGATGGTCACCAGCCATCCTTTTCACAGGCTGAGCCTTTGACATAAGTCAGGTGAAGCTGAGGAGAAGTCTGGACCACTTCTCGCCAAGACCTGGCGCATGCAGGGCTATGTAAAAAGGACTGGAGCACATACTGCAAACCCACAGCAAAATTCAATAAGATTCATATATGTCTGAAAATGTATACAGTAAGTTGAAGATACCTCCAGAAATAAGGTTGTTCCAGTTGTTCCAGATTCCAAATGAATATGAATGACAGACTGACACCTTTGAATAAATCTCCCAAAAACATCCAAAAACCACATTTTCACACAAATCATCCTACACAAGTACTAGATGACAAAGATTGCAGCTCTTTCGCCAGTGACGCATGAACTCCGGCAGCTAGTACCTCCCACGGAATTCACACGTTTCTGAAGGGCAGGGATGAGGATCCACAATCCACCTCCCATCAAGGATTTGTAACATCTATATGCTTCATAGATATTCAGAGCATATCTTCAGAGTATTTTTTCTATCACGTACTTTATATGTTCATGATATATCATAATATAATATAGTACAATATACAAGACTTTTATTATACTTTGTTCATCGATCTTTATTTATTCTGCAGAACCATTTCAGATTTTGTCGAAAGTCTGGCGAATGGGCACTGACGCCGCAATGTTCCAGTAGCCCATCTCGCCGAAGAAGAGGTACAAGGGTTTTAGATCCCCATCGTGCTGGCAGGGGAAAATCATGTGTCAAAATGATTCAAAATGATGGGAACGTATCGGAAAATGATGATTCTAATATGATCGCATTCGACAAAATTATGACCCACACATTGTTGCTGCACATCTTTCCATTGATTTTCAATCACCAAACATAACCGGCCTCTGCCAAACCATTGCTGTTCACCGTTAGAAGTGGCCTTCCCCGACCTCAGGCACTGAGGCACTGAGACGTAGCCGGCAGCCATGCCCTGGGGATCATGCGTAGCCAGCAAGGACGGCCGTTGGGCCGCACTCCCTGGCAGTGGAAGGGTCTCTTAGTCTCCAGCTATCTTTGGATTGGATTGATTCAGATGGGTTAACATGGCTTTACTATTTATATACATGTTTCTGATTTTTTCTGATCATTGTTCTTTCTTTATGTTTTTCATTGTTCGACATTTGACACGGATGATGAGTTGATGCAACAACTACTCCTGTCATGAAATGTGGTCGCTTACAGGCCTCGAGGAGCTCATAGTCACCATTGATCTGTTGTCCTGGGCCTTCTCGACCCCCAAGAGACAAGAGCCTAGCTGTCACCGCAGCCAAGGATTCTTGCAGATGTAGAACACACTCTAGCTGCTACCCAGTAACTCATTCCATGAAGATGTTGTTTATGTATATATATAATTATATAATATTATATATATAATATATTTTAATTTACTTATTTTAGGCTCTGTGGTCTTTGGACTGCTTGAAATGCTTGCAACACGCTCAAACGTGTACAACACACCCAACTTGCAAGAGGCAACTGACCTTCCTTCTCACTCGCATCACTGCACACCATCCACCTGACCTCACGTCCTGCAAGTTCGCGTCATATCACTACTCCCTCAGGGGCCTTGGGACTTTCTCCTCGATCTCTCGCAAAGACTGCCGTAGCCTCCCATCTTCATCCATCTTCATTCATCTCCATCCAGTTTCATCCAGTTTCTCTGCAACATCTGCCATAATCTGCCATATCTGCCATTTCAGCTGCCAAACTTGACAAACATACTGCAGATGAAGACTGCGCCCCACCTGGATGACTTGGACCTTCCATAGCTATGCGAGTCATGTGCAGGAGCAGCTCCTACATTGGCGCTCCTTACGGATTGCGGATGATTGCGGATGATTGCGGATGCATGTTTGATCATTTCTAAGACAAACAAATATGGGGCTGCACTAACTCCTAGGCCGAAAAGAGTTGAAGACTGTAAACGTCATGTCAGGTAGATATGTGTGTTGATGTCTGTTGTAGGTACAAAACCGCGAGGGTGAAGCACTGTGTTGCTGGACACACGCCCACTGACCACATGACCAAATGTTTGTTGTTTTGTGTTTTTCCTTGTATGGTGCAACATATATCTGCATATTTGCACTTCCTCAGTTTTCCTGCATACATAGCAGCTTAGCATACACAGGTACTGTGAGTATTATTTTTGTTGCCGGAAGAACGTCCTGAAATGGCTCACTTGGTGTCACTGCGAAAACCATCGCTGAAAGCTGAGGGCTCAACTCCGCCATATCATGGCGTAATCCAGCCGAAGCTCTGTAGCCACACGAGAAAAATCACATCTGAATCTGTTGGTGAAAAATGGGTACGGTACCCGTGTACCCATATAAAAATTATAAAACTGCCACTGCATCTTTGCCAGCAATGTGATGTTTGCTGCTAGCCATGTCACTATTTGGCCGAAATGGACTTGAATCGATCTGCTTTGCAAGATGCTGCCGCTTGCTTGCCTCGCACATGGCCTTTCTCGTTCCAGAACAACCAGTGCTTTCAATGATGAAATCACTCCTAGGTCTGCTGAAAGCACAGCCTTGCTTGTCATCTTTTACGTATCTTTTACCCTTAAGCCGAATGGCCTTCACGTCCCCGTTCGACGCCACACTGGAGCCCGAATCTGATGGGCATTGCTTTTTCGTGCATCATGGAATCCTGTAAAGTCATGGATTTGTGAAAATGGAAAGCTCTTTGATCATCATGGATTTGGTCATGACAAGGGTCCCACCACCCTTTCTGCCCTAAGATTAGTCTCAACTCTTGTCAACGGCGGTCTCAATATGTAGAAAGGCTTGTGATGAACTCCATCCAGTGGCATCCTGTGGCTTCACTAAGTTGAAACATCTTCAGAAAGCTTGTAGAAACATCATATCCCCTGTGAGGCCTCCATTTTCAACGCTCCCAGCTGGTGGAAACACTGGAGAATCATCTGATTTCCCAGGTGTAACGCTGTGCCTCTGGAAACGAGATCCACTGTGAATGGCTGCATCTGCGTCATTGCTGGCCCGTCACCGCGTCATTTTTTGGGCGCAAAGTTTCAGCAGTGGGCACTGGCTTTATTTAGAAAACGATTCAGCATGAGTCAGCACTGAATTACCAACTAGCGGTACACACTCGCACAAAAACATGGTGATTCGAGTGTATGGGGTTTACCTGACTCTCACATGCACTAGTCTTTGAAAACACCAGCTTTTTCTTAAAACGGACTGCGATAATATCTGTGGATCTCATCTCACATCTGCCGTCCAGGCTTTGTCCAAGACAGACAGGATCAACCGTTTAAGTGACACTCTTCTAACCCAGCGTGGCCAAAACCAGCCAGTGGCATGGAGCCGGAATGGCAAGTTGCACTGCCAATTCCAACAACCGCTGCCCTTCATACCATGAGTAGCTTAGCACGCATTTGTTGATTGATAAATGAATTGTATAATGTTTCATGATAACATGATCTAATACAATTCCTGATCGAGATGGCCATACAAATCATATGAATTCATATGATCTATATAATGTCTACAAGTCTACAAGTGTTAATAATAACCATGTTGATGATAGATCGCCTATCACGATTGCACCCCAGAAACGGGGTCTTCTTTGCGAAAAGAAAATGGTGGCGGTGATGACCTGTGCATCTCCGCAGGGAGCACAAGCTAAAGCCCCTAAAGCCTTGCGAAAGAGAGCAGAAGCCACGGAGCTAATGCAGTGAGGACAAAAACAACATAGCTACATTTAAGAATGCTGTAATCATTTGTAACATTTTGTAACCAAATGCAAACATACTAGTAGTTGGAATATCTTGGAACACCTGTTCAACACAAACCCTTGACATGAGTTTCATTCAGAAGTTAATGCTGTTCGGCTGTTCATAGTAGTTGAAGCACAACTGGAAGATCTCACGGCACCATAGATGGATTCCCCATCAGATTTGCAGCCGCCCCTTGTTGCAGCGGAAAACTTCTGCAGCGTCGCGTCTCTTGGTGCAGTTCGTGCAGGAGATGTTAGCACCTGACATCGCAGATTCGTTTCTGTTTGGGTTTGTTGGGGTGCACTTGGGTGCCCATTTTTGGACAATTTGACAATGCAACTTGGACGAGTTTTAAAGAGTCGACTAATTTGCATGCTTCAACCCAAACGAAGATTCAGCTTCGGACTTGCAGCTGCTTGATTTTTTTGCCTGCTTCTTGACTTGGAAGGCATTGGGTTGGACCTTACAAAATCCAGCACGGAAGGCTTTAGTAGCACTGAACAGTGCTTTGATGCTACATGCTCATCAACGTGACCAGGCTGCTCACGTCTGAATATCTTTGTTTCACGACATCGTCGGAAATGGAAAGAAAGGCCTCTGCAGCATACTTGGCAAGAACCCCCGAGCCATCAACACACTATATACACAAGTGGGTTTGTCTGAAAATTAGAGTATCCGTGAGTATCCACATATTTGATGGTTAAGTTTTATAAATAATATATAATATTATATAATTAATTAATCGTAATTTCCCATACTCAATAGCGCAAATTCGGGTCAAACCCATTCAACCCCCCTACGGGCCAGTGCTCTCGCGACACAAATCCGCTGCCTCCTCGACATCCTGCCCTGTCTTTGCCGAAGTCTGCAGGGTCAAAATCGGCGACCAGGTTCCAACGTCTTTGAGGGATCCCTCAAGATTGTCAGCCATGTATGAAATATATGCCATATAATGCCATGGGGATCTATAGGGGTTGGATTTGGGGAATCATAGGAATCTCATGGAATCTCAATTTTTTCTAGATGCGAGTATCTGTCATGAAATTGCCTGCATTGCAGTGATGGTGATAAAATCAAGCCACAGTACTTACATCCTGTATCACTATGTATCTCTGCTGCTACCTTCCAACCAGCTCACATGTGACCTTCCCATTTTCATGCTTGACAAGAACATACAAGAACTGATCTAGGAAACATGGCGTTCCACTCTACTTCACTCCAGACTTTCCACACATGTGCCTCAAAAAACTTCATGTTGTATTGTGCTGCCAACTTCTCTCCTTCTTCTTTGGTAACCTTAGACTGTCATGGAATGACATTGAACTCAGTCACTGCCAAGCCACAGCGCATGTTCTGAGTTGCCCGCCTTGCGATTTTCGTTCAAGTCGGCTTTGTTGCCAACCAGTACCCTTGCAGGGGCAAGTAGTTGGAAGTAGTAATACTAAGTACAGTAGTGGTCTGTCTGAAGCAGCTTGGCAGGGCCATGCCTTTGTACACCTTCATCGCCATGCTGGTCCAGCTGCTGTAACCAGTAGTCGATGTGCTCGAAAGTGGCCTGGCAAGGTGACTTCCCTTTAATCATTTTAATTTTAATCAAGATCACCACTTGGATCCACTTGGTTCTGAAGAGTGATGCCATTTCCGCAAGACGCAGCATGTCCAAGTCATAGATGTCATAGATGTCATAGGGGCATCCTTGATGAGCCTTGATGTGTTCGTTCGTTTGTTCAGTGCTCACTGTGCTCACTTAAGTCACGTTCTCGTTCCAAGGCAAGATCCAGCAACATGAGCTCACCATGAAGAAGACCAGTGATCAGTGGCAGTAGGTCAGAAATGGACATTCAATTGCAAGAGAATGTGGACAGACTAAAGCACCACATTCTCACCACTTAAAAATACTTAAAACATCTTAAAGCACTTAAACATCTCAAAACAATTATGACGGAAGAAATGCGCCTTGTCCGTGATGTCGTAGCAAATCACAACACCCATTGCCTGCAACAACACTCGATGACCAGCAAACACCATCTGGTTCCATGCCGGCCAACTGGCCCCAAACAAGGCAGCGTTGCCGCTCTGTAGTAAGCTGGTGTAATAGTGCCTGCGGCTTCAACTTGCCATGGCATGCCATGGCACATCATGGTACATCATGGCACCCTGGCTATGCCATGTCCGAGGATCCAACGGAATCGCTCCTGTCCAGCGGTGTCCCAAACCTGAGACGTCGTTGTTCCAAGCTTCCAAGATCTTCCAAGGCACACGACACACGAAGTCCAAGGCTGGCCTGAATCTTCAGCTTTCGTTGATTGCGTTCCACTTGCTTCCACTTGAAGTCTACGCCTGGCGCAATGATGCAATGAGAGATGCAATATGATGCAATACGATGCAACTATTCACTCATATTCACTCCAAAGTTGAATGCAAACTAATGTTGTACAGGTTGTACTTGATGATCTATGACGATCTATGACTTACATGTTCAATACTTGTCCAAATTAGTTGAATCTGCCTATGGTCAGTACGAAGTTGGCATCAAACTTACTTTCGCAGAATCGCAGCAGCAGCGATGACCTCAGGATAGTGGCACCATGCCAACACATGGGACAACTGCGCGAGTGGGAGAAGCAGAACTATTTCCAACTACACTTTGGCTTCTGCTGCTTGATTCCATTACAATTACACAATCCAGTGGGTGACTCTACACCCATTCCAATGCTTCTCAGAGACAACAACTCCTGCAACTTGTGCCTAAACTGAGGCAGTAGCTTGCCAACGGCAGAGTCACCAAGCAGTAGCAACTTCACGAGATGGTCCTTAAGAAACCAAACAGATCTGCTGCCAACATGCTGTGCGAAGGTGCTTCAAGACGGTGCGAATGGAACGCAGTTCTCAGTATTTTTGATGACCCCAGACTCCAGGTTCGCACACTGAGATGCAAACATAATCACCCGTTGTAGCCATTCTTCGACAGCCTCCAAACGTGCGATCTCATATTCTGAGTACCGATCGTCAGTCAAAACTTAAGACACATCCAGCCGATTTAGCAGGCCTTGGCCACCCGGAGAGGTGCGAAGCCTTAGCGGCAGTGGTGCAATTTCCTGATAGTTCCTGCCGTGGCTGGGATACGTTCAAGATCAACGAAAGAAATCCTAAATAGCTCCAGGTTTCATCGGAAACAACATCGAACGACTTCGAACATTAAGCCATTAAGCCAATGCCACATGCTGCCCCAGGCACCAAATCTGCAGAGGCTCCGCAGTTTAGCTCTCCCTGCCAAGCTGCCCTTTCAGACTTGAGATGGCGGCGGAGGCTGTGCTACCAACCGTTTTACATGGGCTGCAATTCAAAGTTATCCAATGCCTAGACTTAGACAACAATTCAGCATCAATGATTTACTCACTCTAAGATATCTAAGAGTACTTGAATGATCTAATTTCACGCTTGCCAACTCATGGCGCTCACTGAAGATCCGCAACCCTTTTGCTGCTCCTCTCACTGAGATGTCTGTGGCTGGAATTCCTACAGGAGGATTCTTGCCGAAGTCAGTGCGCCAATCAACAGTTTGCTCAATATTTTGAGAGTTTACGAGTCCACATACCAGATATACCAGTCCATGTGTCTGCGTCGTTCTCTTCCGTTCAAATCGTGCTCCCCTGTTCCAAGGGACCTTCACATCAGCATGTTCAACTACTAGTGGTGTTGGATGGTGTTGGTGCATAGATCTGCGAGATTCTCCGCAGAAAATGCTCGGTGACTTCCTGCGCTTCCGTCCCAACCAGCTGAGCGCTCCGTGCGGCCACAGCACCGTTGCGTTGGGCAACGGCTCCAGTGCCAACTGTGCCGGCCCGCATAGGCCGCCGGCGAATCTCCATGCTGCTCGGCAAAGTTCTCTGCTTGGGATTAAAATGGTTTATTTTATTTAAAACATCCCTACCCCTCTAGAGGGGGAGGGCGGGGGGGACAAAACCAACCTGTCGAATTCCACTATTTTTTGCTTGGAAACCCTGGGATAGTGATCCAACCCCTCAAATGGAATTGTAAAGTAACATTCTTAACAAGCCTTGGGTAGGGATGTTTCAATATGTTTAAAGTTTAAATATGGTTCAACATGGTTCAACCATGTTCAACCTAGCCCAAAAATATGGGCCGTATTCATCCCGGGATTGAACATGACAATATATTGAAACCACCCCAGTCCTTCATCAGCACCAGAAGTACCAATCCTTCCATCTCCGAGAGGCCGGAGCGACTTGCTGCGGCTTCAGCCACGGTGCAGATCGCAGCGCCGCGACGGCCGTGATTTCAAAGATTTTCACTCTTCGACCTCCAGATCCTTCAGATCCTTCGATGATCACATTGGAATTCAGCACAGCAATATTCTTGCGAAGCAACCCTCGCAGAATCTTTGTCTGGCGTCGAAGCAACTTGCTGTCTCTGCAAGCGCCTTGGTCTCGGCACACATCTGCCTCTGCAAACGCTATGCGAAGGCAACTCCCAAAAAAAGCCAGCCGCACCGAGCATAGCATTGGCCATAGCTCGCAGCAAACCGCAAGGGCGGAGGGTGGAAAGCCGAGGCATTCCGCGGCAAAGGTATTTTCTAAACATCTTACTGGTATCGGTACTTGCTGCCTATCCAAGAAAGCAGTTGAACTTAAACATCACCATCATTCATCTGAACACCAAGATGAGTGCAAAATTGAGGCTGAAGCGCTGGGTGGATGGCAAGCTTTCCGAATTCAATCGCACAAGCGAAACTGGCCGGCGACCAGTCTTGAAACCGCAATAGCAATTGCTCCAAAGTGTTCCAAAACATCTGGAAGCCAATGGAAGCCAATGCGTCAACAAAAAGATACTACAAAGTCCAAGAGATGATAGGAAATCGGAATCCTGAGAAGCGCTGCACGCTATTTGTTCAGCAGCTCGATTGCGCGTGCAAGAGTCCGAAACTACGTGCTTTTTAAAGACATCACGTGCTGAACCTCAGTGCTTGCAGCTGCAGCTACCTTTATAAGCCAGACGTTGGCAATGCACAAAGGGTCGAGCACCTTCGTCAGGTTCGATGGAAGTTTTTGGAAGATTATGGAAGATTGTGGAAGTGTGTTTCGGTTGAGGGTTGTGGAAACATCGACTTTTCGCTGCCAGGAACTGCTAGTCCAATCAACTGCACGATTGCATGATGAGTGCATTATGAGCGCATGAGGTTTGCGTTTCCTTTAGCTGGTCCACCAAGTCTTGAAATCGTAGTGCTTCCACCAGCACTGCATTGGACGAGGCCTCTTGCGACGATGACAGCATCATCATGACTTGCTAAACCTTGGAGCTTCCACTGCGTCTCAGTCGCTGCCAGCATTCTTGAAGGGATATCTATGGATATCTGCTGAGACTCAACCATTGCACAGAATGTGTACGCATTCATACGTGTTGAAGTACAGTTGTTGAACGCAATAAACCCACCAAGGAAGCAGCTTTCAAAACAGTTCAACACCTTTTCAAAACCTCCCCGCCTTCTACCCCTTGACAAGTCTTTGCTAAGTGGTAGGCCAGCGGACTGGAGCAAAGCTTGCAGGCTTTTCAGGTGGATTCCTGCTGTCGACTGCGATGCAGAACAAATGTTTGTAGATCGCATGCATATTGACATGAAAGAGGATTTCGGTACCAAAAATGGATAAAAATGGTGGGGCGCACGCGACTTCGTGGTTGTTCCAGTCCAAAGTCTTGAGGTAGTGAACCTTCATTGCTGCAAAAGGCATTCTAATCTATCTTTTTGGGCAATGTTTTTTTACTGCTCCGAGTGGCCCCTGATTCTTCCGGAAAAGCACATCATCCCAACTGAGAGTGTTGCGATGTCAACCCGAGTCTGGAAGTCTTTGATGCCACTGAAGTTCATTTGGACCCGCCTCAAGCAGTGATCATAGTGATCAGGCAGTGCATGATGTGCATGGGTCTTACAGAGCTCAAATCTTGAAACAGACTGAAATGTGACTGAAAATGACTGAAACATATTATACATATTACGCATATCTGTGCTGCGTACCCTGATGCCATCACCCGTGGGTTCTTCATGTAGTTCCTCGGAGACATGCAGTGCTGTCACTTCACTGCCCTGATCGAATACATTTCATTGCTGAGAACACGGCATCAGTGCTGCTTCTAGCCACAAGACATTATCAACTCGGTCTGTACCCTGCGAACTACAGTGAAGAACTGGCATCGAAGACACAAAGACACAAAGACAAATCAACTACAAGCAAAATCTGCTCGAATCGCGGACTTAACCGGCCGCCTGTTTGTTCTGGATCTCCTCCAATCCACTTGCCCGCCCTTGCCAAGCAGGAAACAGGAAAATATGTATAGGCTATATAGATCTATATAGATCTATATACGGATTGTCCATGATCTCTCTTGAATTCTCTCACCACGAATCCTGGATAATCTACAGTGACAGCAGTCTGGCAGTGACATGCAACCCAGCTTTCATAGACTTGGGATCCGGCCGTAAACATTAAACATTGTAGGCCCCAGCTGTGTCTGCCCACCCTCAGCCATATCAGCGATCGCGACCAAGTCATGGCAGTGGCTTTTGCTACGACAATCACTGCCTAATTGCCATGAAGAGACCCTGGTGATTCTGTTGTCAGGATAGATGGAGTGACACTGCGAGCAGTACTTTTTGAAGTACCTGCTTCGAGTCAAGTTGTGAGTTCCAGCTCTTTGCAGAAAGTCTGTGGACACATTGCAGCCGAAACTGACTCCCAGATTCGGTTTTCCCTCTGCAGTTGAATGAAGATGAATGAAGACTGATCTCTAGTTCTTGTTGCTAGTCGCTGCTAGTCGCTGCTAGTCGAGAGTGCTTCAGTGCTGGGGCACTTCTCTCCCTTCTTGACACTGCCCTCTGGAAGCTCAAAGTCATCTGGAACATCATCAAATGCCTCGACTCGAAGCAGGTCCTGTAACTCGGCCTTTCAAAACAGCGACACTGTGCCGTCCTGAGATCTGCACGGCAATACTGCTGGCTCCCCCAAACATGGCTCCGGAGAACTCCTCATGAAATCCACACTTCCCATCATTTTTGGCCTTATGAGAGTTACCCGAAGATTTACTGCAACATTTCAAACTTATTGAAACCATGTAATCATATTGTAATTGTATATATATATAATTATAATATGTATATATATTATATATTATATACACATACAAGATTAGTTTGATAACCTTCGATAGATGCCCACACTGCGCGCAGAGACAAACATCCTTGAGCTTTATACTGCTGCAGATGCATCATTATCAAAGCATATCAAAGCAGTCCTCACACGCTGTAGTGCTGGACTTTGATGCCATGCAATTCCAGCGTGGAAGCCTGCTTGGAGTCACGTGCTAATCGATCGGTCCAGGGGATGAGCACACGACCGGAGTGTCAGCGCAATATCCGCGATCCATGACACTGTTGTCTCGTCATTGTTCGAAAGAGTTTCATTTAAGAATTTTAAGAGGATGAAAAACATTGAAAGACCGACAAGCTGAGGGAGGAACCACGGGGCAAGAAAGGAAAACATGGCACCAACTTTGTACGGCTGAATTATTGCACCGCTTTCCATCAGCTGGTGCTTGAGCCAAATGTTCCGGCATGTCCACCCAGCATGGGTGCCCATGGCATGTCATGCTACAAGGAGATACAAGGAGCTACTCCGGTAGTCCATAGACCAAGTGATCCGAAAAGACTGGATGTTGTTTTGAGATTTCTGGAACATGTTTGATTCAATTTTTGATTCCATATGCTTCGTGATGAATACATATCAATGACATGCAGCATCTTCTTTGCAAAGACCTGAAACCTTAATGCGATTTTGGGAAAAACTGCAGCAATCTGCAGCAGTGGACCTTCGAACCTACAGAGCTTTTGCCGTGAATACTTTATAATACTTTTACATAAGGTCAGTGGCTGAACGTTCCATTTGAGTTGTGGTCATCCTAAATGCGCTACAACCATCAGAATGCTTGCGAAATAATACAATTCATCAGAACAAGACTTCAAAAACCTACCTGTGAACTGCTCTGCTTATGACATCTCATGACATCTTATGACTACGTATAGGAATGACTTAAGATGGCCAAAGAGTAGAGGCCTGGTCACCATTTTTCCAATTTCGTGATCAGGCGTGAAATCGATGATCGCTGCAAGATCAGCTGCAGTTTGAAGCTCTTTCACTCCTTACATGTCCACCATCCAGCCAAATTCTGCAAGACTAGAAACTTCAATGACCACTTGTGAGATTCCTAGAATCGAAGTCTCTTGCTTGATAAACGGATCTTGAGAAACCGCGAAGCAGTGGACATCAAAGCAACCAGCGAAAGAGGGGAGGTTTCTCTTTTACTTCGCCTGTTTCAAATATTTCACTGACATGCGTTGGCAATTTGGCAATGCGGATAGGCTGTGGTAGGTCGATAGGACACAGGGCGAGAACGTTTCCAAAAATGGGTATGTCATGGCATGTCGCTAGTGGGGTGCTATTTTGAAACTCAGAATCCACGACATCCACGACCTATCACGACCTTGTGCTGCCCAGTCTCTAGGAAGTCTGGACCGGCCATCTGCCCAGTGACCGTGGCTCACATAGCCCCAGGTGGCCAAGCATAGTTGCGCCTGATCCCAGGATATCACGGGATATCCAGAGATATCCAGGGTATCTTTTTGAGAATGCTGCAAAATCCTGCAAAATGCTACGAATGCCAAAATGCACTTTCGTGATTGTCAAACAAAACTCGATGTTGCAGACCCAACGATTTGTTTCTTTTCAATCCCGAGAGTGAAACACATGGATCCGAATCTGTTGCTGAGTTCCTAACTCCTCCAAAGTTGAGCTCTGCAGCACAAGCTTGCAGAAAGGCAACGGAGTCATCCACTATCACCAGATTCTCCTCACGCGGATTTCTCTTTGGGGCGCAAACAAAGCAGAACATGGTCAAACAAATGTAGAGTCACCACCCCAAATCAAATTGGACTTGCTTCAGGTTGAGCGAGTCTTCTCAATTTGGAGCAACAGTAGATACATGCTGTAAAGTGTGCACATTGGGCAAGGATGGGCAAGGATGGGCAAGGATGGGCAAGGTATGCCACTGGGTGGATTTGAATCAAAACTAGATTGCAGCCAGTAGTCGCCATAGCCTCGAGACGGTATAGAATGAACAGCTGCTACCTTCTCCTCAACGGTGCCCAAGTTGGAATGTAGCTTCCATCCATCTTTCCCAGCCCAACTTCCTTGATGGTCTGGTGGACTGGAAAGATCTTCGATGCACTCCCCAGACATCTGCAGACTTTGTACAGCGGAAAGCTGATCACGGCTGGTGATACAGTGGACACTTTCCTCAACAGCCCCAGAGGCCACTGCGAGATGGACAAGTTCCAAGACTTCCCCGAAGAATTTTGTTTCTTCCAGAAGGCTGCAACTACTTTGGCGCCGGGAATCCGCCATCGCTTCTTGCAAATCTTTAATGTTCGGAACCCAGCGCGCCAACAAAAGATCTCGAAGACCACAAGACTCTGACCAATTGGATTCAATTTCCCCCACGGTCAGAGGTCTTGCACCAGCTCTGCCTTTTGCTCTGTTGGCGCGACAGGCGATGGCTTCTTCAACGCAAAGCCGCGCAAAGACGATGAGCTCCCACTCAGCCCGACATGCGGGGCGGAGTTGCTGAACTTTGTACAGCAACCATGGAGGTGCCGGACTGAGCTTTGAGGATCTGTGCTCCAAGAGTTGTTCCCAGTCGTAGTCAACCCAACTCTGTCGCACCCCGGCTTCATTTAAGGTCATTTCTTGAGCGTTTTTCATGACTTGTGGCCACAACACATAAGCTGCTCGGCAGGCCGCGATGCTCGCTTCTTCGGCACTGGCACAAAGCACGCCATCCAAACCCAGCACCAAACACTGGCTGTCTGGGTTAGCAGGTCTCCCAGATCGACAATGGACTCCTTTGCTGCTTTAGTGAGTTTTAATATGTTTATATGTGTTTTAATGTGTTTTAGTGGACCTAGTTGGGCATGCTAAAAGGCAAAAGAAATAACTGAGAAAACATGAGAAAACACAACTTCACCCAAGAATGAATGTCAATGGCCAGACTTTGACTTACTGCACAACACTCTCAGCCCAAGTGTCTTCGCACTGTCCATCTTTGGCAGCAAATTGCGATGAGGCTCGTCACCTTATTTCGTTGTGCTTGAGCATAGAACTGTTGGGTAGGCTCGTCAACAAAGCTCGTCACAAAAGTAATGAAAGGAGAATAAATGTGACATCAACCAGCTTTGTTGTGCTTGGTACCTGCCTACAGCAGCATTCCATCACCTGTTCTTGATCCCCCAAAAGTCATTGGGGTATGTCAAACTCCCTCTGCACTTGTTCTCCGCACCTGCCATCGGCCAAAGCATCGTGGGGATTGTTCTTGCTTCCAGTCCACCGGGACAACCTGGTTGTGAAAGCATCCAATGGATTCCAATGGCATGAAAAACTGCACAGGCTTTTGGTGACTGCGCCTTTCCCTTTGCTGAGTAATTATTTTTTCTTATTTGTCCACGTGCAGTTGACATCGAAGGTTCGGGTTAACGGTGCATGCAGGACCCGCGACAATAAGTGCAAATCAGCTACTCGCTGGTCCCGAACATGCGTCGAAGGTGTGGATGGCAACGTGGCGCAAGCGCGTAGCTCATGAGTTCTTTTCATGCTGGTACCACAGGCATCCCCGAGCAATCTGGAGTTATTTCAAATAAAGTATGCGTATATAATAATAGTTACTGTATGTATATCATTGTATATCAAAGTGTATAAATCATTGTCCCTCGATATGAATCGTCTTGGTAGGTACATCGTGGCCATCCAAAGCGTAGACGAGCTTCCAGTAGTTTGAGACAATTCAAGGTCCTACCTGGAATCATTTCATTCATCTCCCCTAGGCAACTTGTTGGAAACCCCAATCTAGATAGCAATCTGGATTAAGGTCACCAGTGGCCACATGTCAAAGGTTAGAGTGGCTTTCATATGCTTTGATCTCTTTGTCCAGCTTTAGCGCACCTGAGCCGTCCCTCTCCTGCCTACGGACATGCAAAAATCATAATGACATGCGACCGTTGGTTCACCATGCATCTGCTTCTGGGGCAATATAATTGTGACGGCTTTCATTTGGTGCTTTTTCACGCAATCCATCAGGTGCCTGAGCAAAAACGGTGCGTGTCAGGAGTGGGCTACAAGGTGGTACTGATGTTGTGGAATACACCTTTGATGCATGGATACACTTCAAGATATTTCACGGATGCTGTTTGTAGGCCAACCCCATGGCTGTGGAGCGCACTTGGTGCTCGTTCATTGGCCAGGAGCATTTGTCCGTCGCCGACACATCCGAAAGTGCTGACCATGCTTTGCATGGCGCAACTCATGCATAATTCCCTGACCGTCTTGCGCGAAACACACCCTGGGTTCTTGCCCTGCAGTGGGCATTCTGCGCAGTGCACATGAATTTGACAGGTGCAGGTCTGCCTCTGCATAGCCAAGACAAAATTAAATGCGTTTGATCACCCTGTAGAGTGTAGAGAAGAAATTTAGAGAAATTGTATCATTCAGCAAATGAACAGCGGATTTGCGGGCATTTTTGGCAACTTAGTTAGTTATCACTAACTACTGCAAATCAATGCGATCACTACAATGAGGCACTTGCGCGATAAAAATACGGAAAATGAGACACTGCATTGCAGTGCTCCATGGCCTATTGGGCCAACTCACTCAGAACCTGTACGTTTCGACTTAGGACGGCTACTGTCACAACTTAGAGCTCTGTTGCTCTTAACTGACCAACCCAATCCCACAGTTCACCAATGAGTCAGTTTCTTAGATGGTCTTGGATATCTCAAATGTTCCAGTGCTCAACTATGATGCTGCCGTAGCATGCCGTAGCATCCCCACAGCCAATACACTGAGGTGCTAAAGTTGCTGTGAATGCTGGCCTGGTCCAGCATTACCAGGATTGCAGGTCGCCAGATGCCTTACTCACATTGTCCTGCAGTTGATCAGCAAAAAATGTGGACGGAGCTATGTACTATGTACAGCCCATACTGGCCTATACCAACTCCTTCAAAATTGATCAAAATTGAAAAGTTGATCACTCTGTTGGCCATTTTGGCCCAACCTGTTGCCCATCCTTGTTCCTCTGACTCCACCAAAGCTGCCTGGGGTCAAAAAAGAACAGCCGCTCATCGACTCCCTGGTGCACCTCTCAACTGTCTGTAGTTTGGATTTCGAAAAATCTGAGATCTGAAAATCCTCAAGTCCATGCTGTATCATGGTGTAGCATTTATTTCTCCCATGGCCATAGCTTCCTCGCCTTTTGGCGGCCGTCAAAGGGTAAGGATCAAAGATGGCAATGGCCTGGTAAACGGCCTCAGATGACGGGATGGGCTCAGCAATTGCTTTGCTAATACTCCATTTTCAGACACACCCAGAATATCTTGATTAAATAATTTAAATATAATTATATCTATATCTATATCTATATATATATTATATGTATGAAATTATATGAAAATGAATCAAAAATGGCTAATATCCACAATGTCATAGCATGTCATGGATCCCCGTTTTGCTTGGTTTACCCAATTCTTGTTTGGTAAATCCTACAATAAGGATCTCCAATCGATTTCCGCAGCAGATCGGTGAAACTCGTGGCGCCCGGCCAGGTCCAAGAGGAGGAGGAGTGGAGTCAAGAACTCAGGCCAGGTAGCACTGGGTTCCATAGAGTGTCTAGTAATTTTATATATTGCATGGGGATTGGAATATTCACAGGTTTTTTTTGGGATGCCAATGGGATATCAATGGGATTTTTTTTGGCTTCACCAATCAAGCTGAAAATATATGAGATAGTATCAATATCTTGAAATTCTGGTGGAAGATAGTCATCTCAACTGGTGCAGCTTCTATCTCATATTTCGTCCGGAGCGGTCCAGCAAAAAAATGATCTGCCCAGACATGGCCATGATGAAACTGAGGACTGGGCCATGGGTAAAAAATACCGCTGATCGCTGAAGATTCCAACAAAGGCATCTGTTTTGCAGCATACGCATACCAGTGTGGAAGATTGGAATTGAAATCTGGCAACACGCAAAGCCATGTCAAAATCTGAAGCTTATACATAGTTCCTCTCAAGCTGGGAACAAAGTAGAACAAAGTTAGGGCAAACTCTTCATTCATGAAAAGGGCCTTCAATCTGGGGCTGCATCCAGTCTCCAAGTGGCGTTTCAGCCAGCACAACCAGCCTGCAATGGCTTGCAAGTTCCAAGTCAACTCGTGCAACAAGTCATTGCGGCTTCGAGTGGAAAAAACACATATACATATATATATATAACTATAATTATATATATATTATAAGATTTTCTGACAAGGTATCAGTGGGGAAACCTCACACCCAACCCTAGGAAGTTTGAACTCTGCAAATTGCAGCGGGATTTCAATGATAGGACGCCCTCTTAACATGCAATTGAATCACCTGGATCACACATTTAAACGACAAGAGATTTGCCACTTGCCAACTGAGCCGGTTGAACGTGACGATGAGGCACAAGAAGGAGAACAGCATGATCTGCGATGAATATGAAAGGCGTGAAGTTTCAGCGATGCCAAGATGACACTCCGTTCATGCTGCACATCCTGAGACTTCAGCCAAGACTGTTTCCTTGCGGAATGGACTTTCTGCCACCATCCATAGTCTAAAGTTCACAAAGACCTGCCATGAGCGGAATTTGACATGCACCAAAAAACATGTTTTACAATGTTTTACAATGTTTTACCATGATTCAACGTGAAAACTATACAATACAGGCTGGCCAGACCACGCAAAGGACGAAGGACACACAGGACGCGTACCAGAACTCCGTTTCCTTTCATCCAGCGGTGCAGCAGCGGTGCAGCAGCGGTGCAGCGGTTGCATCCAAGCCACTTCCGGGTCGAGCGAGCCAACTGTGAGGTTGGGCACCATCCAGGCCAGGCCGCCATGGTACAATGCACTGGCGAACAGCCGAGGGATCAAAGGCTTTTACCATGTTTTACCATGCTTTTCCGCCCACACCATTTAAGGAAATCGACATGAAATCACATGCAGAGCTTGGATGGCTTATGCATCATGATATTTGATCATATTTGTTGTGCTGCCACACCACTTTATTACATGATACTACATCAATATATATATATATATCTATATACACATAATATCAATATAATATTCTGCCAGAGGTACCTCAGCATCCATGCAACAAGGATCTTTGCGTTGAAGCGCATCCGCCTGTCAGATGGAATGCACATACACTTTTCCGCGAAAAGACATTTCATCCTGCAAGTTCTTGAAGTTGAGACAAGAACCAGTCGTCCAAATGCAGAACATGGCGGAACCATGCAGAAGTATTTTTTTGAGAAGTATGGAGCACAATCTCTGTTCTGAGAGAAAAGTGTTGCACTGACTGTGGTCCACCGACAGCGCCGAGAAAGGTAATGGTGCAAATTAAATACACTTTTTCAGAAGAGAAATTCATGGATTCATCAGTCAAAGTCTTGAAGTTCAGGCAAGAAGGCAGTCTTGCAAGCGCAGAATGTCCTAAAACAATGCGTTCTGAGAAGTCTTAAGAGTGCATAAGTATGGTTCTGAAAGAAAAAGGTTGTGCACTGAAAGCATTGAGAAAGGTAACTTTGTTCTTGCCATGGGTTTGCCTTTTGCCTGATTCTTTGTAAATCTTTCTAATTATATAGAAACTGGCAAACGAAGATCCAGAGCCTGAGTCCTTCAATGTAAAGATCTGGGCGCACCAATGCCACCTGATCCAGACTACGATTGACTGTGTGCAACAAATTGGCGCAGGATGGCGCCCAGTCAAATGTCAGATGTCAGTAGATGTCAGTATATTACTATTATAATAATCTATAATATACGTACTATTATACTATATATTATATAATATTATATAGTATAGATTATTATAGATTGATATAGTATCCAGTCAGCAAATCACTTTCATGGACCTCGTCAGGAATGTCGAAGTCCAGACTCACAACCACAACAACGGGCAGGCCACAAATCACGCTGGCAAACCTGACCCAGGACGAAACCTACGACAGAGCATCGAAGCAACTTGTCCGAATGCAGCTTCCAATTTCTCAGCCACGCACGCAGAGTTCAACCACTCAGGATATGCGATCTTGGCCGCAAACCTGAGGGGAACTCAATACAAACATTACACATATGGGACAACACTAGGCCATTTGGCATCGCCGCAAGAAACACAGCAAACATCACGGCTATGAGGGATCTGACGTGATCTGATGCGCGAAGAAAATGTCTCCCACTGCCAAAACAGTGTGCTTGTAGAACATGTAGCAAATGAAGGTTGCCACGCGTCGGTAAGCGCGTCGACCTCATCCGTATCCGCCACAGTGGTTGATCCAATTTGCCATTGTGGGGCTGTCTACGAGGGATTAATCACGATTAAAATTAAATAATCATTTTTTTTCACTACAAACAAACATGTCTAAATATGTGTAATTTTGGATGATTTGGGGGTTCCCCATGGCTCTATGCAGCCAAGGTGCCATGGCAGAACAGCAATGGCACGAGGAAGCGAAATTGTGAGATTGCCACGTCGCTTGCCTCGTGGTGGGAAGCTCCAAATGCTAAAACGACTGTGGAAACAAGGAAAACCTGGACCTCAGCAGCATCTAGTATCAGCATGTATCAGCTATTATTTTTCAATATATCACAATGTATGAACCATTATGAACCATTATCAATGTGCCAACAAAGAAAATCAGGGCAGTGGTGGTCTCACGCCTGAACTGCTTGATTTCCTTCTTTACCGCGAATGCCTGCCATGCTTTCAAAATGATCCAAAATGCCTGTTATCCTCGTAGATTATGACGGTGCCAAATTGCCATCAACATCCATCAACTGACACGATCGTCACATTCTTTCGCCTATGCCCACATGTGCACCCTGTATCATGGGCACATCATTGGCTCCATCACCAATGGCCAAGGTGATGCCACTCCTTCGCCGCAACGGAAATAAACAGTATCATGAAAATTGCATCTTGCTTGCAGATAGCATGTATGACATGTGCTTCCGCAGCAGGCACAAACAGGGTACAAGCAGGGACCCAGTATGACTGGTTGTGATGTTTTAGCAGTTCCGCAGCAGGCACGTATAATACCTCTCATCCCCCTTGAAAACTAGATGCTTTCAGCACCCAGAAAGGGAGTTGAGCTAACTACTGGCAGCACCAAGAGTTTCAAATGAAGCTGTACACCCTTGCAGGTTCTTCAAACTGAACCTTGGAACTACTGGAGGCTGACCTGAAGGTGGCCAAGTCTACGCTCATCGGACACACCCTGTGCCTTCCAAAGTCACTATGACCGGTGACTCCGCAGTGATTTCGCTCTCCCAATTTCGGTTCAAGATGATGGCACTAAGCAGCTGGCGCTGTGAGTTGGAAAATGCTCAGAGCAGCATTCTGTTCTTCCAACACTTCCTGCAGCACTGACACTTTGCTGCCCTGCTCATGACTTGGGGCCTTCTGTTGAAAACGTCCTAAGATCAAACGACTCTCGTTGTTGCTCCAAAGGCCTTTTGCCCATTGCCGGAACTGCTCTTGAACCGGCTGAGCCTCGCAGTTCACTGGATGCATCTGAGACTCCGCAGCAGCCAAATCTACGCCACCTATGAAGACAAACGAACTCCGCACAGCATTACAAGCTGCAGCAGCTGCATTTCGTTCTTTCACTATGGCATTCAACTTGCCATTGCCTTCATCAACTGCAGCATTGTAGGACTCAACAGCTGATCTGTGGTCTTCAACTAGAGCATTGTACTTTTGCACTTCCAGATTACAGGCTTCAACCGATTTGCTGCTGTACTGATCCAAGGCCTTTTTTGCAGCCTCCACTTTCTTCATCTGCTTATCCGAAGCGGATCGCAAGGACTGGATGCGCTCCTCCGCCTTTGCACAGCGTTGTTTGAATTGGGCTTTGCTGATCTCCAGCTCTTGATCCATCTTCTTGACCTTTGCCTCTTCCTGGAGACCCTTTTCATGCACTGTCCGCAAAGCTGGCACTCGATCGGCAGGAAAGTCTTGTGGAATTGTATATTTAGGAATACACTGTTCCGACATCAATTTCTTCGAATGTAAAGGGCCTTCCAACAACCAGTGGACCACATCAAGAAGCACTGCCATCCGTTTGCAGTGTTGCAACTCTGGCACGAAGCGAGCTACAGTGTCGTAATGACGACTGAGATACTGTGCAATTCTGGAGGCAGAGCTGTGTGGTGCCTCTGGGGCATCTTCATACTTTCCGGTCAGCTTGTTGAACTGCTGGGCGCGAACTTCGACTCCCATCTGCACTTCCGGATGAATCAAGATCGTGTCCTTGCCCCAAGGCATTCTCACCATCTTTCTGCAAACTATCCACAAACGAGCGCAACCTGTGTCACCCTGTGCCACATCTGGAAAGTCCTGTGGCACATCAACACCCAACTTGAGAGGTCTCTGTTGCCCTGTGGCATCATCGTAGACAACACCTTGAGCAAGTTGTTTCAGCTTCCAATCTGCACGCCACATCCAATATCCAAGTGGAATTTCATCCAAGGTGCCTTGGGAGTACCACTTGTGCTGGTACAATGGAGACTTGGCGCTCCTATTATTCCAGCTCTTGGGATCAACAGGATCCAAACTGAATGCCACGGAGAAATGTGGCCTGGGCAAACCAGCAATGCATCGCAAAGCTGTTCCTATCTCAGTGGCTGTGAAGATCATGGCATTTTCAGACAATGGCAGCTGAAAAAGAAGTCCACTTGATTGATCAAATGAGAGGACAGAGACGTCCTGTCGAGGGTTGGATTCCTTGGCTTCAACCTTGGTGACTTGATGCAGCTCTCTGATCTCTCTGGATGGAGGATTGAACCTTGGCAAAGAAGTCTTTGGAGACTCTTTTTTTTGCGTCATGAGCATCTGGATCACTTTGCTTTTCATTGCTTCAAGTTCACCTTGAATTTGTGGACTTTGGACCCAGTGAGGCCCAAGTCTCAGCCTTTTTTCGGTCGCGCCCCGGTACTTGGCAAAGGGGTTGGCAGGCACCTTGACTGCAGCTGGGAGTGCTTGACCCTGAAGAGCGTGGGCCCTTCCAACTGGCTGATCAAACTTCATCAGGAACACCACAGGGCGGGAAGGAAGAGGCTAAGCGGCTAAGCGGGTATAGATATCACGAAAACTAGTGTAAATGAGGGGGCAATAGGAGGCATATACAACAACTATCAACAACTAGAATGTCATGTCCGTCATGTCTAAAAAATCGAGAGTTGACATGAAGGTGATCGAAAGTCAGGATTCTGTGTTGTGCACTGTCTTGCAACATTTGATTTGACTTTGCGGTCTTTGAAGCTGTCTATGTGAGCCAATCACTATGAATACGCCAATTCCATTTGCAAAGGCAAATGAGAACAGCTTGCTGCAACATGAACGCTCGAGAAAAGTCTGTTCTGCTCTTTGCTCTCCTGTTCATATCCTTCACCATTTCAACCTGCCAGTTTCAACTTCGATGTTAGACTGTTAGAATCTGTTAGACCTTGAATGACCTTGAGCAATCTTTGTCCAGTCCACGTGCCCTTTGGAACTTGCCCTGTTCAGCTTTCGTGACTATGAAGAGCTGCGCACCAGTCGCCGCTTCTGCTGTGGAGATAAACGGCAGCAGACCTTGGTGCTTTGGATCTCTGTCAAGTCTGGGTCTGAAATGGTTTGAATTTTGGATAACACATTTTGATGTGGAGGTCTCATGACGACTCCATTTTTGACCTGACCAAACCATACCAAACCCAAATTCCATCAAATTCCACTCATGAATGGCGAGCTTCGGTCCTAACAATTTGCCATAGCACGGTCCCACATGTCATCCTGGGGTAGATGGTTTCGAGGGAAATTTGCAACGTTGCTGAGTTTCCTGCGCATGTTTGACTTGAAATGGCAAGTTCGTACCTCTACGCATATTTTTTTTAAAATGAAGATAAAGAGACAAATGCTATGGGAAAAAATATGAAAACAAGAACGCTGTTGCTGTAACCCCACAATTTGATTTGTGTTTAGCATAAAATGCGAACAGTGGCCCAGAACTTAGATGCCTATTCTTCAGCATATTCAGTTGTTTATATGTTGTTTATCATTGTTCAATAGTTTAACTATGTTTAACTCATTGTTAATCTAATTGTTTATCTGTGTTTATCTCATTTGTCACACGTGACACCCCTATGTCCGCATCTGGCAGGGCTTGCAGCATTGGACGACCATCCTTTGATGTCAGGATCTGTTGCACAAACGTGCCTCAGGCGTACATCGCATCTAAAGGTCATGGCATGTGTGAAATTGGTGAACTGGAATAACTGGAATCCAAATGTCATCCCTTGAGTTCATTTGAATTCTCCATCCTAAACTCACACTCAAAAGATTTGGATCATTTTGGATTTACAATTGGTGCACTAAATTTTGACATGCCAGCAAAAAGCACGCACATTTTAAAGTAGAAACAAAGGCAGTGCCGCATGGCTCAGGATGCTCAGGTGACAACCATCAAGTACAAGTCCTCCATCTGATTCCCCTTCGATGGTTTTCTTTGCTTCCTCACAAAGAATTGGTCATTGGATGTCATTGGTGCTGGATGTGCTGGTGTCAATGAGTCAAACTTCGTCGCTTCTACCTCGGTCGCTGGTGACATCCGGTGTCTACAGGATTTCACAGGTCCTCTATCAGCTGCAAAGCTTGGCTTTCGCTGCTACAATTCACCTGGCTGAGCTTCGGAATTTGGGATGAATTGGGATGAAGATGGATGAAGCATGAAGCCACCAAGACCAAGGCTTTCGTCTGCGATCTCTTGAGACCCAGACCAAATATGCCAGAGTCGTCTTCTCGGTAAATAGTTTGCACGCTTTTGCGATTTCAACCTGATCCAAGCAATAACCGACTCATGCCATAGAAGGCTGCTGTAGCCCATGCTGTACACAGTGTAAGCCCAAGGCCGCTGTTTCAGTTTTGTCACCTGTAAGCACCCAAAAACGGATGCCAGCTGCCTCGGCACAGGATGGCACAGGCATACATTGGCGCTGCAATTGGCGCTGCAATTGGCGCTGCATCTTCAGATGGACTCAAGGGGCCCGGTCCTTGACGGAAACGATTGCCTCAGGCACGCCATCTTGCAGCTTGTCCTGCACAAATGCAAATGCCAAGTTCCTCCAAACAGCACGAAATAGTACGACATGTTGTTTGCTTGTTTTCCATTGGATCTTCCAAAACGCTAGATAACAAGAATATCAGGACCAAACCCTGCTACTGCCTCTTTATTCTTTAAATTGAAAATCGTAGGCACTAGTGTCACTAGCTGTCACTAGCAGGGCTGGTTCGGAACGCAGCAATTGCATCTGGTTCCCTGCCTCAATTGCAGTGACCCCAGCAGGTCTCAAGGAGTGCTCCACTTCGGCAGCTATTCTTGCCATCTCTCGCTCACGATCCTTCGGCATGGGCATGGAAGGTTCAGATATGTTAAGGAGGACAGCTTGGAAGACATCCTGCAGGGAAGAGAATTCTCCCTAGTTTAGGTTGGAAAAAGTTGGAGAGGACACTATGGTAACTACTGTGCACATGCAGAAATGAATCAGATTGCAAGCACCTCTGCGACAGTGGCTTCTTTCCATCGTGCCAGCCAGTCTTCTACGAACTCGTGATCGTTGAGCTTCTTCGACGCGATCTGCGACCATGCAACAGTCGAAAGGAGTGTCAAGTCTGGTGTCTGTGCTTGACCCACCAACAACCTCTGCAAGTCTGTAAGACACCCTTGCTGGAAGCTCAGCATGCGAGAGCAACATGTGACGCATTTACGATGTAAATAAGCAAAGACAACATTCTTATGCTTTTGCAATGTACAGCCATTCTGCAGCTGCAATGGCAAGCCAGGCGTACCACAAGCGTTCGTAGACCCAGCTTAGAGTAGTGGGTGAGACTTGACCCAAGGGAACCCCCCAAAGGTCGATCACACAAAGGCCTCAGGCGTTTTAGTTGTGAGACCAGTTGTGCTCAAACCCTGGTCTGTACCCCGCAGCAATTGAGGGTCCAGCCCCATGATGTTGTCTGCCCCCTTGCACAAACACCAGTACTCACCTCGCGCTTGGAACACCGTGGTATGAGGCCCACTTTCAGCTGCTGCAGCTTGTGATATCTTGCAACCGCTGCAGCTTCAATGCTGCTCCGGGCATCTCCGAGCATCTCCGGGCCTTCATGCTTCACTATGACGCTCATTCGCTTGCGATCTGAAGAGAAGGGAATCTCGCCTTGGCGGCAACACCGTGACGGCTGTGGCATTGGTCCCAACATGTCATTCACAACAAGCACCTAGACAGGAAAACCATGGAAAACCATTGAAGACCCAGCTCTGGTCTCGGTTCCCAACCCAGTATAGTGAAAGTGAAGTCCTTCGAGCCGGGCCCCTGAACGACGACTTCCTGAGATGGACCAGAAATGGATGTTCCCAACAGCAGTGACTGTTGGGTTTCAATCTCTGGGTCTGGGAGTGGTTCCTCGTCTTTTGCCGACCGACCGCAATGCTGGAACCCTGGAACCTTGGAACCTGCTTTTGGGTTGCAAAGCTGGGGCGATGATGACACCTTTGCAATAATTTATTGCAATTGACACACAGGGGATGCAAAAAGACCTGAGACTCGAGCGGAAGAACTTGTTCCAGGAATACGTGTGCGAGAGAGGAAAGTGACGCCTAGGAAGGCTACAAGGCAGTTCACTTTGTTGTGGCATGTACAGTTCGACAAACGCAAGATGTTACAAGTGTGAATATACATACTATAAGTATCTATACGTACTGATACGTACTGTATATCGCAGAATTGTCTCAGTCTGAGAGAAACGCCGACTGCTTGTGCAGCTTCCACAAACGCGACCTGGCTTTGGGGATTTTCGAGGACGTGCCAACATGGCGCAAGCTGAGTGAACCAACGTTGCACAAACAAATCTGAACCGCTCTGAGAGGCGACTGATCAATGAGGGACTTTGGTGCGATTGATCAACATGCCTTGCCTCATCTGCTGAGCTACCCTCGAACTTCTTCTCAATTCCCTCTCCTTCAACCTTGGACGATCATGACGATTTAATCAAATGAATCAAATCGATTCGAAATCGCTTTTCATTCCAACGTCAACATGTGTGACACACGAACACTTTCCAAGTTTTACAATCACAGAAACTGTCTGAGGAACTGGAAACATCTGGAAACAAAAAGGTCAACTCAGACCTACTAAGATCATCTAAGATCTGGACCTGAACTGAATGATTGGCAGCGAGGTTGATGAAGAACCACAGAACCTACAAAAGATGCACAAATTATGCAAATGACATTGAACACATTTTGGGTATGGATCAAAACATATCAAAACCACTCAAACAGAACATCTCACGCCGTCTCATGCCCTGATGTTCAGAAAATTCATGGATGTTCGTCCAAGTTCTCATTCCTCTAATGAGAACTATGGTATTTTAGGCTTGACACCATCCCGCACTGATGACAGTCGCATGGCCCACCCTTTCCCCACCTCTTTGTATCTTGGATCACTAGGACTTGACAGAACGAGCTTCCCTTCACAGACCCCAGGTGCGTCCTGATGCATCAGCATAGGCTGGAAACAAACCAGTCTTAAAGCATCAAAGAGTTGTACTCACGAATATCAAGATGGTGACATATGTATATATATATAATTATATAATATTCTGGCAGGTAAGAGATCAGCACTAGGACATCCAAATTTTGACTTGAAAACAACTTGCAAACTTTTGCAACCGCACCGGCACAGTCCAGAGATGCCCGGATGCCTCCGACTTCTCGACCAGCTTAGCGGTCTGTCTGAAGTCTCCCAGCTCCCGAGCGTCATCGTCTTCATGGCAAACCTCAGCACCCAACTCTTGACGCAGCGACGCAGCATTGCTGTTGACACATCTTGACGCCGGCTCGGTGCCCGACACAGCAATGAGCAAACACCATCTCATTCTCCGTGAGAGTTCCAGTCTTATCAGAAAAAACAAAATTGACCTCAGCTCGAGCAATTTATAGCCACTCTACCAGGTGGAGCAAGGTCAGACCATTGAATCTGCAATTGTGTTGAGAGCACGGCCTGCCCCATTTCCTCCACTAAGTCCGCAGTTCTTGCTGAAGCTCCCAGTTTCGTCCTTTCATTTCGAATGGTTTCGTCTCTTCGGTGCCAGACAAGATCTTTTGGAGAGCAAACACACATACACACACACATGTATCTATTTATATACACATTATATATTTATTGTTTATATACACATCATATATGTTGTATATATATATGCACATCATACAAATTATTCATTACATATAAACATAAAAATGTATATATATATTCCTACATCATGGTGTATATGTATATACTATATATATACACATATCTAATCTTCTTCTTATTAATCATGTTTCAATACTAATCACAATAATGACAATTATCCTTTGTTTCTTTAAATCACTGTCACCATTACGATTATACTATTATTATTGTTAGTATTATCATTACTATTATTACATTGTTTGTTTTACTATTAATGTTGCTGTTGCTGTTGCTGTTGTTGTTGTTGTTGTTAGTTATTGTACTTATTATTATTAGTATTACCATTATTGCTGTTCTTGTAATTATCAATTGTTGCAATTATATGTTATTATTTTCACTATTACTATTGTCATCCCTGTTTGGCACACATGTTTTCAAGTCCGAACAGACAATTCAAATTCAAACATTTTATTGACATTTGCAGGCTGGACAATGGAACACAAGCAGTTCGAGCTTTTTTGAGAGCAAATTCGAGCGCACATACCCGCAAACGAGCGCCAAAATCAAAGCAGTCACTCTTGAGGGTACGGGTATTATCACATGGGTTAAGATCTTGAGTCGATTTTTTAAAGTTTGAAATTTTCTGGCACTTGTACCAAAAAATATCGTAACCTTAAAATTGGGAAAATTGGACTATAGTTTGAAGGTTGAGGAACATGTTATCTATTCTTATATATCGTCTATACCTAAGAACTCCAGCAAGACATAGGTTCAGCCTGAAGAGGAAAAACCGACTTTTAGGATGTCAGGCTGAAAATTAGGTCTGAGGGTGATCTCAGGCTATTTTAACATTTTCAGGCTGATTGCTTGAATCTCTATCTGAATTTGGTAAGAAGTCAAGCTCAAACCAGGCATGAATCCAAGAACTATTTGACCATCCTTTTCTCTTCTGGCACAAACTAGATCAAAAGACTAGCACAATATTCGGAATTCAAACAAAAACACTACACTGTTGCACACTTGTGTTAGTGGTAAAAACATATCTTGCCAGCTTTGCGAAGTTCATGAAACAGTTTCTTTCCACTATATGACTGGTTTTGAATAGTTTGGGGACCCTGGGATTTCAAGCTTGGTTTGGAATTGCAACCTTGAATTTATGAAAATATCGAGCTGAATTTGGTTAACAACCAACCATTTTCATGAAAAATTCGGGCAAAAAAAACGCACTAATCGGGCAAAAAACGCCGAAACTCATTTTTTCGGATTGTGCATTTATTTTTAAAGTTCCAATCCTGATTGCTTCAACATGTTCGTGTTTTTTTGATACAACTCACACGAAGACTGAATTACCTATGGCCATGTCCCACAATCTGAGGCTGGAAGTTTTAGTTTGGGGATGCAAATGCAAACCAGTCAGACTTCCCGATCCATCAGCTAACCCGACTGCTGCTTTGCGTTTCTGACATTGCTGATCTGCAGATGATGTTAGTTTGGAACCAGCTTCTTTTGGGATTTCCAAATTATGCAACCCCAATCCCATTCAACAAGCGAAATTGATCTCCATACCATTGAACCAGCACATTTTGTCCAAAGTGCTCGGACTATTTTTTAGACTCGGGCCAAAAATCTTGGTTCAGGCTACATGTTCAGCCTGAATGCATTCAGACCATCAATATGGCCTGAGGATTTCGTAGGTATATATATATAAACTTATTCTACATATATATATGGATGAAATACAACAATTCACCAACCTGAAAATAGCTGTGATCATACGGCCATTTGGGGATGATTCCCCGAATCCTAACCATCATTCCAGTCACATCACAATGAGGTCATTTTAATATAGACAAAAGATTGATATATATATATATAGATATACATAATATATATATATATATACATAATATATATATATATAGATACATAATATATATATATATACATAATATATATATATACACAGATAGATATATAGATATAGATATATTATATTATTCTATATTATATTATACTACATTATGCTATATTATATCGTGCTATATTAAACTATTATAATTTATCATATCATGTTGTTTTATATTATATATTCATATATCGAGTCGTGCGAGTTACCCAGGGTCCTGGGATCTCTCATCTGAGGATCCCTGTTGATCTGGACGCCAAGGATGAGTTTCACCTAAGCGCTGTGACCCAAACGGCCCATATGCCGGGTCTGAATGAAAATGGGGGAGATTTCTTGGATTGGCACCTTTTTTTTGTTGGCTTATACTTATATATACTTATCACATTTTCCCACTTGAAATAGGGAGCAACTTGGCCACCCGGACAATCTCAAAGAACACGTAGAGACTGATTGGTATGATCTGGTAAAGAATAATCCTCCCAGTCAAGAGGCGTCACGGCTTCCAAGCAGGTGAAATGACAAAGAAATGACAATCAACTGACAAAGAAATGACAGTGACTGCCTCTTGCCCAAGTTCACAGAAATCCCGGACAATGAGAAGCAATGAGAAGCAAATGGAGGATTCCCATGATTAAATATGATAATCCCCTACATAGGGTAGTACAACCATAACCCCCCATCATCTACCAAATAGGGTTTGTGAACTGCTGATATATCATTCCATAATATGGCTGCAACCAGTTCTGTCCAGTAGAAGAGGAAGCGCAAACCCCAGCTTCTGCCATCTTCTTTGCTGACACCCTGGCGAGGCTGTCAATCCTTGAGGACAGCTGTAGAAGTGCAGACTTCAAGAAGACCATAGGGAAGGCTCGAATGCTTCCATTCGAGGGGGCGTGGGTACTCTTCAATTTATCCGCATCCAATGTCGCAACGGAAAAACCGGCATGTTTAGAGGAGGGTCATGACAGAATGGTAAGATTTGATGAGATTTCAATCATTTTCTATTGCCGTGTTTGTTTGGGGTACTCTGTCTGTAAAATTGCGTTACTTGATTTTAAGGGCCAGCACTCCACCAGGGTACCCCAGACTTACCTATTCAATTTCTTCACATTTGAATAGCCATTCTGCCATTCCCCAAAAAAACTGGCGCTCAGTCTTTTGGGGCTTAACGAGTACATATGTGCAATGACATGACAGATCTGAAGCAACCGCAAGGCATGAATGGGAAAGCTAGCAACGGCAGCCCTCCACGCTAAGAATTGAGACTCAAAGTGTCATGAACCCCCATGCTTTGCAGGATTCCAGAGTTGCTTCCTATTTTCTTGCTGTAGAGCTGGTGGACATTTAGGTATTGCTGCCTAATATTCGTCAAAATTGGGTACCCCCAAACACGGGTGATGCATAGCAACTTTTTTGGCCTGGATCTCTGCAGAAGTTGCACAGTAGATGCACCACAAGAGCAGTGCAACCACCAAGCCCTGTGCCGAGTTTTGAGCGGAAAGAACATGACGATAAGTCTATAAGTCTTTGGATTCAGAGTTCTCCAAACTACGATAAGTAAAAACATGATCACACAAGAGAAACACGTTTCAAAGCTCTCCTCATACATTCCATACATTCCATACATTCCATACAATCCATACATACATACATACATACATACATTACAAAACATACATACCATACCATACCACTCCATACCACACCATACCATACCATTTTCATACCATACCATACCAAACCATACAATACATACATACATACATGCATGCATACATACATACATTAATTACATACATACATACATACATACATACATACACACACATACACACACATACACACACATACATACACATACATACACATACATACACATACATACACATACATACACATACATACACATACATACACATACACACACATACACACACATACACACACATACACACACATACACATACATACACATACATACACATACATACACATACATACACATACATACACATACATACACATACAGACACATACAGACACATACATACACATACATACACATACATACACATACATACATACATACATACATACATACATACATACATTACATACATACATACATACACATACACACACATACACACACACATACACACACACATACACATACATACACATACATACACATACATACACATACATACACATACATACACATACATACACATACATACACATACATACAAATACAAACACATACATACACATACATACACATACATACACATACATACACATACATACACATACATATACATACGTATACATACATATACATACACATACATATACATACATATACATACATATACATACATATACATACATATACATACATATACATACGTGTACATACGTATACATGCATATACATACATATACATACATATACATACATATACACACATATACATACAAACACATACAAACACATACATATACATACATATACATACATATACATACATATACATACATATACATACATATACATATATATATACATATACATACATATATATACATATACATACATATATATATATATACATATACATACATCTACATACATATACATACATATACATATATATATATATATACATATATATACATATATACATATATATACATATACATATATATATACATACATACATATATACATATATAAATATATACATATATACATATAAATATATATACATATATATATACATATATATACATACATATATATATATATATACATATATACATATATATACATATATACATACATACATACATACATACATAGATACATAGATACATAGACACATAGACACATAGACGGTTGATAAAACATTCGCCAGGGCCTGGACACCTCGATTGAGGTACACCTGCATGTTCGAAACCTGGCAGCTTTGGCAGCTATGAGCATGCGCCAACTGAAGTTGCCAATCTGAAGTGAACAATTGACGACTCACAATCTGTGGGTGTTTGGCAAGAATGAACATGGCCATTATTAATCATCATAAGCATATACATATAATACCCCTTGTTTGTGCCTTTACGAAGCATTTTATAAAAAAACATGGTTATAAAATGGTCCTCCGTCAGCCAACATCCAGACAGCAAGTGGGAACCCTCTATGAAATGACCTGTCCGTCACCTCTATGAAATGCTTCTCCGCAGACAACGCGTGTGCAAAGACAGGCAGTGCGACAACGTGCACAAACCCGGTAATCATCTATAAAATGCTGCTCCAATCTAGGTGTTATCTTCGAAGCGCTGCTCCAATGTATTCCAATATGGCATCACATATCTCTATAAAAAAGCCTTTCCCACAGGCGGTTGCTAACCCATCTGATTTGATTCATTGGCGCAGCGACGTGCAACTTTTTGTGATTACAGTATGTGTAATACGCCGGTATGTGCCGGCAATATCGGGTAATACATGGGGGAGATTAACATTTTTTTCCTTCGGGATGCAAAACAAAAACACTTATTATTACAGCAACCCTCGTCAATTTTCATTCTTTTATCACTTTCATTTTTTGTTATGTATGTTTGAGTCAAACTGTTTTTGTTTTTAATCACCTTCCTCAGTGCATTTAGAAAAAAAAGGAAAGCAACATAAAATATATTCACACCATTCTTCAAGATTTTCACTGCCTTTCTTTCAACTATTTTTGATGGGTGGGATGGAAATGAAAGACACAGTAAAAGAACGTGTTTTCAATGAATTGTTGTTTCCTTTCTTCTCCGACAACAACAAATAGACTTTTTATTTATTTAATGCATTTTTCATGAAACGAAAATTAGTATCCAATAATCATGATAGTAATAATAATAATAAAAGTAAAAATAATAATCTTATATACAAATTCATTTTGAACTCACCCGCCCTTTCTCCTTTTTCTCGTTGTGGCCACCGTTTCTCCCATTGTGTTTTCATGTTGTGCTTCTCCGTTGTGGCTCTTGCGGTTGTGCCCGGGCTTCCCCAGCTCAGAGATGGCTATCGATCTCTATGAGCCCCCCTCCACCCCCATCCACCCACCCTTGGAAGCAACCACATAGTACCAAATCACCGGGACCACCCAAAGAGTGGGAAAATGCAACAATAAAATTAGCACCACCGACCCCTTCACCTCTGAATCAAAATGCTTTGAAAGTTGGGCAACTACCTAGAAAGGCACATAGGAAGACTCCAGACTATACCCAATAGGGGGATTGGGTTGGAAGTGCATGTGGCACAACATCTCCCAGGGACTGTGTGGAGTCGGCACTGCAAATATAAGGGCAAGACCCAACCCTACTGGCCTGAAGCATGGCCACCTAGATATCATACCCCATCCGCCCTCCTCCGCACCCATCCGCCCTCCTCCGCACCCATCCGCCCACCCTTGGAAGCAACCAAATAGTACCAAATCACGAGGACCACCCAAAGAGTGGGAAAATGATGGAAGATGCAACAATAAAATTAGCACCACCAACCCCTTCACCTCTGAATCATGATGTTTTGAAAGTTGGGCAACTACCTAGAAAATAACAAGGCCCCTAACAAAATAAAATGTGGTGACCCAACCCCCAGTAGCCTCTCGTAAAATAGGATGAGGGGCCTTACCCCTGAAGAAATTCGTAAAAACAAAATCACCTTTCAACATCAAATGAAATTGGTGGCTCGCTCTTACCTTTTGAGGCCCGAGCATGCTATAAAATAAAATGCAAAGACAACGTTTCAGGGATTTCATTTTGGGATAACCAAGGGGGGTACTCGGAGAAAGCATTTTACAGAGACGCTTCCCGGGAACATAGCAGGCTGATCTCCCCGGATGAGTCTCTATGAAATACATTTTCCGACTGGGGATGCCCCCAACCCGTGCTTCCGCGCCCCTCCCCCGCTCGGAGAAAGCATTTTATGGAGATGTTTCCCGGGAACGGAGCAGGCTGATCTCCCCGGTGGGGGCCCAAACTAGGGCAAGGACAAGAAAATAATTGAGCCAAACGAAATAAAGGTTGCAAGGCGCACGCGCGTGTTCGACTCAGACTCTACAGTTGCAAGAATCACCGTGCATCCATGTGCATCCTTCAAACTGCCACCCGCGAAATACCAGGAAAGTAAAGCCTCTATAAAATGCCTGTTCCATACAAGCAAACATGTGCCCTCAAAACATCTTAAAAGTCAAGGTTGCCCCGAGTTTCCCTCTATAAAATGCACTTTCCTTTCACAGCATGGTCAATAAATAAGGGTAACATTTTGCAAAGAATCCCTCCTATAAAATGCATCATCCGTCTGCAACATCTTGCACCTCTCTATCATCTTTGATGCTGGGAAGGAAGCTCTCTATAAAATGATAAAATATGGAGCTCTGGAGGGGCGTTTTGTAGACGGCCAAGCAAGTGCTCTATAAAATGAGTCCCGAAACAACATTTTATAGACGTAAGCATATGCATTTTATAGAGGAACGACTAATGGGTATTACATCTACATGTGCACATCTGCTGCACATCTGGTGTGCAAGTCAATCAGGAGTATACAGTATAATCATTGCACCTGCATTTGTGAATGCACATGACAAATATATGTATAATCAAATCTGTTCTATTCTTCGCCAATGCTCCATGCAAGTTTCTGAGAGTAATTGAGGGTATTAAATAGTATTAAGTAGTATTAAAGCATTTGCAAAATTGCGCAATATTTTCATATATTCTCCAATGATTTCCATATCATTTCACTATTTTTCTTGCAGCATGACAGCCACCCGCCTTGCCGACAGCTTCTGCGGCATTCAACCGCGTTTTGGTTTGCGGTCCAGTGAAGGCAGCTACGGAAATAACGTACCTTGGGTTGCAGATCAAGGGCCAAGGGGCTACTCTTGAAGGGGGGTTGTAATGGGTTGGATAATGTTGTACAATGTGCAAGGTTGATCTACATTGGCCATCATTGGTCATGAGAAAATAGCTTGGGCCAGCTGGCACTTGCAAATCCAGATATCCAAGTTGGGCCCTCTTGAGCGCGGCATTTTTTTGGACGTATTCGACGTCTGGAGTGCACAATGATGACCACATATACTTAATAATAGTAATATTGTGGTATTTAGTATATACCAATCATTTTCAATATATTTGATAATCATATTTAGATGCTGCAAGCTGTAGCGAGCTGTGGGACCCTTGGCGCACAAGGTGTTTCTGAGAACGCACCCTCGAGGTACAAAGAGCTCGTAGCTCAGCTTGCAAGGAAGAGTCACCTGCATCACATAGACACATATATAAATTATGTATAATATGTATACGATATCTATATATAATATTTATGTATGTAATGTAATGGAAGGATATGGAAGGTAAGGTAATGTAAGGAAAGGTATGCATGTATGCATGTATGCATGTATGCATGTATGCATGTATGCATGCATGCATGTATCTATCTATCTATCTATCTATGTATCTATGTATGTATCTATGTATGTATCTATGTATGTATCTATGTATGTATCTATGTATCTATGTATTATCTATGTATCTATCTATGTATGTATCTATGTATCTATGTATCTATGTATCTATCTATCTATCTATCTATCTATCTATCTATCTATGTATCTATGTATCTATGTATCTATATGTATGTATCTATATGTATGTATCTATATGTATGTATCTATATGTATGTATCTATATGTATGTATCTATATGTATGTATCTATATGTATGTATCTATATGTATGTATCTATATGTATGTATCTATATGTATGTATCTATATGTATGTATCTGTATGTATGTATCTGTATGTATGTATCTGTATGTATGTATCTGTATGTATGTATCTGTATGTATGTATCTGTATGTATGTATCTGTATGTATGTATCTGTATGTATGTATCTGTATGTATGTATCTGTATGTATGTATCTGTATGTATGTATCTGTATGTATGTATCTGTATGTATGTATCTGTATGTATGTATCTGTATGTATGTATCTGTATGTATGTATCTGTATGTATGTGTATCTGTATGTATGTATCTGTATGTATGTATCTGTATGTATGTATCTGTATGTATGTATCTGTATGTATGTATCTGTATGTATGTATCTGTATGTATGTGTGTGTGTATGTGTGTGTATGTGTATGTGTATGTGTATGTGTGTGTATGTGTATGTATGTGTATGTGTATGTATGTGTATGTGTATGTATGTGTATGTATGTGTATGTATGTCTATGTATGTGTATGTATGTGTATGTATGTGTATGTATGTGTATCTATGTGTATGTATGTATCTGTATGTGTATGTATGTGTATCTGTATGTGTATCTCTATGTGTATGTATATGTGTATGTGTATATGACAATATGTTTATAAGTTTATAAGTATTGGCCTTCTATCCGAGCGCTGGAAAACACGAAAAACCTTTCTCAAGATTTCTCAAGTTCACTGACACGCTGGTGATTCGCCCGCCTCCAACTCTTTCAGCTTAGCTGATGCAGTTTCAGAGGCGGAGCTGAGCTTTAGTGACCTGCATGCTCCGTTGCTCTGTCTACTTTTTAGAGAATGGGAGCTGCAAACACCAGCTTTTCAAGGAGGTCTCATTGTGCAGTCCCGGCTCAAGGGTGTCGACTGCAGATCTTTTCAGCGAAAGTCTGGGTGCCGCACCCTTCCATGTCAGTAAGAACTGGTTTTGGAGCTTGAAGCTCAACCTGCCAAGACACTACTGCCACTTTGTACACCAGAAAGTATACACCCATGTAGCAACCGTATCATACCGTATGCAACCTTGCTTTTAGTGTTCAATCTAAGATGCACTCTTCATGTTATCGTGGATTCTCTGCACCTGCAAAGGACTTTCTGCAACACACAACCCCAGACCAAGATCTAGACCATATTTTGCAAGATCCGGGTAGAATGGCTGGGAGTAACCACTCTCTTGACTTGAGGGAGTCAAGACTGCAAGTGGCTGTAGATCCTGCCTGCAGGCCTTCTGTGTACAAATGTTGGGCAGTCCGAACAGCCTGAGCAAACAGAATGCTTCCAGAAGTGTTGTCACGAAGGTCACACGCGATCTGTCCCAACCACAGCAATTCAAAGAACAAAACGCGCTTTCAGAAAATTTCACATGCTTTCACTCGTATTATCGGTGAGTCGTATTATTTCTGCATGTGGCTTTACCCGATTTCAAGTGGACTAACTGGACTCTTTTGCCATGAGCGCCGGTGAGATTCGTTTGTGCCAGTCTTACAGGTTGCTGAATCTCTTTGTGAGACGGCAGGACTCTGCTGTTCCGCTTACTCAAATCGTTTGGCAGTGAAGTAGTCCTTGTCAAAATGGTGCACTCTGACATAGCCATCCTCACCACCGGTCACAAATCCAGCACCGTCTCTGAACCACGCTAAGCAGTTCCTCAGAGCAAACATCAAGCATCATGACGTTGTGTCTCAAATTGAGATCATTCATCAGCTGAACATCAGCTGAACATGCTCGGATTTGCAGATTTTCCATCCGTGTCGTTTTGCCAACTGAATGTGTGACAGCTGCACCCCGATGTCCAAGGATCAATGGCCCAATGTGTCCCTTGACTGATCCGATCTCTTCCTCGTAGACCACGTGCCAAAGCAAAGCCTTGGGATATTTGCACGGCCAAAGCATGCCTGATGACATGTGACAACAGGTTCATTCTGTACTCCTGGACAGATTCTTCGAATTGAAGAATCTGTAGAGAATATGAATATTCATAGGTGTACAAGGTTGGAATTGTTTCTGGAAGTGGCCAGAAACAATAAACATAAAAACACACATCTATGCCACGGTCAAAACATGTTTTTTTTCTCATTTTTGTGGCAAAAAGGTCATCGCCATTCCATGGGAATCTGTTTGTTGTGGCACCTCAAAGGCACCGCTGGACCCTGAAACGGCCACGTCCTGGACAGCCCGGGATGAGGACATTGAGACGACCATGGGAAAAAGCTGTGATCACACGCTGTGATCCACGAAGGATTGCGCGCTCCATTTCGTCATATCTTATTTTTGTTGTATTATGTTACTATGTTGTATTCAAGTTCAAATATAATATGATATAATATGTAATATCATAACATATATAACTATATTGTATGATATGATATCGAAGATTTAAAGTTACCAATGTTACCCTATGTTTGTATACAGAAAAACCACTGAACATCATCAGTTTCCTTGGCAACTCATTGCGGCTCGCTCCTTGGCATCTTGGCCACCGCCCATCAGAAGATGCATCTTGGGGGTTGCCTGGCGGTTCTGATGATTCTGTTTGGAAAAACCTGTTGATCTCCCATAGATGTCATAGATTTCCATGTTGATCTCCAATAGATGTCATAGATTTCCATACAGTAAATCTGATGTTGGAAAGCTTCTCTCAGATCCAAAGTGGACACATCATGGCACTGCGACACAATCCAGCGAAAATATCAATTCAATAAGGAACCCTTGAAACTTAATTTAGGCTTTATTAGGCTTCGGCATGGCCTCCTTTCTGACGATGCGGCCAAAATGATGGAAACATGGGATCTTGAGAGTCGCAAGGTTTGCAAATTCTTTATTTACTGTATCCAAGACGAACGTTAGAGGAGGAACGGCGAAGCCTCATGACAGTAGAGAGGCGAGATCGCAACATCGTTCAGCGGTCTGTCTGTCTTGTACCTGAACAACTTGGCTACCAGAAATGAAGCGAGGATTGGTTCAGAGCTTGCAGCCATCCCGGAAATGGACAGATAATGACAGATAATGGAGCAGACCTTCAGCTCAGAAAAAATTGGGCTGGAATCTGAGTCGGTGACTCCTTCATGCACTCGTAATCATCCATTGTCCACAGCTTTGCTGTTCCATCCTGACAAGAGCAAAATGTATGCCATTAATCTTCATGGCTGCTCTCGAACTACACATAAAAATTGTTACATGGGCTTTGTCAACGACAAATGATGCCTGACTGGCATGCCTACAGTAGCCTCTTCCTTTATTGCTTTATGTCTCAGTTGACCTGCGAGAGAGGTGACACCCTGAACCCTCCTTCGAGCACGTTGCCATCATCATCCTATCCTCTGTGAAGTTCATGCCTTATGGTTCAAGAATCAAAGGAAATCAACCATCGAAAAGAATATCTCAAAGCATGTCCATGTATGTTCCCTTCGAAGGTGTCTTCCACAGTTTCTTTAGTCCAACTCTCATGTCAGGAGGGTTGGCAGTGGTCTGGCATTTTTCTTGGCAGCTGACCACATGACCCTACAAGTACCGTCCGCATGCAATTTCTCAAACGACAACTGCCAAGTCGCTTGTGATGGCCATCTGATGCGCCTGAATGAGCTTCAGCTGTCTGCCATCCATGACATCCCAAATAATCACGGTACCCTCCTCAAAAATGGAGACCTCGATGCCAACACAGATCAGGGTGCACCACCCGACCCAAAGACACCTGGGGAAAATGCAAAATTTGGCATGCCCACGGACCCACACAGTTTATCTTTTTTTACAAATGACCCACCCCGGCCAGACTTTTTTAGTGCTAACAGGCGGCCAGGGTCTCATCAAAGGCACCCCACTTCACCTTGGAGCAAGAGCAGCCTGTCATTGCCAGCTCCCTCATTTTTTCAAACAGAGGACTTCACTCCTTCAGCAACTGACATTCATTTTTCCGGACCAAGTGTCTTTGGTGGCCTTCATTGGCAGCTGCTCGTCTATGGACAGGATCTTTTTCGGGGGGTCAAACTGCCAGATCATGATGCGATTTGGCACAATGCCCTCTGACTGGCTCTTGAACTTGTCCTTGGCAGTTTTCAAACAGCAGCATTGTCGTGGCGTTTTCTGAGCAGAAAAACTTTCAACGTAGTTTCTGTCCCACCTCAAGGCGGTCCACAGTCCACGGCGATGGAAATAGCGTCAAACAGCTATGCATGTATTAGATAGGATAGGATAGGTTAAGTTAATTCAAGAAAGAAAAATAAGGTACTGTAGATGGATGGATGGATGGATGGATGGATGGATGGATGGATAAATAGATAAACAAATGGGTATTATATTGTATTATATTATATTGTATTAGATTACAATTATGATTTATAGTTATATGGTATATCTATTTCTTATATTTTTTTCCACAGAGATCACATATAGATTTTTGTCCAAGGTTCATTGCACGTGCAAACATAATTCTGTTCGCCCGGCTTCCTTGGCAAACACATCTTGTGAGATCACTCTACAAAGGTCTGTGGCATTCACTGCGAAGCCAAATAAAAATGTCAGTATAAGCACGCGCACAACACAATTGATGCTGGGAATCCCTTTTTGTACTCCTTAATTATACTAATTATATACTTCCCTACAGACCGGAGTTGTAGAGCACCTTTAAATGTTCTTGTGGCAAGAGGTCCTTTTCACCGTCGCTCAAGACCAGTTTGGACAATCATCCTACCATCCTTCTGTCGTTGATTCTGCATGGCAAACAACTTGGATGCGCTACGTATGGCTACATTTCCAGGCAGCCTCGTGTTATACGACAACCTCTTGCAGCTCAAGGGCATGTTCCATTCCACGTACTTGAGAACTCCGCCATGCTGGATGGTCTGCACCATGTCGCCCTGGAAGTTGTAGAACACCACTTTGCCTAAGAACACATCTAGTGCCACTTGGCATCCCTGTGGGATGTTCTGCTAATTACAAACATGTCAAAACATTTCAACACCATTCATTCAGAGTTCACTTCAAAACAATGTAAGGTAAGTTTGCAAGTGGAATCACCAGTGATGACATGTGACAACCAGTTCAAGCAGCATTTCTCCTTGCAACATCAGCGATTCGTGCCGAGCTACCATCCGCATTGGCTGTCACAACAAATGTGCTGTCCATGGTCACATCCACTGCATAAATGGCACCCCCCTTCTCGCCAGGAGGGTTGTACCTTGGAACGCCGGGAGAACATTTGTTGGAAATGAGATTGATCAAAACAATCTGTAAGCGTTTTGCGGTTCAATGCGGTTCAAGAATATGCATTCGAATTATGTCCAATCTAAAGCGCTGCCAAGACACGTTCCCATCCTCTCACAGGTTTCTGTTCTGATGAGGTTCACTTCACCATCCTTGCCACAGGTGAGGAAAAAGTCACCTTGGGCCGTCAAGAAATGTCAAGCGGGGCGCAGCTGCATCTCCGGATGTACTGAGATCAGGGCCATCGTAGTTGAATTTGATGAGGGTCAAAGGCCTTAGTTCGAGCTCCCCATACGTCATGCTGCTGAGCATTGCTTCTTTCAACAAAAACGCAAAGTTGAACATATGCTAAAAGCTCAGTGCGACCTTAGGATCTGTCTGACTAGAATTAAACTCACATAAGTCACATAAGTATACATAAGTGACATAAGATTCTCATAAGATGATGTAAATGACGTAAGCAACTCAGACACGTTTTGATCCAAATCCCCTGGGGCAGCAACCGCTCATGGATATGCAAGGAGTACGGATGCATCCTGCAAAGGTCTCAGTCTCAGTTTCATCTCCACCAGTGTCACCAACCGAAGCAAAAGAGTGGGTCATCAGGGGATCTGGCGTCCTTCTTGGAGCAAAAACGTCCAATCCTAAAAGCAGTAAATTCTGCTGGCACAAACACGCAAAAAACCAGCACGTGAGATGGCTTGAGCCAAAAAAAAGCGCCAGCAAATTGCAGATAGAGTCTGTGCGTCTTCATATTAGCTGACTGAAAACATCACCATTCTTTCGTCACACAGGGGCACTCCCATGAATTTCTAATATGTGAAACTCAAGGCGCAAACACTTTCCAGGACCTTTTCCCTGGCATTGTCCCCACCTCAGTTCCAGTCGTTCCAGCAGTTCCAGTTCCGCTGGAAAAGGTCACCCATCCAGCTGTTGAGCTCTGTCATAAGCTTCCCACGAGGAACATCAGGTCCAGCCTGGAGCGTGTTCCATCAGCTCGAAGTGTGGCAAATGGTCACAGCGACGCCGTTCGCAAGCACAATCACTTGACATCATTTTAAGGCCCTGTCCTCCGGCATGTCACAAAGCGCCGACAGCAAGTTTGCAGAATTTCGTTCCTGCCATTCGCTGCAAACAAATACAACCACTCCTCTTGATCGCACAACGTTTCTTCATGTCAACCATGAAAAACAACACTGAAACTTTGCAAATCTCCAGCCTTCAAGTTGGTCTCTCCATCCAGATTCACCGTGGAGATGAAGGCCTGGGTGAAACAGCTCCTTCGCTATGATTGATACATATGTATATATATATATTTGTGTATATAAATCATATTATATGTATATAAATTATATATATATACATATTATATAATACATGAGATGCATTGATACTCAAGATATTCCATGCTCAATTCATGAACTGAACATCTGAATCCCACCTGCCCTCCAGCTGCTCGAACCACCAGTACGTCTGCAGGGAAGGCCTGGAGTCGCGGAAAAGGTCGATCCAATTTCAAATGATTGGTTAATGCGGAAACGCATATAGCAAACATCAACAAACCATTGGCTCTTGAAGTGAACATGGGATAGTATTGGGAGGTTCCTGAGTTTCCCTCATCCAAATTCTGGAATAAACATGTTACTGGCCGCAAATGTAATGTCTCAATCACAACGGGAAGGATGACTAGGATGACAACAAAAGCACAGGTCTATGAGTCTGAAGGACCCCGTCCAGAATGGCCTCATCAGCAAAGCTCAAGAGGATGTCCCCAACACAAACATCCATCCATTTGACCTGCGACGATTATGGATTGCATCAGCAGAGAGCAAACAACAGGCACCTTCGAGTCACAGCAAGCAAATGAAATTCGAACCTGAGCAAACACCTTGGTTCTTGTGTCGTATCGCCAACACCTTGGGCTGGTAGGAATGATGTACAAGGTATATACAACAAATCCTACACAACATCAGTTCAATCCTTCCAAAAAGTATCCCAATGAGGTTCTAAGTGGCTCGCGTCCTCAGGTTCTCTGCATCATCATCTTTCTTGCGTCTTCTATCCTCATAGAGGTCCTGGAATTTATGCATGTTTTTGATTGTTTTTGTATCTGCTTACATCCCCATCAGTTCGGTGTCCAACTCTTGCAAAACAAACGGTTTGAATATGTTTGAATTCCAAATGTCCCAAGCGTGATGGGATATGATTCTGATAAGATCATATAGCATTTGCATAGCATTTGCATGGAAGCCTATCCTTGAAGGCAGTCCAAAGCAGGACTCCGATAAAGGGTACCACGGTGCTGGACCTCACAGTGACAGCAGAATACAGCCCCGATCAACAGGGCTCGTGCATCGGCTGGGTGCTTCCGACCACATCATTGGACCATCCGGTAGGCAAACGATGATACTAACGAAAAGGAAGTAGACGTTTGCCTCAAAATCACAGAAAAGGCGAGGACATCCAGGACATCACAACAAAAACAGGCAAATGTCATATTCATTTGCGACGACATCGCTGTGGTTTCTGAGACCATGTACATGGCACACTAAGTCCAGGGCTGCTCGATGGAATTGAGCAAAGAGCGACTTTGGCAACCTCACTTGGTTGGAAAATAGTGGAACCTGCGCCCAAATGACACGTCCAGTCAAAAGAACATCATCCAAGCCCAATGCCATGTCAACCATGTAAATCTGGTTGTACGGATGCCTTGGAGCACCAGAGTTGTACTTCTGATGATTGAAGGATCTCAAAATGTGTATATGCATATATATATACATACTATATTATTATGTATGTATATATTATACTATATGATATGATATTACATTATATTATATTATGCTATATTATATTACAGTATGTTATGTTACGTCATGTCATGTCATGTTATGTTATGTATGTTGGTATTGTATGGTATTGTATGGTATTGTATGGTATTGTATGGTATTGTATGGTATTGTATGGTATTGTATGGTATTGTATGGTATTGTACTGTATTATATTATGTTTTATTAGGTTATGTTATGTTATATGATATCATATCATATTATTATATCATATTATATACGGATAGGTGTAAGTGTAAATTGATGTAAATTGTATTCGAGTACATATTTGTCCAAACTGACGTGGATGTTGCACCAGTCTGTTGGTCTCAGAGAGTCAAGACATGCCTTCTCAGCCAGGTCCCAAACTATCCCAAACTATGCTACTATGTCTGAGCCTAAGCAAATACTTAACCAAAATACTTAACCAAATACTTAAGCAAATACTATCAAATATGTTAGGTTTCTTCCTATCCAACCAGGAAAGTATGGCAATCGAACTAATCATTCACACAACTCACTATCATTTGCTATCTCTATCAGATTCTATCACCTATTTCAGCCAGCATTTCAACATAATTAACAGCCATTCTCTGGAGAATCTGAGCGCAAGGCGGTTTGGGGAACCCCTCTGCATTTCGTTCAGTGCAGGTGGATCCACAGTTGCTTTCATCTCCCTGCAGTGGTCTCTGACCATCTGACCATCTCTGACGCTAAATTTCGAAAACACGGCAAGGAAGACAAAATGGCGGTTTCCTAAACTAGTTGTACTAAATCATTCATTTTAGTAGGATTTCCCATTACACCCCAGCTATATCCAGCTATTGGGTGCAACCATGACTATGGAAACCTCCACATACGGCTGGCCTTGAGAATGAGATCAATCTCCTGGGCGATTTCCGAGAAAATTGGACCCGTTCTCGTGGAAAAAAAAACCTCGACACAAGTGCCTCGCCTGCCATTGAGGCCATGAGCTGGTCCAAGTTGCTTGGCGCCTGCAAGTTCTGTAACTTGGTGGAAGCTTCAACAAGCCATCAGACCTAATCTTTCCCAAGATCGTTCATTGATGTTCATTGCAGATTGAGATTTTGACCGCCACCAATTCTTTGATAGACAACTACGTAAGACGTAGCAAAGCTTCATTTTGAGTAGATCACAGAGTCCCACATTTTGCGGTGAGTTAAGTGAGTTGCCTGCTCCTGAGTTATCCATGGCCAGGAAGCTGCCAATCAAAGGCCAAGCGCGTTAACTAAATCACTCAGACCTGGCCACAAGACCTGTGGCTTGAAGGCCCAGCCCAACAGCCCGTGAGAAATAAACCGACAAAGCTCTTGATGTGTTGCCAATTTGAGGAGCTGAGGGTATACTGTATACACTGTATACTACAGATTACTACAGTATTTTGGCTTCTGAGTGGTGAAGAAAGTGCAAGTTGCAAATAACACAGTGCAAAACAGAATCAAATGCAGTAATCTGGTCTATTGAACACAGACTACTGCCTGAGCCAGGATATTCGGCAAAAGGCGTCACTGTCAAAATGATGATAACCGGCACAGAAACGCAGCAGGCGTGTGCACGAGTGGAACAACCTCCACTTTTATACTCAACAGCTTGAGAAATATGCATGGAAACTTTAACCTTCTTGTCACTGGACATTTTCTTGCAAAAGCACCTGCCTATATAGTCAGACACAGTAGTCACTCACAGCCAACTCTGCGCTGGTTGCCTTTCCTCAGCATTCCACACGTTCTGCGGCCACTTGGAAGATGGGAACCGCCAGATGGACTCTGAAATCAAGGAGACATTGGTTGAGGTCTCAAGCCTCTCAAGGCGCTTAAGCCATGGGATCCGTTGGAGCCTCTGCGTTCATTTCATTCCTGGTGACAACACGGGCAGTCACCAAACTGCCAAGTGCGCTGACGGCTGCGAAGGCAGCCCACCAGCTGGTTGAACCACCTGAAGGCGTCATTTCTTGAAGCCGACGTGCCTGGAGTGGCACGTTTGGCACTTCTTCGGTCCACGGAATGTGACACTTTTGAGACTCTGCCACGTTGTGACTCTCAAGATATGCCTGCAGGATTGGTGGGATCTTGGGTTCAATACAGGGAGTTGTGGCAGGATTCTAAAGTGCAATGCCAGGCAGTGCCATGCAGACATTTCTTAAACACATTTAAACACCACACATTGGCAATGATTGGGCTCATGTGGATTTGATTTTATAACGCGGGTGTGAAATAGTTTTAGGATTTTTTTTTTCAACAGGTTTGGGATTTTTTTTTGGATTTCTTGGCTGGTACCATTTGCCAAGTGTTTGCAACGGTTTGGAACTTGAATTTGTCATTTTGCATGGTATTTGCCACATTTGGGCATGTTCACCTTCCATTTTGCATGGGAATAACTACATGTGGGCATGTTCACCTTCCATTTTGTATGGTATTTGCCACATTTTGGCATGTTCACCCTCCATTTTGCATGGGATTTCCTACATGTGGGCATGTTCACCTTCCATTTTGTATGGTATTTGCCACATTTTGGCATGTTCACCTTCCATTTTGCATGGGATGTTCTACATGTGAGCATGTTCACCCAAATATTTACAGATGCAGAAGCTTGGGATTAGATAAAAAGCGGGTGGGGGGGATTGAGGGAGGGCGCTAGCTATCTATCCAGCTAGCTAGCTATCTAGCTATCTATCTAGCAAGCTAGCTATCTATCTAGCAAGTTATCTATCTATCTATCTATCTATCTATATCTATCTATCTATCTATCTACTATATCTACCTATCTAGCTAGCTATCTTGCTAGCTATCTATCTAGCTATCGAGCTATCTAGCTAACTATCTATCTAGCTATCTAGTTATCTAGCTTTCTATCTATCTAGCTATCTATCTATTTAGCCATCCAGCTGTCTATCCAGCTATCTAGCTATCGAGCTATCTAGCTAACTATCTATCTAGCTATCTAGTTATCTAGCTTTCTATCTATCTAGCTATCTATCTATTTAGCCATCCAGCTGTCTATCCAGCTATCTAGCTAACGAGCTATCTATCTAGCTATCTATCTATCTGGCTAACTATCTGCCTATCTATTTAGCTATCTATCTATCTATCTATCTAGCTATCTATCTAGCTACCTCTTTATCCATCTAGCTAGCTATCTATCTAGCTATCTATCTATCTAGCTATCTACCTAGCCATCTATCTATCCAGGTATCTAGCTATCTATCTCTCTAGCTATCTATCTATCTAGCTGGCTATCTATCTATCTAGCTATCTATCTACCAAGCTATCTATCTATCCAGCTATCTATCTATCTATCTGTCTATCTATCTATCTATCTAATCTAATCTAATCTATCTATCTATCTATCTAATCTATCTATCTATCTATCTATCACATGTAATCCTGTCAGCTTTCCAGAGAAGGTTAGTTCGCAAAAACCAACTAATGTAACTTGGGTTTAAGTTTAAATAAAAAAAAGCGGGAGGGGGGGATTGGGGGAGGGCGCAGCGCCTCCCCCCAAAGCAGAATGCAAGCACCTCTTCTCACATGTTACGTTGCAAGTTTTCAAGAGAAGGTTGGTCATGTGATACTCAGGGATGTAAATACTGTGCAAAATGCATCTTACATGAAAATCAAGTATTTAAAGCAGGCAAAGCAAAAAAAAAAGCAGAGAAGCAAAAAAGCAGAGAAGCAAAGAAACAGGAAACGCACAAAAGCAAAACAGCAGAAAGGCAAAGAAGCAGGAAAAGCAGAAAAGCAGAGAAGCAGGAAAAGCAGGAAAAGCAGAGAAGCAAAGAAACAGGAAAAACAGAAAAGCAAAAAAGCAGAAAAGCAGAGAAGCAGGAGAAGCAGAAAAGCAAAAAAGCAAAAAAGCAGAAAAGGCGAGAAGCAGGAGAAGCAGAAAAGCAAAAAAGCAGAAAAGCAGAGAAGCAGGAAAAGCAGGAAAAGCAGAGAAGCAGGAATCCAAAAATAATTCCTAAACCTGATCAAAAAAAAATTCCTAAAATAATTAGCCCTCCTTATAACGCCTCCATATCAGCATCAGAGAAGGTAGAGGACATGTGGGTGCGAGATTCAAAGTGGCTTGAAAGTTCTTCCGGCTGGTCCTTGAACTTAGGAGCAGGGCATTCTCGAGGATATGCATGGTGAAGCCACTCTGCAAACTGAAGTCCATGCAGTGTTACCTTTCCGCCATGTCTTTTGGCGATCTCCTGCAGCTTTTCGAACAAGCCTTCGGGGTCAGGTTCCGGCAAAACCGCTGTGATCGCAGCCTGCAAATCATCTGCTGGAACTTCGGCTTGCGCAACAGCCTTTTCCAACTTGCGGAGGTGAGCGTCACATTGGTTCACGCAGCACTGTGAGTAGAATTGCGATGTTGACACACAGTTGTTGGCTCCCAGAACATAATTTGTAGAAATCAATCTGGGTTTATTTGTCTCGCTTTCCTCCAAAGCACCAAGGGATCGAAGGTACTGGACACTTTCAGTAAACTGCCACTTGTTTTGGTGCAGATGGCTGGAGTAGAACTGACGTAAGTTGATGTGACCAGGACATTGCGCCTCCAAATCTTTCAACTCGTTCGATAAGACTTGACATTCTCCGTCTTGCCACCTAACAGGGGCAATCTCCCTATATGTGGGGGTTGACAAGGATCAAAGTTTTCTTGAATTGTTCAAAATAATAAGGGCTCTAAGATCTGCACAAATGACATAAACATAGTATGTACATACATAACATTACATAACATAACATAACATAAACATAAACTAACATGACATGAAATGAAATGACATGACATGACATAACATAACAACACATAACAACACATAACAACACATAACATACCATAACATAACATAACATTACATTACATTACACACATACATACACACATATATATATATATATACATATATAAAATGCTCTTGCCTGCCATAGTGTTCGTTCAATTCTTTCACCAGTCCAGTCAAGTCTTCGAAGTGAAAACGTGTTGCTTGTGCTGGAAGCATCACGTCTTGCAGGCTGTGCAGGAATTGCTGAAGGCTGGGCCAAGAAGGATATTTCTCCCGGATGTCAAGCTCACCAGAGAGGTACTTCTCCCTTTCCTCTTGCTGGATCCCAGCTGAATCGCAAATGTAGCCCATCATCACCTCAGTGTCACATGACTGGCTGCCGTCTTGGTGCAGAAGCGGAAGCTTTTGATGTTGCATTTGCCCTTGCTGGAGCGTTAACGATTATAAAGTGAAGGACAGTGTCATATATGCTAAGGAGAGGAAAGGTTAAGAAGCTACGAGTATATGAAGCCATGATTTTGACTTTCCCCCACAGCCATGATGAAGCCTCATGATCCTCATGCTCCTCTGGAACAAAGCTTCAGGCTGCAAAACAGCGTAACGCTTGCACAACATCAATTATCAAACAGTTCTCTTTTGTATGACATATTGGAATCTAAGACCATCTTGAACCAATCTCCCTATGGCTTGTAATCCCTCGAAGCCAAAATCTGAGGTGCAGACTTGTTCCAGAACCTCCTGCATCTGCTTCAGATCGATATGTCCAAACATAGGGAGTTTCTTGGCCTTAAACACGTTTTTGGCGCGTTGTAGAACCTCCTGGTGCACAAGCTCATCCAGTGAAGCTGCCAGCAAGCCTAGATCCTTGATGCCCACGTCTGTAGCGAAGCATTGTTGGAACGCGGCTTCGACTTCTGGTGGAACTTGACCCCGCAGGATACCTCAATAGAGCCCATTAAATGTCAGGGGATGTATAAATACATATGAGATATTATATGATCATATATGATCAATTATGATCATATATGGTGATTGGCAGTGATTGGTAAATATTGGCAATAGATCAATCGATAAATCCAAATGGATCCAAATGGTGCTTGTCTGGTCTTTTTAGGATCAAAATGGATCAAATGTCAATTCTTTGTGAATGCCAAGCTGGCCAAGCTGCTCTGTAAGGGTGGAAGTGTTGAGGCATTGCGGACTCCGTGTAGGTTGGACTCTTCAAGGCCATTCACATTCCAACCTCTGGCATCCACAAAGACTCGATGTAAAGCATACCTTGCCATCTCAAGACCCAATCTTCCAGTGTTGCCATGGGGAAGTACAGCAAACAATGGACGCAATGCTGCTTCAAAACTGGCACTTTGACCTTCAATCCACTCCTTTCGTTCGACACCCATCTTCGTTTCTATGGTCTGCAGGATGTCCTCACAATGCTTTCCATGCGCCCGCTGAGAGATCTCACTTAGCACAGCGGAAAGTTCACCAGGACGATCTGCATGTCCAGATCCGCACAAAGAAATGAACAGCCAGGCAATAAATGAAAACGACATTGAGGAAATGTCGGAAGGACCTAAGACTAACTAACTCAGTGTTTGAGACTGATCAGCTGACTGAATTCATGAATCTTGCGCCAGAAATCCTGGCATCAATGGCATCAATACATCGGAGGCACTGCGCTGTGCAGATGTGGGGAAGCTCCATGAAAGCTCTACAGAAATCTACAGAATATAATCTGCACATAGCAATTGGCAAGACTCGGAAACACTAGATAAGCACAGTTTCAGACAGTCTTTTTCGTTCTCTAGCGAAGCACACGATGTGCTGCAGCACTTGCTGGCTAGCTGCGCAGCATGCTGTTGCTGCTGTTGCAAGTTTACCAGCGATCTCCGCCCAGGTATTGCCCTAGCCCTAGGATTGCCGTATCTGCTGTCTCTGTGACTCTCTGTGCAGCCAGCAGATGCCAGCAGCCATCAACTCCAGAATCTCGGTCGATCTCCGTGCTCTCTTGTGCCACTCGGTGTCACTGCAAGGTCAACGTGAGCCAATGCGACCGGAAGGCCACAACGGAAGTGCCCAACATTCGAAGATACCACGTAGATCCAAGTACGGTCAGTAGCGCCAGGTCATGGATACCCACGTGGCCTTGGGAAACATCTGCATTGCCACAGGCTAAAGTCGACTTCATGAATCCTTGCATGTTGTGACTGCACTAATCATTGAGGCTCATTGAGGATGATGCCAAGTTTCACTCCAGGTGTGCATCGAACTCAACCTCGGCCAGGTTTGCGTCGAAAGACATGGAAAGATATGGACAGTGGAGACACCAGAAGTTTCAAAGCATCTTTGGATTGTTTTTCCCCATGATATCTCATGGTCCCTCATGATATCATTTATGATACCTCATTGTGTGTTCCTTAGCAGTTCCTTAGCAGCTTGGCACCAGGTCACCCGGCAGTTCAAAAATTGGCCATCTGGATTCCAGAAGGCTCTCGAGGTCACTTCGCCGTATGCCTGCCTGGGGAGGCTTTTCGTGACATCCCCCTTTCCCAAACAGGCCTGCTCGCAGGCCTGAATGTAGCGCATCAACAAATTCCTTAGCTTGGAATAGCTTGGATCATTGCAAGTACATTCAAGTAATTTCATGTATCCAGAGACATCACTGTTTGTCTAATTTAAGCAGGAAAGCGATGAGGCGTATTGAGGCGTTGGCTCGCAACCCAAGGGGGCAGCAAACTTTGGCGGCCTCAGAGGCATGGTGAATGATGCGAAACAAAATAGCAAACACTTGCAAAAGTGGACCCACTCTGCCAACACCTTGTTCACATGCAAAAAACAGATCCCATCTCCAAATCACAGCATCTCTATATATATATACACACTGGTTTAGAATATTTGAGAATATTAGATCATTCATTTGTCAGCATGTCGCGCCTGATTAGGCTATATTAGGCTAATCAGGTGCGTGATTTGAAGTTTTCAAAGACAGATCATCACTACCGTGCCAAGGTCCGCGCTCGGTAGCGCGTTTTGTTTTTCTCCGAAGAATCAAGGGCAGCTGACTATCTCAGTGGAGTTGGAGAGACTTCTCTACAAACAGACTCCGAGAGTGCTTTGTCGTTGAGTCGTTGCCATGTAGATCATTTAGAATTCATTTAGTGCCCATTCAAAGAAAATCCAACGTGTTTCTCTGTGGTCAATTCGTCCGCCATCTACCTCTCTCCCTGAGTCTGCAGCTCATCGCATCAAAAAACTCTTCCGTGGCTGGAAAGATTGGATTGTCCTTTGGATATCTTTGGATATCTTTGGATGTGGAAAGAGTAGTCCGAGCTTGTCCTGCTCTTTTTGGGTTTTGGCTGGCTCCAGTTGGGTCGAGCATCAGTCCTTCCAAAAGGCTGACATGCATCGCCATCGCATGGCTATGGCAACCTCCGCTGTGCTTCTGACCGAAGTCGATCAGTCGTTCAACTCGTCTGGAGATTCTGAGTGCCCAACTGCCAATCCTCCAAGTGGACACCTAGCTGCCAACCATATGCCAACCATATGCCAACCATCAAAGTCTCCAAAGACAACACGTGAAAAATGCAGCACTCAGCACTCAGACATACTTGGACCACCACTCCCAAGCAGCCACAGTTTTGAAGATGGGCCACGCTCGATCGATGTTCAGCTTGCCGGCGAAATCCTCGACCAAGGCTGCCAAGACGACCTGCCGATGGGATCTCTAACAAAGTACAGCAACTCCCACAGTTCCCACATACTGCAACAGTTCCTGTACTTCCATGATGCTCCATGCACTACTGGCCCTAAACATATCATATAGATTCATATAGTGTCTGACTCTATAGGTTTCTTTCGCGTCTTTCAGCTTCAACAAGCGGTTTCTGTATCTTTCTGTCATCTTTTGCATCTGCCTCAACATCACCTCGTCCGGAAGTCCAAGACGACAAGAGACCTTAGTTTTTTTACATGTTTTGACTAGAAGCTGGATGTAACCGCCCTCAATGTCGTGACCATGCGCTAATACTGCAAGGAAAGGGCGCTCCAATGAGGTGCACCACCACCACACAATCTGCAGTCCAGTTCACGTTGGATTCCGTTGGATTTGCACTCAGATCAAAGCTTTCCATGTTGGCAAGTATGATCTGCCACCTGCAAACATGTTGACAAACATCCACAAAGATCCACAAAGATCCGCTCTGTTCGAGATCTGCTGTTGATTGTGATTGATTGTGGCCAGGGCCCCAGCTGAAAGACATAGTCCTTGCGAGACTCGCAGTTGATGTCCTTGACATCAGGGCAAAGCCAGAACAGCATCTTGTGCATGTCTAAAAAATACCGATGCATACTGTAAAAACATGTAAAAACGAACAATATATATTATATACTGTATTATATAATAATGTACATTATTAAATAATAACACATAATTCATAATAAATAATAACACATAATTCATAATACCGCATACATAATAATATACACTTGTATACACTTGTACTGTACTGTATGATTTATTTTTTCCTTCATATTCTAAACAAAACACAATCTTGCATTGATTCCTGCATCCCAGTTTGCCCATAGACAGGCAAAGGGGGCAAGGAGTTGGACCGTCGAGGCCTAGGTCGTGTTTGCATCAGAGAGCATTACAGTCGTTGATGATATTTATGACATGTTATTGATATGTTATTTAGAGTGACCTGTATGAAAAATGTGGCTTCTGACTATTCTGACTTGAGTACTAACTTGTTGCTAGGTGATTTCAAGAGGCAAGAGGAAACAGAACATTAAAAAAACCAAACAAATACAGGCATTAGACAAGATTTGACCTGATTTGACAGAGGACCCTGTCCATGAGAACACGTTTTTCATCTTTGCTCAGTTGCCTACGGGATCTTTGGTGGTGCTTCAAAGCCTTGTGCAGTCATGAGATGTCAGGAGGCAAACGAGGCATGAGGAAAGCAGGAGGGAAACTCATGGACAGAACCCTAACAAGTTGCCAAAGCTTGCTGATATCTGATATCTTGCTTGAATTTCTTGCTGAAAACCTTCTGGTTTTGGACTAGTCTTCGACTCCTAAGCTTCGGTCTGTACGTTCCCTCCTTCACGAACTGATGCAAGAAATCCTTGATTCAGTGTCAGGATGGCATGCCCAAGAGTTTTCACTCTAAGTGGATGCATCGAAGATTTCAACATTTTCCCAGCTGAGGTTGGTGCCTGCACCAGCTTTAAAAGCTCGCTTCTCTCGAGCGCTGGATCCTGTTTTCCGGGCTCACCGTTTGACGTCTGAGCACTCGCCTAGGGTGGTGTGCCTTGATCTACAAGGCTGAGTTCCCAACTCCCCAGCGCCGGAAGTCATAGTGAAGAAACAGGGAGTCCTTCGTTTTGAACTTGGAGAAACTATCATCAGCAGTGAACCAAGTGCTAAGTTGACTGTTTCTTTGACACTGATTTTTTAAAAGCAATCTGAACAAATCCCCAGCCTCGTCATCATCATGTGGCTGGCGGACTCGGGCAATCCTGGCAACTATGTATGCTACCTGTACTTAAGCTACTAGTAGCTTCAAAGCTGGCCACAGATTTCACATAGGTTCTAAGAATTTCTAAGACATAAACAAGCTAGGGTCACGGGTGGCAAAAGTATCCATCTCTCCACTTCTGCACCTTAAGTCTCAATATGGATGAAGTGAACGAAAACAAGAGTTCTCACGTGCGTAACATTGCGTAACTATGTCCATGCCAACTGCCAACCCAACATTTTGTCACCCAATGTCAACAGCCACCATCGCTCACTGTCACTCACTCTTGGGCCATCTTGGGTAGGAACGATGCTGCGTGATGACAGCCACGGCTCAAGCGCTTCAGAAATGTCTTTGCGAAGTAGAACTGCGTTCTCAAACTCCACATGGAGCAACTCGTAGTCTGATCCAGCAACATCAAGCAATGCTTGCAGTGAACAGCCAACCAGAGCTTGCTTGGTGTCACTTTCCCCACGGCGTGAAAATGCAGAGCTCAACTCGCGCTGATTCGTGGTGGTGGAAACACCTAAACTGGAGCCAGAGGGCCAAAGAGCAATTCCCGGAGGGAACAGTGGATTGATCTCCACATGCCACACCTTTGGTCTCCATTTTCCCAGCGTCAAGGCTTGCACCAAATGACAATCCAAGCCATCAACATCCACCTTGATGAAATCGATCTCATCACGTTGTACAACTCGGCCAGGTCTGTTTGCCATGGCGTCTGCCAGTCGTTCTGAGATGGTTTCCACTTCAGCAGCCTCCGCGAGGATTTGAATGTGTGGAACAAATTTCCCTAACGATACCTGCAGCTCAGGTTCCAAGGATTTGTTGGCTTCAAACACCACACCACCATAGCCTTGAACGAAGAAACAGTTTACCGGATCCAGCCCGTGTCCAACGCGGCAAACCCCATCTCCACCTGGCGAGAGCTGTCCAAACTCTCGCCTTTCTGTCTCTGATCGCTAGCAGCATGCATTGGGGTTTCAAAGGACTTGCAAAAAACATTTGAACACCGCAGTCTTTTGATATTGCTCTATGATTATCTACGATCATTTTGTTCAAAATCCGAACTTCTGCCTCCTAGGTTCACTGCTACTCTCGACAATCCATCCGGGTGTTGTTCCTGAAATCTTCGCCCATTTTCCAAGACCTCCAGCAATGAGATGGAACTCAAGTGTCGAGTGCGAAGGTTTGACACATCCACCCAGGAGACGTCACCGAAGGCTTCGCCACTAAAGACCGGCTGGCTGCTGCTGCTGCTGTTGTTGGACATCCATCGAAGGCTGTCTTCGCAAACAGCGGAAGGACTCAAGCGCGGTGGAAATACAGGAGCGAAGAAGCCAGCATTGGAATCAGTTTTTTTCCAATTCAAACGATCGGTCTCTTCCGAAGTCTGTGGCTCTGAGTCAGGCATGAAGTTTCGTGCTGACACGAAGTACTCAGCATCTGCCCACTGCCAAAGAGCGTAGCTGCATGTACCTAGCCAATTCACATCTTCGCGAAGATCGGTGCACACGTCTATGGCACGCTCCGCTGCAGACCTTTTGGACACTTTCTCCAAAGGGACCAGCATCACAGCATTCTTCACACCTCACTGCAAGATGAATACAAGTGAAGAACTACATTAGGGGTTCTAAAATGTTCTAAGCGGCATTAAAATGATACATTTTTTTACAGCACTCATTACAAAAGCAACACATACAAGCACCGTACTTAAGTCACATCAGGCGGGAAAAGTCACATCATTCCCATGGCACGGCGGCGATACGGAGAAGTCACATCAGGTAGTGGAAAGTCACATCAGGGAAGAAGAATCACCATGGCACAGCCTGTTTCATCCATACTTGGAGATGTAGTTAAAAATAGCCGAAGCATTGCGCACAGCGATGATTTTGAAGGGCACAAGTTAATACAAACAAATTCTCGGCAGCTAATCCTATTGGATTTGAATATATTATATTGATGTCCTGCGTCGCGTGACCAAATCAAACCCCTATTGGTACAGCCTCAAATTTCTTGCAATGCAAGTGGGTTAGCTGTAGCAAATCCTATTGGCAGGGCTATGATCTAGGATGATATAAGGATATGGGGGCCCCTTGTTTTCCGCAACCAAATCTATGGCTGGCGCGATGTGCATCAATGTCGTGGACAGCTCTCAAGAAGTTTGTTGTCCTATCCACCCAGGAATTACGAATTGGAAAAAAACCTTCATTCCATTGCGGGCGGAATTGTCGGTGCTCCGTCTGCGCCGTCTGTTGTGTCTGTTCCGTCTTGCGCCGTCTTGCCGTCTGCGCCGTCTTGCGAGATGGTGCGAGATGGCGCAGATGGTGAGCACAGCGGCACAACCGCGCTATGCGACCGCAATGTTTCATTCCAACCAGCCAGAAATATTCCCTCTCTCTGCTGGTGTCTCCCGCCCGTACCTCCCGTCAGCGCCAAACAAGGCGACCGAGACTGTTATTTTCTGTTTCGGCAAAATGTTTGCACGAGCGGCAGCAGCAGCAGGAGGAAGCAGCAGCAGCAGGAAGCAGCAGCAGCAGGAGGAAGCAACAGCAGCAGGAGGCAGCAGCAGCAGCAGCAGGAAGCAGCAGCAGCAGGAGGAGGAAGCAGCAGCAGGAGCAGGCGGAAGCAGCAGGCAACCAGCAGCAGGCAAGCAGCAGCAGCAGCAAGCAGCAGCAGCAGCAAGCAGCATGCAGCAGCATGCAGCAGCAGGCAGGCAAGCAGAGGGCAAGCAAGCAGGCAAGCAAGCAGGCAAGCAAGCAGGCAAGCAAGCAGGCAAGCAAGCAGGCAAGCAGTGGGCAAGAAAGCAAGAAAGCAGCAGGCAAGAAGCAGCAGCAAGCAAGCAGCAAGCAAGCAGCAAGCAAGCAAGCAAGCAGCAAGCAAGCAGCAAGCAAGCAAGCAGCAAGCAAGCAAGCAATCAAGCACGCAAGCACGCAAGCGCGCAAGTACGCAAGCACGCAAGCACGCACGCACGCACGCAGGCACGCAGGCACGCAGGCAGGCAGGCAGGCAAGCAAGCAAGCAGCAAGCAGCAAGCAGCAAGCAGCAAGCAGCAAGCAGCAAGCAGCAAGCAGCAAGCAGCAAGCAGCAGCAGCAGCAAGCAGCAAGCAGCAAGCAGCAGCAGGCAAGAAGCAAGCAGCAGCAAGCAGCAGCAAGCAGCAGCAAGCAGCAGCAAGCAGCAACAAGCAGCAGCAAGCAGCAGCAAGCAGCAGCAAGCAGCAGCAAGCAGCAACAAGCAGCAGCAAGCAGCAGCAAGCAGCAAGCAGCAACAAGGAGCAGCAACAACAGGCAAGCAGTAGGTGAGCAGTAGGTGAGCAGCAGGTGAGCAGCAGCAGGCAGGCAGCAGCAGGCAAGCAGCAGGCAAGCAGCAGGCAAGCAGCAGGTAAGCAGCAACAAAAAGCAGCAACAAAAAGCAGCAACAAAAAGCAGCAAGCAGCAGCATGGAGCAGCAAGCAGCAGGCAAGCTGCAGGTGAGCAGCAACAGGTAAGCAGCAGCAAGCAGCAGCAAGTAGCAGGCAAGCAGCAGGGAAGCAGCAGGCAAGCAGCAGGCAAGCAGCAGGCAAGCAGCAGGCAAGCAGCAGCGTTTGCCCCCTTGAAAGAATGATCAAATATATTTTTTTAAATCAATGCAATAAAAAAATTGAACTTTTTCCAGCCGCACGGCCCCAAAACAATGAAATTGTTCAATTACTAAAAGTTGTGGTGATGCCAAACTTGAACTTTTTCCAGGCGCACGGCCTCCCGATACGACTTTTACAAGCTGATACGACTTAACGCTAGCGCTAGTAGCAACACATAACAACACCAAAAACCATCAAACGCGCCATTTCAGCTAAAGTTTGTCTACCTGAGAAGTTGCACCTTCCGAATCACACTTTCTGAAAGTCGCTGCACAAAGGATTTGTCTGGCAATTTCCATTGTCTCCAGCCCCAGAATTGCGGTTGCTCGCGATGCTTCATCCTGACAGGAAGCGGCAGTAGTGAGGTCCGGGGAACTGAAGCACTAGATGCTTCATCGGCACCATCCCATGTCTTACAAAATGTCAGTTGAATTGCTGGTTTTACATGTCTTACAAGTTCTTACAGTAAGTAATCCTGCCATACTATTCGTTTCTGTGTTTCCCATCTTTTCGCATCTATATTATGTTCCCAAAAAGCGCCAGCCTCCTTGGGTATCCAGTCATGGATGGTAAGCAACTCATAGGTCCGTTGACTCAAGCCCTTGTCAACTTGGGCTCTCAGCTTCCAATTTGAGGAACCCACTTCTGCCACACAGGCAGGGTCTGGAGGTGGACATGTCAAGGGAAAGCCGCTGGCACCAGCAATGGCCAGGACCAGGCTGGCCATTGCCACAGCCACATCATCTGCTAGTTGCATGTTGCTAAATCGGCTTGAGACGAGGTTGCCACATGGTTGCCACATTGAGAACTGAGGCAATTCAACTGCAATTCATGGTGAGCCCAGCTTTTCTGATGATTTCCCTATCGGACATTTGCAGCAGAAAACATCAAGTTTGCTCCGCCAAGCCAAGGTCAACCCTTTTCTCATCACTTTTCGGATGAATCAACCAAGAGTTCCTATCGCTCACAAATCAAGCACGCCAGGTGCATTTCTTCCTGCTTGATGGCTATATCGACTATATCACCATGTTTCAATGTTGTGCTTGTTGGAAAATGGTGAAATTCAAAAATAAGGTCACTGTGTTCTTCATGGTTTCTTAATGCAAAGCACGCCCAACGCTTTAAAAAGTCACGAAAATTATATCTATAATATGGCCTCATCAGCCAAATATCTCAGTCTCATCGGCTCTCCAACTGGCTTAAACGCCTGCACGGAGGCTGCATATCGGCTCTGAGGGGGTGACAGCAGCAAGCAATGAAACATATATAGTTCTTGCCTTTCGATCTGAGCTTGTCTTGCTGCAGTTTCCCTGACCTTGGACGGCAAAAGATTCAAAGGTGATGAACATGTTTTGAATTGTAGAGATAAGCAATCTTGGAAACTCAGTTGGTTCACGAAAACGACATCAAGAATTTTGGGAAGGTCCCATCACTTTCTGCACGTGTGTACAAAAATGAAGTATGCCATCGCCTAAAGCGTGAAGTAATGACATAGTAATGACATAGTAATGACATAGTAATGACATAGTAATGACACCTGAGATTGAAAATGATGAGAATGAGTGCTTGCTATTGGCTCAGCTGGGGACCATAGCGGCAAGCTCTTCGTTTGTCCATTGAACCTGCTAGTGTCAAAGCTTCGGAAGGAAAAAATATGGAAAAAATATGGAAAAATGTCGCCAAGCCTTTCAATGATCAAGGACTGATCGAATTTGTCTCTTGGATAATTTACTCCTGCCTGCAACTCATTAAATCAAAAATTCAATCCAAGTCAATTAATAGTTGAATTCAGGCTGTGCATGCTCCCCATTTCCAGTGTGAGCCGAGCAGTGACAGTTGCACTTCTCATTGCCTTGTAGTAGAGCGCATATCCGGACAACGTCCCAGCCTCAATTCTCCAACAACTTCAGGGTGAACACGTGGCTGATCAATTTCTTCGTGACCACTTACGGGATCTTCAACTCCCGGATCTTCAATAGGTCTCAACTCTTCTGGAACATGTGATTAATTGTGTTTTTGTGTTTCTTAGATTTATTAGATCTCATGGTTCTGGAAGCTTTCCCATGGATTAAATTCACAGTGCATCAATGGATCAACGCATTCCACAGCATTTCCACAGCATCTCAGACCCTAGCGACGGTGAAGCCCATGATGAAGCTGCGAAGCCGTGACCCAAGGGTAGTTCTCGCTGCGGCCTTGCAGGAAGGCTTCACTGATAAACACATAGCCTACATAGCATAGCTTTGTCTGAAAATAGGGTACTCCAAATTAGGTAAATGTATCTATATAAATTAGCTAAATTCTAAACACATGCAAACCAGGTTTTCTAGTGGAAGCAGGAGCTCCACGACGGGAGGCTTTTGACGATAGTTCGGGCCCTATGACGACGGAGTGGCTATGTCACTACGACGGCACGACGACAGCATGAAGACGACCTGACGACGATGTGCGGAAAGCACGACGACGATAGACCGACGGCATGACGACGGCATGACGACGACATGACGACGAGGACACGACGGTGCGACGACGGAGCGACAACCGTCATAAGCCCGGGTTCGGCGTCCAACCCCAGCTTATGACGGTCGTCGCTCCGTCGTCGCACCGTCGTGTCCTCGTCGTCATGTCGTCGTTATGTCGTCGTCATGCCGTCAGTCTATAGTCGTCGTGCCGTCAGCACATCGTCGTCGTGCTGCCGAGCTATCGCCGTCAGGCCGTCGGCACATTGTCATCGTGCGGTCGTCTCCATCGTCATATGGACCCGCCGTGATTTGTCATATCCCACTAGTGCATGTCTTTTGAACTATGCTAATATATAAATATGTTTAAATATATTCAAAACTTAGATTGATAGCTTATTAATCTGTTTCATGGTTTGTCAGTTCATCATCGTTGTCCCTATTGAATGAGGGGTATGCTCCCATTTCCAGACACATCCACTTCACTAATTTGCAGAGTATGTTATATTGAATATAATACTGCATACTATATTATATGTGTATAATATATTAAAAATATATCAGATTAGATTTTGGATGATTTTGGACAATCTTCTGAAGACCTTGCTGACCTACGGAAAATCTTCGTATGTCACCCTGCCTTCACCTGGATGACTTGCAAACGTCAGAAGAGCAAGTGACGGCCGCTGATTTCTTGGATGGACACTAAATGAAACTAATACTAGGCCTGTCAGGCCCCCTAATGTGGAAAGAACTTCAACAGTTCTTGGCAAACACAGGAAGCAATTATGTAGGATGAATCAAGATGAAGCAAATCACAGCACGCGCCTTCGGCTGCTTCACTTCAGTCGTTACCTCGGAGAAGCTTCTCCTTGCAACACTCGCTGGTCCAGCCATCCTGCCGAGCTTGGAGCGTGCTGCAGTTCTGAAGCTGTTTGGCTTGGACCAGGATTCAAAATGCATCAAAATACATCAATCCAAATCGAATCAAACCATACATCAACATACCAGGACTGCAAAGAGACCAAACCAAAAGAGGCCGGCACCTTGCAGGAAGCCTATTCACGCAAGTTCTAAGCCTGAGAACGAAGCTCGCTGAGTTGAAAACGGGACGTGTTTTTGTGGGCATTGTTTCCCACAGTTGACGTGGCTGCAAACTCTCCCAACATCCAGCGATTTTCCGACCAAGGCCACAGCGCATTCACGTTCGAGGCCATGGTGGTCCAATGCCAAGTTCTGCCGTTGCCAGGCAGCTGAGCCGATAGTCTGCAGATCATCCAAGGGGAATCAAAGGGAATATATTACCATAATTAACTTGTATAATAATTATAATACAAATGTCTTCCCTATGAATAATATATATATATATACTGGATAATGGGAATGAGAATGGGAATCAATGAGAATATCATAATAATCCCACATTAATGGATGGGTATAATTATTATATCATATTCCCATATCAAAGGTACAATGGAAATATATATTATAAATATTTATAAATATGATACAAATCCCTATATATATCATGCTATATCAATGGATTGATGGCCATGGCGTTATCAGATTCTCATTGTTTTTTGATGTTTTTTGTTACGTTTTACAGAGAATGCGCTGCGAATTTCGTGTGAAGGCGAATGGACCGAACCTGCCAGGTGAGTCCACTCTTTTTCACAGCGCTGGCATTGTGGTTGTCTACCAACAATCCTGGTCATGGAGTCATGGCTATAATATAGCTATAAAACTTGATACCAGTCAGTGCTCATCCGAGCGGAGGGCAAGATTTGCAGCTAAAAGATACTGAGAAAGGTGGCTGGCTTTTGCTAAGCTGTGCAGTGCTGTTCAGCTATGGCAGCTATGGTTGATCTCTGATGGCGTGGAAAAATTGAGCGCCTTTCTCTTTTCTCTCTTTTAGCTATCTCATGATCCGCCGGAGAAAATCATCATTGGACAAAAGAGTAAGCCTTGGCAGCAAGGTGAAGCGGTGAAGGGTCCATCCATTCATCCTGAAGATGAACTGTTCTTAAATCATAGGCCACGGTTGCCTATCCTGCCAACTGCTTTCCGGCACCGGGTGTAACCCAGCAGTCAAAACGATCCAGTTGTTTGTGCTAAGCTGAGAGCAGCATGTATGCTTGAAAGAAGCAAAGCTGTCAGAATACTGCCAACCAATGCCACCGGCCCCACATGGTCCTTTGGCAAACTACTGGCAGGCCAGATCAAGGCTTGCTGCTCAACAGAAATTTCCTGTTCCAAGCGGTCCTCGTAGCTCATGTCAACTTTCAAGTCCAGACCATCAGCACGCCAGTTGAAAACATGTATTGCCCAAACCTCAGAAATTAGAGTAGCACATCAGAGAGTCAGAGACTCTCGGTGTGAAAATTCCAGTATTTGTTACGAGTTGTGCTTACACAAGAAACACCTAAGACATTGTGGTTCCATGCGTTTCCCGTGCAGATGAGTCTGCTGAAAGAAGGTACAGTAAGACTTAAGATGCAGAACATCAGATCTGCAACGACCTTTTCACGGTCAAAACGCTGAGGCACAACGACTAGAAAAATCGCTGCAAGGACCATCAAACGCCCGATGACCACATGTCCGGCCTCTCAAAGACTATGGGTCTGGATGAAAGACCCGTTGGAAATGAGTGAGCGGTTTTGAACACAGTGCTGCAAACTGACATTCAGTGTCTGGCCTCTTGAGTTGTGTGCAACATCAAGATGCCTTGGAAGCTAAAGGAGAAAACCTAAACTGGAGAGGCACTGAGTATCATTCCATGAAATGGAGAAAATATGCAGGATGCTTCTTGACACAAATGAACTATGGTGAGCCACAATAAGCTATGATGAACTATGAGATGCACGCATTTTGCTTCATGGATCTTCATGGCAACTTTCTGAATCTTTACATCATCTAAGATCAGTGCCAGCAGCGGCAAGGATTGTTGCGAAATGGATCCACTCCAGAAAAGTTCTTTCATTTGAGTACCTCAATGACTCAAAGTCTCTCTTGTACAGCAAAAACTCTAATGTAAAGACTTGATTTCATCACGGACTTAAAAACTCCTACAAGTAGCCACTGAGGCAAACATACTGATATTGATCAGGAACGCAGATTTAAGAGCCTCGTCAAACAGATTGCCAACAAGAATGCAAGCTGAGATAGCTGAGCATGCTCACAAAGTCTTTGGTTGGACAGCAACAATGGCCCTTCGGACTGGTTTGTCCTGCAAGACCAAGCACGTCAAATGTGGATACGAGCGCGCGCGCGCGCCCGCGTGTGTGTGTGTGTTTGTACATTCAAAATACCATGAAACGCCTGAACACAATCAATGGCATGTGGACTGTGTATCCGTGTAGACCGTTTCTGGCTATGTTGCAGAGATAACAGCTCAAATTCACATTCGAATTCCAACTCTCTGGGGTGTGTGTGTGTGTGTGATCAGTGAATTGCATTGGATTGTAAAAAATGCTAGCGAAATCTAGCGGCAATGGCTCTCAGAGAACTATCCGCTTCCTTGTCCAGAACAGTCTCTGTACCCCATAATCCTTGCAGCGAATGCCAAGGTGAGGGCAGGTCGCATCAAATTGAGTGCAAACATTGTGAGCCTCTGAACTGAACAATGGAAGAGAATGCCAAACAAAGGCATGTTTGTGAGTTTCTATTGGTCATTCGGTTGGTAGTAATTATGGATATGGTTCTTTCTCTTGCTGGAATAGTTTTCAGCAAACGGGCGTGTCTGAAAATGGGGGGTATTTCTCCCCAAAGAGCCAGTTTAATGGGAGAAAAAGTTGATAATCCATTGGGTTTTTGAAGTTCTCCCCTAAATTCTCAAGCAACCCAAATCCCAATGGTGAATGGAAGCGCTCTGAGTTGGACACTTTGGACGATTCCTGGAGCATCAGGTGCTTGCGGATCTTGTGGCTGTCCAGAGAGCAGGGGCCTCAAAGGCCCAAGGCGGGTGAAGCCAGGTCGCTAGGTATTCAAAGCCGAACCATGCCGTACCAAAAAAAATGGCGTGGCATTGATGATCAAATGCTGCTTCGGAAGTCAACCTGAGTCAACCTAAGAGAAAGACAGTTGACAGTTGACCTCTTGAGGCAGGAGCTCAGAAAGATTCCCTTTGTCTGCAGAAGCTTCCTTCTCAGGTGGAAGGGGTGCTTCTGCACGGTCCACAGGGACCGTTCCCGCTGGCACGGAGCCTTGCGATCCTGTGCCAGTAAGTAGTGCAAGAATGAAAAAAAGCAAAAAAGATAGGCTTAATGCATTTTAATGCAGCATCTGCATGATACGGTAGTAGCAGCTATGCTTTCTCGAAACTTAGATCTTGGCCACGTGCCAATGCCATTCGACTGGCTGCCATCTGAGTGCAAGTGTCGCTCAAACACTTTGAACGCGACAAAAGAGAGGTCTTAGACTTTCCCAGGAAACAACCAAACCAATCGTACATTTTCACATGTTCTGTCATTTTATAAAATTACTGTAGGTTCTATCATTTTATTGATCTCATTTATATACATCTATACAGTCTATACATCTTCTACAATACATCTTATACATCTATATCATCTATGCATTTATGTGTATGACACACAGAAGCATCTGCGCAGCTATAAGATGCTATAAGTCATCAGCTCATCTGAAGTGCTCTTAGCATACATTGAATATCATTGAATACATGTCAACTCTCTCGCTGCGCCTGCATCTCTTGCTCCGGAGTAGTTCCAAACCTAAAGCTTTGCAAATCTTTGCAGGTGCTTCCACATCCCTTTCATATGAAGGTCGACCTGCGTCGACCTGCAACCTCTATCAGACTCTATCAAAAAATCACAGGATTCACATCATGCATACATTCTCTTGCAGTGTTGACCATTGTTTACATTTGTTTACCCTGAGTCTGCAACTCATGAAGGAGGCGTTCACTATATGTCCTCCACCTCAGGGTGTCTGCAGAGTCCCTAGATGTTCCAAGTTCCACTCTAAAACTCATGGAAAACTCACAGACCTTGGTGAAGGAAGCTCTTCCTCCTGGATATCACCATCTTTACCTGCGCTGTCAATCGACGGACAATGGAAGACTGGCTTCATCATGGTTCATGACTGCATGGCCTTTGAAGCTGCCCTCAGAAGGTTCGGCCGACCTGAGGGCCACATGAAACTTCTTGGAGCGCTTGGAAGCAGTAAGATTCCACAACAATAATGGGTGTATCGGCAACAATTGAAAGGAAGCTCTTGAGCTTGAGACATGTGTGGTTGTTCACCACCCTTTGCTTCAGAGTAGACCTCAAGGTGTGACAAATTCCGCCAAATGTCAATGGCTCCAGTTTCCACACCCAATGCTTGCAGTGCAAGGTCCTCCACAAGACTCAGAATGCGGCATTGGTATACCAGTGCGGCATCGGCAAACTTTGCCCCAAGGCATGGAACCGAGCAATGGCTTGGGCACCCTTGGAGAAGCCATTGGCCTTGGTCGTGGCCGCAAGGCGGAAAAAACATGAAAAAAACATGGGAATATCCCGGATGAATGTGTATATATATAATATAACATATATATATATATTATACATATATACACGCACAGTATCATGTATATAGTAGTATACTACGTATACCTGTCTCTCTCTCTCTATTCATATTATAGAACATGTATATATTATTATATAATTACATGTATACATCATATATATATACATATAATTATATATATATATTAATGCACGTATTTTATGTGATACAAATAGGTTTGGCAACTCCACAGTCAACCGCACAGGGCCTGGAGCACAGCACAATCCTCCAGCAATCGCAGCCACCTGGTGGGTCACTAGGGGATCCCTAAAATGGATGGTTTAATAATTTATAATGGAAAATCCTATTAAAACAGATGATTATTTAGATGAGTTAGATGATTTAGATGATTTAGGGGCATTTAGGGGTACCCCCATTGAAACCTCCAATTGTTTCTAGAGTTGGGAAACAATTATCAGACCCCTGTGGCTCCGGAAGGCTCCTGGGCAGGGTGAAGTTCTTCGTCGAGGGAAATACAATTGTGACAACCTCAGCACATGAAAATTGGATAAACAGTGGATAAACTTGGTACAAACTTGTTCTTTGCCAGTGCTTTTCACTTGTAAAAACACCATGGCTGCCATGGCTTTGTAAAAACACGTTGCCGCGCTTCGACTCTGGAGCGGCGTTCTGAGCTTTTGGCCATGTAATCGAAAAAATCGCTGGAACTCACTGCTCCATTCAGATCCTGCCAGGCATGGCTCGATGGAATGGGGAGAATGCAATGCTGGTGCCAGGCTGGTGCCATGTGGACTCGATCTTCCCACCTCAATTTTGCCAATTCTGATGTCCTCATCGAGGATGACCATAACACCACCTGCTTCCAAAAACGCAGGAACATAGGTCAGTCTAGTCTAGAAAACAAAATGCGGCTTGGGCAACTTTAGTGTAGCGCAAGAACAGAGTCTGTCTGATATGCCAGAGAAATCAAAGCCCTGGACTGTCATCCTGCAAGAACGATCGGCTGTATGTCGCCTGAAGGGGCACTCGATTGAAGCATCGATGTTGGTGATTGTATCATTGGAACGCCCTATATTATCCAATATTTGATCGGTTTTTCCCCATGGTTTCCTGTAGATTTTCCCTTCAACCAATCCATTGTATTGGTGGAACTTGGTAGATTCCTGAGGTGCCTGTGCTTGTGGTCTCAGGTTGTTTCCGAAAGCCTTGATCACCTGCAGTGTGGCCACAAATGGCCAAGAGTGACATGAGAAAGTCCAAATTAAATGGAGATTAATTAGATTCATTCGCGATATAAAGTACTATAAAGGAAGCTCCTGTTACACTTCAAGCCATCAAGCTGCCTCTTGCAAGGTTAAAGCTGCTTGCTCAGTCGGAGGCTCCTAAGCAGCTCAGTATTGTTGAAAACAAAGCGTGATCGTCTGAAAACAACAGGATCAACATTTTTTCTAGACCTAGCACCAGAATAGACCCTCGTAGTCGCTTCGGAAATGTGTTTCTGCGAGTGGAAAAGTGGACATCGACCGTTTCAATCCACTTCACATCATTTCATCCTTTTCAAATATGTTTTAAGGGGAATCGTATGGAATTGTGGCAAAACATGGCAAAACATGGCAAAACCCCGTCCCCTGTATCTTGAAACTTCTCTTTGGAACTAAGTGCAGTACGCTGCCCATGACACTTCGAGCACCAGCAGTAGTTGACGTCAGAGTGCTGGGAGGAACCTGGATGACACTTCGCCCAGGACATCCATTGGATCCATGATGATCCATGGACAGAGCAAAGGGTCTTACACTCGACTACGGGATCTCACCAACAAATACCAACCATAATTCATGATATATTCATGATATTCATGGGAAATGTAATGGGATACCGTATGGGATCTATATGGATCTATGATCTATGTTCAAGTCCTAAGTGTCCGCGATTTTGCCGGAGGATGACAATTTCTTCCTGGACTCAGAGGCCGACCTGGCCCTGCAAAAGCTTGGGCACATCCTCACTCCTCAGAGGTTCCAGTGACAGAAATGTCACTTTCTGCATCTTTCTGCATCTTTCTGCATCTTTCTGCATCTTTCTGCCTGTGTATTCTAGACATATAGAAAGAACAGCAACCACCTCCACTTTTGTCTACTAAGTCTACTAGATGCTGCCAAGCATCCTCAGCAAAATCTCCTTTCTCCCTTTCTCACCCGCCTCTTAATCTTGAGAGCCAACAAGTACATCACATTATTCACATTACAAAAAACAGCCAAATCTCAAGCACCTTGAACACCTTGAACGAATATGAACCATTGAGTTTCGCCTGAAAGGCCACGCTGACGACCTGACTTCGCTCACTGTAGCGAAGATGCAGGCTTGCAGGGCAAGGCCTCCACAGGATGCAACATCTGAGAGGCACAACATGGCGCAGGGTGGTGTAGGCCGTGTAGGCATGGAAAATAGGCGAAACAGCAGGGGAAGGGAGGCTAAGCAACGAAGGGCCAAACGACAAGCATGGACATGTTCAAAGTACTTCAAAGTGAATAAGCAGAATCTTCTTCATATCTTCCTTGTCAAATGATCAAAGATGGATCTTTCTTCGAACAAGCTGGGCATCTGGCAACGGCTTTGCGTGCCTGAGAACAACAATGCATAGGCTACACATGTACAGGATGACCGTATGACCCTTGTATCTTAGTAGCCAACGAACTGTTGTAGTTGAGGACCTCTTTATAAACCTGGAGGCAACGATGGCAACGACCAACTTCATCAAACTTCTGGAGTCACAAAGAACAGCAGGATGTCCGTGCCTTGAACTCGGGAGTGTCCAAAAAGATGCTGGTCATCTTGTTTGGACGTTTCCTCAGGCTTCCCAGGTATCCAACAAATGTTCAGAGATGTTCAAAGCATCGAAATTCTGAGGGCACTACACCGAGGAAGTCATGGCTGCTCGCTCCTAGCTGGACATCCCATTCGATGCATCTTCTCATCAACCAAGGGCATCAGAAAAACTTCCGCTAATGGGAATCAGTGAAAAGGATTGAAAAAGATGGAACATGATTGAAAAGGATTGAAAAGCTAGAAAACATGCAGAAACACTCCTGGACTCAGCCACTATGTGCAGTCTATCAGATCTCCTCTGGGAACTTCTCAGCCATAAATGCCGCCAATTTCACTCGAAGGTTGATGGCTGCCTTGGTCAGTGGATGTCAGTGGCTAGTCTTCAGCTCCATGGCCACCATGCAAAACGCGGAAAACGTACCAATGCAGAAAAGGAAAAAAACATAAAGCAACACACATAATAAACAGATATATATATATATTATGTAACCGGATGTATATATATATATATTATATAAACAGACTGTTTTCTGGGCTGCTAGCTCTGAACAGGGACGAATTATGAGAGGCTAAGTTTTCTGCCTTTGCTTCGAGCAGAAATGTGCGTTCTCTTGATCCTCTTTCAAGGCCTGCGAGAAAAGACAAGCAGTCTTTTGCCGATGCCAGGTAGATGGCTTCAAACATCATCAGAAACCAAGGTCGCAGCTCTTCTTATATTCCTCCTGATGAGAAGAGCTTTTAACATCCTGGCCCCTGCAGCAATACTCCGAAAAACATCTGCAAAAAGTAAGTCGAACACAACAAAAGGCCAAAGTTCTTTCAACTGAGTGCATGGCGGCTTCATTCCCTGTCTCAGCGTTCACAAACAACTGTTCACGGGGATCAGTCAAATTAAAAACCATGGAACAGAAAATCTTGGTATTATCTTGGTCATTTTTGTAGTACAATAAGTATTTTGATTTGTTCTGACTCATGCCTCATACTACCCACAAAAACAACGGTCTGAAAGTTGCCACTTGTACTGTAGACTCTACCGAAGGAGAAGATACAAGGTACATCGGGTCCCGTTGCAACTTAAGCCCTAACGAGATCCTGCTCTTCTCTCAGGGATTCCATTTGGCTCTTATGTCGATTTAATATGATTTAATGCCGTTTCAGGATTTTGATACATTCCTTCCTGCCAACTGTAATACTTTGTTATGTTTGCAATTTATCTGTTGCATTACCAACAAAAAATGCAATAATAAAATCATAGCAAATCTCGAAATTCCGCGAAACCCTAAGGTGAAATCTGATTGTCGTCCATAGGTCTAATTGAGCTTGCAAGCAAACTTGTGATTCAACAAGATACCCGCAACGAGCTACACGATGACTTCAAACAAACGGACATGGCAGAAATGCAAATGAATGGAGGCATCAATACAAATAAGGAAAGTAACTTGCAAGAATCATGAGAAGTAAACAAAGGAATATCTGAGCTGGATGGACCCTCAAGCTTCAAGAATGAATATCGAAAATTATCGAAATACGAACAAGGTATTGATGCTCTCTCTCTGTAGGGTTGTCAAACTATGTCAAACTGCAATTCATAAGGTTCGATCCATGGAGGTGTTATGAAGTGTTTGATTCTGCGTGGAGATGATTGGATCAGGCCATGCCTTGGAATCCTTGGAATATGAACAACTGTCATGAACATTCATTAACTATATCGACTAATATCGACTATATCATACTGTAATATACTGTATATAGATTGTATAGATATGCATAATCATACAGTATACAGTATCTTCGAGCCTTTTGTCGCAAGAGAGTGCCGATGTCAGTCATGAGTTCCAGCATTCCTTCCTGGCATTTCCAAAAAATACGAAAATTCACGAGAGTTCACAAGCTGGAGTGGTACAAACCAAGGAGGCGCACAAAGTCGATGCACATCAAGGGGGCTTTCACCACCTGCAAATATACAGGATGATGCAGTAGCCATGCAACAATTTACCAGCGCAAGTGTGGCTTTGAAAGAGATGACTCTCCGAAATTTTCAGCAGCTAGGCTCAGCTAGTCAGCTAGGATAAAATTGGTGTTGATCAGCATCACTCAGAAGATTCTTGCCTGTGACATGAACCACTGCATTGTGGATTTTTGACTCCACCTCAAAGATCAAGAAAACAATGAGCTCCAAGCCCAATGAGGCACAGCTCACATGCCACGGAAGCAGAACCGCATGGTTTTAGGCAGCATTCAGGCCAGCCACTTGTCATACTTTTTGAGCGCTTTTCTGAAGCCGGAGAAGTTCACTTGCGAGAAACTCCTTAAGCACCGACCATTACACTGCACTGATCTGCACTGTAACACACTTGAGGCTCTCAGGCTGACAATTCATCTTCATCCAGCTGACTACACGCTGAGGGGAGAACTTGAGGTTGCAAATGTCGGTTCCAAGCTCCTCATACCTGTGCCAAAACCCTGAGAAAAAGAAGGCGGGAATTCCGGCAAAGCAGGACTCACAGGTCCCCCCCTGGGAGCGGCCTTCGGCACAGATCCTCGGCCTGATTGCTGCTTTGAGCATCCTACAGGGATGCCATGGGGCCGATGGGTCAGCTGAGCTGTGCCACGTGGCGAGTCATTGGCAGTCCTTAAGCAATGCCTCCAGCTGTTGCTTCGTTGCTGCCTGCCATGAAGCTACTGACTTCACAAGGCCAAAAGATGCCAAGATCCAAAAAGATCAAAAGCTACTGACATGGAAAGGAAGTATTTCTAATGTATTTCTCATATCTTGGAAGGTCATTTCGACTGCATTTCCACCGCTCTTGACCAACTCCGAAAGTTGCAGACCCTTCAAGAATCGAGGTGAACGAGAATTGGTACCTCCTCCAAGAGGACGAACTTGCTGACGCGATTCAGCTCACCAGCTGGCAACGGATAGGGCCAGGGTAGCACGGTGGCAAAGCAGAGGCAGCCAACTCTCTGGAGCCAAACAAAAGAACATTGGCTTCAAAACAGTTTAGACCTGATTGATCCTGATTGGGTACCCCCGTAAGATGGTGATAAATGGTGAATGCTGCAGAACTAAGAGGAACCAGAACGACCAAAAATACCAAACTCATCAACCTGGTCATGTTTCAACTGCTCTTGATTGTCTTGCAAACTGAGCATCGGTACTGAGGATCTCGTTCAGTCTGGCCTCCACTGCAACGCATACAAGTAACGTCTCTGTTGACTGCCCCACAAATCAATGGTGGCTGAGTCGCAAACCTCTGGTGGTCGATCAGGATTGGGCCCCAAACGCAAAAAGGATGAGGTCCAGTGAGTCACCTTCCAGGCTGCGGCACCGGCGGGGTTTCAGGGTCAAAACCACCATGGCTGACCTCCTTCACGCTGGCATTATCTTTGTCCTGAAGGACATCTGATTCAGCAGGTAACACCAGGTAACACCCACGCCATCTGCCACAAGACTCGGTGCGGTCTTGGTGCCCAATGGCAGAGGCGAAACACATCGCCATGAAGCGAAACATCGAGTCAGAATGAGACGCATCGCGATGAATCATCGCTGTCCTGCCCCGTGAAGACTTTGATGGCTTTCTTCAGCTCCTCAGTAGTAATAGAGGTACAATTCGATCTTCTGGTCGCTTGGGAAGACCACAAAGAGTACATGGTAAAACATGATAAAACAGCATAGCAAAGCTCCGAATTCAAGGATATTACAATAGGAAATCATCTGGGACTTGTTAACTTGTGGCCTCACTTCTCTAGTTTGAAATCTGACTAAACCCAACCTGGGGTGGCCGACATTGTACTGAATGTAGTTGCCCCGATATTTTGCTATGTCAATCTTTTCCAGCTCTTTTCCAAACCTGCAGTTACAAGTACAAGCTGGATGCTGCATTGATCCAACAGCCCAGGGGAGCAAAGAGAGGGCAGGTGAAGGTTTCTGATAGGACAAAGTCCTTTGAGCAAGCCAATCATAACAGGCACACCCTTTATCCTGCCAACATGTGCCAACTGCATCCAACTGCCACTTCTGGGCTCAGGTTCTTCTGCAGAATAGCTTGTGGCTTGATCGAAAGCTTGTCTCATTGCTCACCTTGGCGAAGGTACTCGAAGCAAGTCGGTAGATTGAGCACCAATACCGGTCAGAATGTTTCAGAATGTTTCAGAAGTAAGTCACTAGCACAAAGGATCCCACCAAACGACCCAGTAGCCACTTGTATAAATGCGTCCCTATTGAGTCCCTCAAACTTGGTGAATAAATCATCAAACATCATCAACTGGGTACAGTATGGCTCAAAAGTGGTCAAACTTGGTGACTTAATTGACCACCATTTCCCCCATTTTAGGATGATGGGAATCCAAGGTACACTAGTCACTTGCAGTCCAGCGAGCCCTAGCCCATCGCCCAGGGCCGAGCAAAGGGCACCGCTGTCCTCCCCAGTCACTGCTGGCACCACTGCTGTGACGATGCATGCTCGACCACTGCCACCTGGATGATGAGAGTCAAAAGAAGTGTGAAGTTGTGAAGTTACCTACATTGACATTCTACAGTACGAGTGTATATGAGCAACGCTTTTCTGTATACATTATGAGCGTTTATGAGTTGCATAACAGAGAGTGTCATTCGTTGAAAGATTCTCTCATCACTGAAGGTAACAGATCCAGCCTGGAGCTATGTATTTCCTCGGAAGAACCACGAGCATGTGTGATAAAGGTGACAAAAGCGTCACAGGTTCGTTTGTTTGTTTCTGGATTCTTTTGGAAAGTGTGTCACAGCAACGGTTGCAATATTTCGCAAAGATTCCACCAGAAAACTTTCTTGCACTTAGTTATGCAGTTGTGCATCAAAGCTCTACTGCGTTAGCACACATACACAGACACACGTGCACACTTGTCACATTGGATTCTGAGAAGTGCAATTGTGCAAGGTTCTGAAGATATCTGAAGATCGTGAAATGAGAAGACACACATTCCGTGATCCTGTGCAATGATGAATTTTGATGAACTATGATGAATATGTCGAAATAGTGTTCCTTACCTTTGTCTTCGATGTGTCAGTCCAAGCCGCTCAAACAGATCAACAAGCTCTGAAGACTGGACAGTTCCTAGCAAAGCAGTGGCCCTCTCCGTCCGGTCGAACGTGGGATGGCCAAATGAAATCCTCAGCTTCTCATCGCCATGCTTTGCTGGGGATTGCATAGGCTTTCTAGACACAAAGCATCCTAAATAACATTATGAATTATCATGAATAGTGAATAGTAAAGCTGAGTCCAAACAAGCCGGCAAAAAAGCAAGGACAGTCTGACTATGCCTGACTATCTGCTATCTAGCCTCTCTGACCAGCAAGCATCATGGAATTCCGCCATTGTGCGTTTGGGCTCCAGCAGTCTGCCTGACCAAATCCACAGCAATTCACTACACACGTATTTTTGGTAAAATCTAATAATCTAATGAAGTTGAGCACATGGATATGGCTCACAATTGACATACCAAAGGACCCAGAAAAATCGGTTGTTCTCAGTATGTACCTATCCAAGAATGATGGTCAATAATAGTTTGAGCTATTTCCACATGTACCAGTCACATGCCCTGCGCCTCCCATGCCGACAATATGACTGGTGAACCTCACTTTCTCTGCAAGCTGCAACGATGAAAGTACTGAAATGGCCGTCCACCGATCTTACAATAGATACTGTCTATATCTGTATATTATATATATATATATATATTATAAATAATAATAATATATAATAATATATAATAATATATAATAATATATAATAATATATAATAATATATAATAATATATAATAATATATAATAATAATATATAAAATAATATATAATAATAATATATAATAATATATAATAATAATATATATAATAATATATAATAATAATTAATAATATATAATAATATATAATAATATATAATAATAGATATATAATAATATATAATAATATATAATAATAATATATATAATAATATATAATAATATATAATAATATATAATAATATATAATAATATATAATAATATATAATAATATATAATAATATATAATCAAAGGAAGTTGGGAAGCAATTTCCGAGTTACGAATGACTTTTTACTTGGTGCAATTGACTATGATGAAGGGTGGTAGATCCTGTAACAATACATAATGTACCAATACATCACAAACCAATAAGAAGCAATGAAATTGACCTTGAGGAAGGGTGGTAGATCATATAACAATACATAATATAACAATACATAATGTTATAACAATACATAATGTACCAATACATAACAAAAGAATAAGAAGCTATGAAATTGACCTTGAGGAAGTGATGATGAAGGGGAGTGGTGACGAAGGGAAGCGGTGAAGAAGGGAAGTGATGATGAAGGGGAGTGGTGACGAAGGGAAGTGGTGAGGAAGGGAAGTGGTGACGAAGGGAAGTGGAGAGGAAGGGAAGTGCTGATGAAGGGGAGTGGTGAGGAAGGGAAGTGGTGACGAAGGGAAGTGGTGACGAAGGGAAGTGGTGACGATGGGAAGTGGTGACGATGGGAAGTGGTGAGGAAGGGAAGTGGTGAGTTGGGAAGCCGGAGCACGAAACCTTGTGTTTTCCCGTGTAAAGTGGCTGCAGCCGGCGATGAAAGGTACCTCGTCTGTGCGGCGGTTGCGGCTGCGGTCGTTTCTGTCGCGAATTGTTCCTCCTATGTGTTTTGCAACGAGTGGTTGTTCCTGTGCGCGTAGTTCTATGCGTTTCTTGAAGCTGTGGTAGCAGATCGCATTGGAATGGCTGCATGATGTTGCATGGGCTTTGTGTTGGGGAGGAAGCCGGAGCACGAAACCTTGTGTTTTTCCGTGTAAAGTGGCTGCAGCCGGCGATGAAAGGTACATCGTCTGTGCGGCGGTTGCGGCTGCGGTCGTTTCTGTCGCGAATTGTTCCTCCTATGTGTTTTGCAACGAGTGGTTGTTCCTGTGTGCGTAGTTCTATGCGTTTCTTGAATCTGTGGTGGCAGATCGCATTGGAATGGCTGCATGATGTTGCATGGGCTTTGTGTTGTGGAGGAAGCCGGAGAACGAAACCTTGTGTTTTTCCGCGTAAAGTGGCTGCAGCCGGCGATGAAAGGTACCTCGTCTGTGCAGCGGTTGCGGCTGCGGTCGTTTCTGTCGCGAATTGTTCCTCCTATGTGTTTTGCAACGAGTGGTTGTTCCTGTGTGCGTAGTTCTATGCGTTTCTTGAAGCTGTGGTAGCAGATCACATTGGAATGGCTGCATGATGTTGCATGGGCTTTGTGTTGGGGAGGAAGCCGGAGCACGAAACCTTGTGTTTTTCCGTGTAAAGTGGCTGCAGCCGGCGATGAAAGGTACCTCGTCTGTGCGGCGGTTGCGGCTGCGGTCGTTTCTGTCGCGTGTAAAAGATGTTGCGTGTAAAAGTTTGCTGTGTGTAAAAGCTTATCTGCGCATGTGTTAAAAGTGTCTCTGTGTAAAAGTTTTGTTTTTGGGTGTGTGTGTGTAAACGCTTGCCATGTGTAAAAGCACTGTGTGTAAGTGTTCTGTGTGTAAACGCTTGCCATGTGTAAAAGCACTGTGTGCAAGTACTGTGTGTAAACGCTTGCTGTGTGTGAAAGCTTGCTGTGTGTAAAAGTTTTGTGTGTAAAAGTTTGCTGTGTGTAAAAGCTTCTCTGTGTAAAAGTTTCTGTGTGTGTGTGTAAGCGCTTGCCATGTGTAAAAAGCACTGTGTGTAAGTGTTCTGTGTGTAAATGCTTGCTGTGTGTGAAAGCTTGCTGTGTGTAAAAGCTTCTCTGTGGAGTGAAGAAGTGTGGGGAGTGTGAAGAAAGCAATGAGAAGTGTGAAGTGTGGACTGTGACGTGTAAAGTGTGAAGTATGAAGTGTGGAGTCTGAAGAAATCAGTGAGAAGTGTGAAGCGTGGGGTGTGAAGTGTGGAGTGTGAAGTGTGGAGTGAGAAGTGAGAAGTGTGAAGTGTGGAGTGTGAAGTTTGGAGTGCGAAGAGTGAAGAGTGCAGTGTGAAGAGTGCAGTGTGAAGTGTGTAGTGTGGAGTGTGAAGACTGTCAAGTGTGAAGTGTGAAGTGGAGCTTCAAATGTGACATGTGAAACAAGACATCAAGCACGCACGCACGGGCTGGCGCACGCACGGGCTTGGCTGGCGCACGGCGCATGCAAGTTCTATAGATGAGAAAGGTCTTATATATATCTTTAAGGCAACTTCCGCCCCGCCTCGTGCGGGTACTACTGGTAATATATAATAATATATATAATAATATATAATAATATATATATAATAATATATAATAATATATAATAATATATAATAATATAATATATATATATATGTATATACAAGACTCTTGTAAGGCAAAACCAGCACAGTTCTCTCGCCGCTTCTTATCTTTAAGCTCTCTGCTTTTCAGCAGGCCATTCACGCAATTGGCGAGCAAAGTCCTGACAAACTTCTCACCCGGGCTATGATTCTGGTGCCACTGCAATGTGAGTGCTTGTTAACTTGTACTCCTGCACAGTTTACAGTGGAACTGAATGGAACTGAGGGGCCAGTTGTCACTTTCCCCGTCCTGCAAGAACCTCTCAATGGATCTCAGGAGAGCTGGAGGTCGCTGAAGTGCGCTCAGCACATAAATACTGAAGCCTTCGCAGTCAAGAAACAGAAATTGCAAGGTGAGATAACAACGATACAACACCTTACCCGACCTTACCCTAAAGGAGCATTTCAGACTGCTATGGAATGAAAAACAATGAACATTAATATGAACATGCTGCAAAGTGGATTGAGGATGATTGATGCAGGTCGCCTTGAACTCCGAAGGTGTCCTCAAAGCGGCGAGGGACAGAGGTGCTTCAAAATGGAAATCGGACAGGAGCTTGCACCTGTTCCCTTGTTCGCAGTTCAATGATTGTTACCAGCATTACCCAGCCCTGGGGCTATCCATTAAAAGTGCCAAGCTTCGCGGAGGCAGCAGCCCACACTATACCCAAGCTGCTGCTTGGTGCGCAACTCATCATAGAGTGGCTCATACATCATGTCTTCCAGCAAAGACAACAGGACTCTTCTTCGAGCCATATCCTGCAAGAAGTCCATGCAGTCCATGGCTTCATCTTACAATGATGCTGTCTAAAAGAAGATCGGTGTCCAAGCCTTCCTGAAGCCTTTGTTGACTCGCTACATTGACTCTACATCTCTCTACTTTGGCATCTTTGGACGTCTTCTTTTGGCCTTTTGACATGTTTTGACGTGGTTTGACATGTCTTGACATGTCTTGACATGTTTTGACATGTTTTGACATGTTTTGACATGTTTTGACATGTTTTGACTGGGAATGCAACGTGATGCAATATCCTTGTTCCATGCCCAGCTATCACGCCCAGGGAGCTGGAAATAGATTTCGATCGCGGAGTTGCTTTGTGTGTTGTCGATTGCAGGCTGCAGCCACACCGCAGCAGTTCGAGGATCCAGTTGCACCACATCCCAATCTGGAACATCCACTTTTTCCATGACCAGCTGGTTGGCAAGTGAAGTTTCCACCCATCTGCTTGCTTCATCCTTCGAGGTGTTGCCGGAAATGAGCAACTTGCAGTCCACCTTTTGGTAAAATTCTCCAAGAAAATCGTAGAGCTCCGAGAAAGTACATGTACTCAGCTCTGCCTCCCGCTGCGATGGCTTGGAAACTGTTGGCAACAAAAGGAGCTTTCGAAGTTGCGCGCAATGAACCTAAGGGTGGTCAGGTGCCCCTTCTCTCCGGATCACTTCAGTAGATGTTCCGCTGAAAAGGGTGAGCACGGGGATATTGACTGTACCCCTGTCATTTTGATGCCTTGGTTTTCACATGGTTTGAATGTCCCAAACCAATCTTTAAAACCTTTAATATATTCTATTTAATATTATTTAGTATAATATATAATTAAATGTAACAATATCCTTTAATATATCTTATAAATTCTCATATAATCAATATGCTTTAATCATCCTGCACCTGAGGTTTCAGCCAGGCATTGCGGTAAGTTCGGCAAAGCTCCTCCCACTGTGAATGGAATCGGTCTTGGGCAAAGGACTTTAGCCAAAGTCCTTGGATCATGGTCTCCACCAGTTGCAACAGCTTTTGGCTAAAGCCACCAGCCCTCAAGGACAGACCATAGGAGGTGTCGTTGAAGCTACAATGAAGCTTCGCTTTGGAGGCCGTGTAGAAGGTCTCGTTCAAGCTATCCTGCAGGACATGTAAGGACCACACGACGTGAGTTTCAAGGTTGGTTGTTTCCCTGACTCTTGGATCTTGGGCAAAGACCGCTCAGATGGGGGTTCTTTCTCGTACCATCTTGTGCTGCATAGGAATGCTGTTCTATACTAAGAACTTATACTAACTTATACATACTTATACATACTTATAGTATCTTATAGTAACTCTTCTTCGGACATCCTCTCTTCCCCCCTCTTGGCTGGGACTGTTCCGAACACGAATTGTAAATTACAAGATGAAGGGAACAAAACAGGAAGCAGTTGCTCCGGCTTCTGTGCATGTATTCATAAAATGTCACAAGACAAAGCAATGACGAAACTAGATACAAGTTTGTATACTTTTGGACTGAGTGGCAGATGAGACCATACTCATGTGCTACTCGCAAGGAGGGAGTGGAGAAAAAACTTTTTGAGGAAATGGAATCACAGTGTCTTATCCCTGATGCAGTGACATGCAGAGAAGTGTTCCTGACGGTTAGTGGGCAAAACCTGTGAGTTGGGATAAAGGATTCAGGATGATTCAGTCAGGGCTCCATGTTTAAGATTCTCACTTATAGGTGGCGTCATCTTACCCAGACCCATCCAGAATGGGATGTTCAAGTATTCTGGTGAATCCTGGTAAAAGGCAGCAAATCCAGTGTGTGAGACCTCAAACTCTATTCCAATACCCCAAACTTATAGACTCGTAGACTCGTAGACCTGAAATATCATGAATCGTGTGCAGACATACAAACATTTCTTGGGTGGAAGCGTCAAATGTACAGGTGTTCCTTATCCTTGAACATGTTCTTTTGTATGTTCTGTGGGGCTTCACTCACAAGGCTCTCTGGCAGTTGTCAAGCTTGGTGATATGTTTATCTGGAGCGGTCCTGCAAGCAAGCCGACAAGAGCTCCAGTAACACTTCTTTACGCACATTGCTGCTGTCAAAAACACAGTGGGGAGAAGTGATCCCCAAGCTCAACAGACTTCTTGGCTGCGAAAATCGCAAACCACATGGCAAATGCCAAAGCTTCGGACCTTCATAGCGCAACTTGTTTCAGTTTCACAGGACAAAGAACAAATTATATATATATATATAGTTGGGGAGACAATGGTGCAAAATCCCAAATTTATCCCCAGACCCTTTGATGAACCCCTCTTGGAAAAAATTGATTGGCTCTAAAACTACGTCTTTGACATTTCTGCTTGACTAGCAGAGGCTTTTGAGATATTTTGGGTACTCCGTGTTCTGCATGAAACCTAAACTGTCGAGGGCCTCCAGCTGTCCCAACAAAATCAAAGGGACACCCAGCATAGAAATATCTGCTCTTAGGATCCGTTACAAGTATTCACAAAAAAATGTCAGACTAGGGGTGCCTTCAACATGAGAATCGTTGGAAAAATTGGAATGATCAGATTCTTCTTGGCAGTGCCCCAGGGAAATTTGAACTCAAAGTGATTGAAGTGGTACCCATGGAATCAAAAGGCTCGCCTTCTGTCTCATTCTTCAGCAAGCAAGGGGTGGGTAGAAGCCTGCCACTCATCACAGGAAATCCTGCAACTGTGGATGGTGGAAGATCCGAAGATAGCTCGTCCACTGGCGCAACTTCTTGGGAGATTGTAAAGTCCGTAGCGATGAATTTGTTTGGAGATGGGACGTGCAGAGCTGGCAACTGGGCAGATTCCCATTCCTCCAGTAGCGTCTCTTCAATGGTTGATACCCAGAATTCTGTCCCAAATCGGCTCTCGACTTGCGGCTCACTTTGATCAAACAAATTATCCAACACGCTGGGCCCCACATCCGATCGTTTCTCTGATTCCTCCGTCGCTTCGGATCCAGAGGTGTCGTCCGCCACACCTGCAATGACGAGGTTGATGCAAGGCTCCCAAAAGGGCAAACACATGGCGTCCGACGGGCGATGCATATTTAGGATTATTTAGGGGTCCTTTGTCAAGGATTTTAGAGCACTGCTCAAGTTCACTCTCCATGCTGCCGATTGAACTTGATATTCCGGGAAAAGAAACTCATCGGTGTCAAGGTTCATTTGATGGCTGAAAGCATTCAAAAATCAAGTCAGGCAGGCGAAGTGTCAAGAGTCGGTTGTGACATTCTACTCTCAAGGCCTGCTCTGCCATAGCTGCTACTCATCAGCATAAAGAAGCATTTGCGCGGAGTCATATCATCAAGCAGCGATCTCAGCTGCCGCTGTAGATCAAAGCATCACGTGAAACATCATGCTGAATCATCTTTGACCCCCTTGGAAATCCCTTGAAACAATGCTGGTGATTGTTGAGTTCAAGACTTGTTCCTGGTGTCAACTTGGTGAACTTATTGCTGCCGGGTGGCCTGACTAGATCCTCTCGAAATTCTGTGTACATCCATGGTGCCGTCAGCAAATGCTGCGGCTCATGGTGATATATCGGCAGCATGCGTTCCTCACAGATCTTAGAGGTCGTCAAACACGATTATATAAAGTGCATTCTTCTAGTTACATTCGTAGCTCTGTTGTATTGAACACTACCACCTATCAGCAAAATGTGTTTCCGTTGCACAAACTGTCAGTAAGCCATGCCGCACTCAAGTCAATGACCAAATCAGATGGATCCTGCGATCACACAAAATTGCTCGGGCAGTGCAAATACTTTGAGACGCTTACATAAATTAAATGAAGGGATTTCCGAATGAAGAACAAACAGTTCTTGCACGTCTTTGCCAATGTTTTGAACACAGCCCTGGTGTACTGCCCACGGTCCTTCTCCTGCATGAACTGAAAACTCATTTGTGCAATTTGTTTCCTCTCTTCGTGAAGGTACGCAGGCAAACCGCCCCGAGGATACTGGCGAAGCATCTCCAAGTATTGGAAAACAGTGCGTGCCACCTGGGTCCAATTGCTGACACCTTTGTCTGTGAGGTCAATCTCCACAGTGAAAATCATGGAATTGCCTCAGGCCGAGAAAACATGACGCCGTATGACACCGTGCATGACTTAATTGGGACATAATCTCGAACTAAGCCATGGTCCATGGTCCACTACATTAATGTGCATATCAAATAACTATATACATATATATATATATATAATGTCTGGATTATCCATACCCTCTATAGTTAATATTATCTAATCTAGATTACCTATCTATATCATCTATATCATCCAGATTCTCTAACGTGTATGTATATATATATATATACAATACACACTAATTATATCATATGTAATAGAGGTAGCAATAATATAGACTATGATATATGATAATATAAAATAATACATTATGTGTATAATCTAATATATTATATACTAGAATATATGTGTACCATAATAATAATAGTAATAATAATAATAATTATTATTATATATATAATATGGAGCAACTATGGAGTGCAAAAGATTGTAAGACATTGTAAGACATCGTCTGTCCGTATCCAGGCTGCTGCTGTGGCTGAAGTTGTCCCCACCAGCTCCAGCAGTGAGCTCTGATGCCCAGCCCTCATCCTTGAGGTACGACAAGATAGAGCCGTGTCCCTCATCACCTGCAATTTTTGGTTGGCAAAGCTTGGGTAGTGAAGAGCTGGCAGCCGTGATCATGGAGAAATCAGCAAAGGATCAAAGGATCAAAGGATCAAAGGCAAGTACTCGTGAGTGCCAGAAAACCTGTTGTAAAACAAATGCACACTGTAAATTGCCACATGCCAACTGCCTGCCTATGAGGCTACTGAGGTAACTTTCGGGCTTGCCTTGGGTTGACACATGGAAAAAGAAGATAAGACACGGTAAAAATTGTGATTGTCATTCCAAACTAGCTCGTTTGAGGCATGGCCAGATAAGTATGGGTAGAAACCAATCAGTCCCAGTGCCAACACTGTGCTTCCTTAAGGCAAGGATCTCTGGTAATGCTGCATCTGGGGTGGCAGCTGCCAACTCATCCAAAGAGTATGACCATCACGAATTGGTCGGGCGCGAACAAGTTTGGGCAGCTCCTGGAATTGACAGGAGTTGTCCCGAGTTGTCCCCTTCTCCATCTCCTACCCCTGGAAAATCACAGAGCTGCAGCCGTTCTCCTGCTCTTCCAAGGGCAGTCCATGATGGCTGAAATCCAGCTGCGATGACGGAGATGGTGACACTGCCCCGAAGCTTTTGAACACAGCGCTCTCCAAAGCATCCAGGTCTTCAATACCAAAGATGCAAAGGCGCATTCGGCAAGCCTCAGCAACTCCGGGGATTGATTAAGTACATATTACAGTAATAACTAGAGGGCCATCGCTTGTTGGGGGATGAACATCCGTTAGCCATCAGATTTTTCTGTATATATATATAATTATATATATATATCATTGTGTGTTGGTGTTCACCAGGGTATGATGGGCTTCCAACCGACATTTAATTGGGCATGGCTGGCCTTGTACTGCTCTGCGAAGAATCTCTGCAGCTCCGAGTGAAGCTCCACACCCTGCGCTGGGGTCATGGGTCATACACGGTATATGGTTTATAGTCATCCATCCCCATAGTGGGAATCTTTGCAGTGGGTACATATATGTGTATATATATATATTTATATGTAAATAAACCCTATGAATGGATGATCATTCCCCAATCTGAGCATCTTACCCAGGTTTTGACCATGGCGCGTATGATAGTGAGACATAATATTATATAATCCCGTATCCCTTGCATATTAAACACCCCATTCTATGGTGTCCGAAATAGATATGTGTAAATCCCATCATTTAATCCCCAACAAACAACAATACTTTAGTATGTTTTAATGGGAGGGTGTCTAATATGAATGAGAGAAGGGTTCACCATGATGATCTGAGACAAAGGACCAAAGGAACTGTAATCGAGCGTGTGATCAGCTGCCCTGCCTGCTCCTTTGGCTCTTTATCAAGACTTTGCAAATTCCCCCAGCCAAACAGCCTGCGAAGAAAATCTTCTGCACAAGTTTATCATCTACTCTATGAGCAAGGATTGCAGATTGCAAGGATAATTTTTGATAGACACTTAGTCCTTGTCGTGACGTGTTTGTGTCTCTGTGCTGACCTCCACGGATGTCCTGGAGATGCAAAGCTTGCAAATAGGGTCTCCGCTCGAACGCTATCCTTGGATGAAGAGACGTCAGCAAATATCATCGTCAGCGCAGCAATGTGTAAGTCCTTCAAAATCTGTTCAAGTCAACAATCCAACAGAATGCATGTCAGCCTCTGAAATCCAAGTTTCGCTCCTCCTTTTCTTTTGAAATTCCGATTCAATTGCCTGATGATGCCGTAATTGTATCTTCGCTGACTCTTCAAACATGCTTTGGTTGGGGTGACTCAACATGTCAATCGACACCTCGCCTGCAACTCTCTTGAGGATGCGTCTGGCGTGAAGAGCGGCTGATGGAAGATCTGGGAGAACATGTCCAGGGCCTTGTGGAGCGCCTGTTGAAAAATCAAAGGATGTGCAGTGGCTGCAGTGGTGATCATGTGATGTGATGCCGGGCTGCCACAGCTTCGATGTGCTCCCAGCCTTGCAGTTCACATGGAAATAGAAACCTCAAAGCAGTGCGGAAAGAGGGTGTTGACAGGTGAACTTGGCCAACATGGCCGGATATGGCCGGAAGGCAAGATATTTTGAGGCCAAGCATTCAATCAAGTAGCAGCTAAGTAGCACGTGTACTCGCATTCGGTGTAGGCATTGGATTCACCAGCATTTTCTGAAAGGAACTCTTCGAATTCCGCTTCACCGGGATATTTCTTGCTGCCCAGAAAGATCATGTGCTCACCTTGGTCATCAGCCAGCCATCAGCTACCATCAGCTATCATCAGCTCAATAGTGCGGCCATTGCCGAGCGAAAAAATCCTGAGACCGCCACAATAGTGCGCCAAGCCTTGGCACAGACTTGGATCGCTGAACGAACCCACCTGTAGCGATCATACGAGCCAGCGGGCAGCATACTATCAGCATACAGCAAGCACCCCAGCCCAAGGTAAAACAACCTAGACAATAACAACATAATTTCAGAGAATATGTCATTATCTAATATGTTTGGTCAACGTATTTACCAGGTAGTATGTTTTCAAGTGTGTAGTCTAAATACTTATCCATATCATCTATGCTATCTTTTGGAGGGAACCCATTGCATATGTATGTGTGACTTGTCTTTGGAAAAACAAATTGATGTTTATCTCCTGCTTTCCTTTCCGGCCACACTGGTCACACTGTCACGTAGTCCATGTATTCCCAAGTATATATCATCTCATATCATGCCCTGAAATATTCCCCTCAATGGCCCTGATCCCCGTAGCGATTGCGGGCACATTCGGAGATATTGTTGGAGAATTGCTGACGATGTCCCTGCCATGAAAATTGTGACGGTAAGACTCAAGACAAATGCTTGATAAAGAACTATATGACTATATGTGGTTTGTAGAGCAATGCTGGTGGATTGGTGATGAATGCCTAGCCTTTTGCCTGTGATGTTGCTGTGCTGATTTATATATGTGGGCCACGGTCAATATTTAGTATATAGCTCCAAGTCATCAATTTTGAAGAGTGTATTATTGTTTTTCAGGTTTTGGGAATATAGCAAATGTTATCGTTTTTTGAAGAGTGTAATCTTTTTCCAAGCCCCAGCTCAATTTCCAAAAATAAAGATGTCTCTAATACTACTTTCCATTACGCTAAATTTTAGCTGTAGCTCATGTGCTGAATGCTGTCGGGGTACGAGCATGACCTGGGGGGTTGAAGGTAGAAGGGTTCCCGCCTGGACGCAGCATGAACATGCAGCTTTCTGCTTCTTTTGATCCAGATTTGACACCAACAAAGCTTGGATGCCGTTGTTCAATTCAATAAGGCGATAACCTCACTGCACGGGCATCTCAGGTTGTGAAAACAGTTCGTCAGGCATTGTGGAATTACCGCAACTTTGGGGTCCAGTGATGGGGTGTGATATGGCGTGACGATGCCGTGATAATGGTGTGATAGAAGCTATGGGAAGTCACCAACATAGGCTCAACAGCTGACGCAATGGATAGGCTTACGGGAAAAAAAACATCAGGAACTTCACAGTTTCTACCCCAACATTTTGGGGTTTCTACCGTTTTTACATGTTTCTACCCCAATTTTCCAGCAAGTCTGGGACACTTTGACGCCAAGATTCGGTTGTGATCGTTTGGTGACTTCGAAGCATCCAGCGCAGGACCTGGCGTTGGCGACCCCCGCTGCTTCCGGAATCCCGTTTGAAAAATACCAGCGGTTGCTTCAAACCACAAGTAAATGATTGAGAAATGACAGGTAAATGCTTGATATTCATAAATCTGAATAATAATATATAAGACTGATTAATAATGATTAATAATGATTGATAAATGAAAATGATTGCTCGAAACAAGTGTTCAAAGCAAAAACATGTATTATTCCGTATTGTCCCATCTGTCCAACATGTTTGTTCAGCCAAGGTGCACAAATTCCTGACCTCGCGAGCAGTCATAGATGGCATGCACGACCTCGCACTTTGGATAAGCCGCTTCGTAGTTGGAGGAAGGCCAAGCCCAGCTTCATTGCTTTCCACCGCTGGGCCCGTGGGCCATTTTTCAATGATGTCAACATGATGTGTGAGTGTGGACATAATCTATGCGTATCAATAAATATATAATGTATATGATGGTATGCAGCAAATATTTTATCTACAAAGAGAAACACACACATATATATATATACGTATGTTATATATATACACACGTATATGTGAACATATTTACATGTATGTATATATATATAATGATAAGAAATAATAAATAAGAAATAATTAATAATAAATAATAAATGATAAATAATAAACAATAAATAATAGATAATAAATAATAAATAATAAATAATAAATAACAAATAATAAATAATAAATAATAAAATTATAATAAATAATAATAATAATAGTATGTTCGCTGTAATACAATATGCAACATCATGTGTGTATATAACTGTATGATATGACTATCTAAGATATGCAAGATATGATTATCTAAATATGAGTGTGAGTGTCGTATATACGTCAACAACATAGATGTCTCAATCTCACTGGCAGAGAACAAGGAGTTGTTGGCTGCTCTGGAAAGATGAGGTCACGCTGCAGCCAAAATGTTCCAAAGTACCGGCAGCACCAAGGTGAAGCGTGGGCCAATTGGTTCAGTTCTGCGTCGTATTGCTGAAATCATTGCTGGACATTGCTGGACATGTTATGTTTCAATGACATCCAGCTGTACTGATGACACCCAGGCAAAGCAAATGGCTTGCCCGGCTAGTCATCCAAGACTTGAGGGCCAGGCTTCATATTTCTGAAATCACAAACAGCTAATTTTGAGCCCAGAGGAGCAAAATTCATTGCTAACAACTGCGCAATCCAAGCTCGAGTGAGAAGATTTCAGAGCTGACAAATTGGCTAAGAGTAAAACTTTTAAAACACACTACAAACAGAAATTAGTTGTCTGACTCACCGTGCAAGGTAAACACAGACAGCGAGAGAAGAGAGCCATAATTCACGAACCTCTGCAGTGTCTTGCACATTTTGCACCCAGTGCCAGTGATGCTTCCTGTTGCTGCTGGGCAACTTCGAATTGGTATGAATTCGGTGCAAGCTCCGACACAATGAATTAGGCACAAAACTGTGCATCCTGTACATCTTCACTGCACTTGTGCAACTTCGCCTTCAGAGCGTCCATCTTGGGCTTTCTGGATGATATGCCTTGGTGAGTGCCTGGACCAGCGATGCCACACAGGTTCACTCACTCCAAACCTTCCGCCAGAGACCATCCAAGGCGCCTCCACTTCGCATTGCAGATCCTGCGAAGGCTTCAAGGCTTCAAGTGGTATGCGACCCCTTCAGACTGAACAGCCTTGATGAGATTCCAACTGAGCAGTAGTATATAGATCGAAAGAAACTTGGCACTGGGGAATCGGGTGGCATGAATGATGTATTTGAACGAATATTTATCCCTTCAGCATAAATAAGTATAATTATCTATATACAGTAATGGATGCCTCTAACATATATAATTTGGAATGATCATGGTAGCGTTAAGACTCCACGGGCTTGAAGCGGGAACGGAGCCGGAACGAAGCGGGAGCGCAGCGGGAACGAAGCGGATTCGATGATTTCAATGTTTTTTCGCGGTTTTCCATGGTTTTCTTGCCTGCGGCTTCACTCCCGCTTCACTCCCGATTCACTTCCGCTTTCTTTTTTTGGTGTTTTCTAATTTTTGTTCAGTTTTTCCAGTTGTTTTTGTTTTTTTATTTTTTGGATTTTTGAATATTTTTGTTTGACTTTTTGGATGTTTTTATGTTTTTTTCTGGAATTGTCTCGATTTTTTTTGAACGGATAGCAAATTTTAGGAGTAAATTAACCCTGTTAGGAGTAGCCCAGGATTCTTTCATGAATTTGATCACTCTGTTTTTCTTCATTTTCTTACCCACCGATCTCCTGGTCTGGATCATCTGTTGACAACACCAACTCGTGCCACAATCTGATCACCTCTTTTGATGTTTATAATTTGATGGGATCAAGTCGAGCCATGCTCTGATCACCACTTTTTACATTATTTTTTGATGTCAAATCCAGCCATGCTCTGATCACCAGGCTTGGTCAGTTCTGACCTGGAAAATCCAAAAGTTAAGTTAACGCTACTACGATGATAGCAATATACAATATTATACAAGTAGTTCCGCACAAGGTGGCGGAAGTGTCAAAGATAGGACACTATAGGAGAGGTGAGTTGTTGTGATGCATGGATGGCAGAGCGAACCCACTGATGGACCGAAAAGTGGTTGGAGTGGCTGCAATGGTTGCAGTGGTCACCTCACACACAACTGCTGGATTTAGTGTGGTGTAGCGCAGATGTAGTTCTAGTTGTAGTGTAGTGTAATTAGCGTGGTGCAGTTGCAGTTGTAGTTGTGGTGTGGTGTAATGAGTGTAGTGCAACGTAATGCAATGCAATGTAATGTAGTGTAGTGTAGTGTGCTGTAGTGCTGCGTGCTGTAGTGTTGTGTGCTGTAGTGTTGCGTAGTGTAGTGTAGTGTAGTGTAGTGTAGCGGAGTCGAGTCGAGTCGAGTCGAGTCTAGTCTAGTGTGGTGTAGTGGAGTGCAGTGAAGTGAAGTGTAGTGTAGTGTAATGTAGTGTAGTTGTAGTTGTAGTTGTGGTTGCGGTTGCGGTTGTGGTTGTAGTTGTAGTTGTAGTTGTCGTATGTTGTCGTAGGTTGTCATTGTCATTGTAGTTGTAGTTGTAGTTAGTGTAGTGCAGTGCAGTGCAGTGCAGAGTAGCGTAGCGTAGTGTAAGATAGTGTAGCGTAGTGTAATGTAATTATTGTAGTGTAATGTAATCAGTGTAGCGTAGTGTAATGTAGTGTAGTAGTCTTTGTAGTTGTAGCTGTAGTTAGTGTAGGTTAGTGTAGGGTAGTGTAGTGTAGTATAATATAGTGTAGTGTAGTGTAGTGGAATGTAATTAGTGTAGGTTAATGTACAGTAATTTGCGTAGTGTAGTGTAATGTAGTTGTAGTTGTAGTTGGAGTTGTAATTGTAGTTGTAGTGTAGCGTAGGGTAGTGTAGTGTAATTGAGCCTAGTGTAGCGCAGTGTACTGTAATGTAGTTGTAGTTGTAGTTGTAGTGGTAGTTGTAATGTAGCGTAGGGTAGTGTGGTGTAATTGAGTGTAGTGTAGTGCAATGTAGTGTAGTTGTAGTTGCAGTTGCAGTTGTAGTTGTAGTGGTAGTGGAGTGGAGTGTGGTGTAGTGGTGGTTGTAGCTGAAACTGCTACAAAACCCTCACGTTGGGCTCACATTGACGACATCTGAACGTCCAAAAGCGGCGCGAACATGTGTTGCTTTGTACATTTTGACTTGGAAATGTGCCTCGCGCCACAACAGCGTGCACTTTTTCGCATCTCAACTTCTCAAAGTGCTCCGAAGCTGCAGTGCTTTGTAGATTTTGACTTGGAAACGTGCTTCGCACCACAACGGCGTGCAATTTTTCATCTCTCATCTGGCTACATGGCTCCGCACCCTTTCGACCCTCCGGAGCCACAAATCATTGGAAAAACACAGTGTTTCGCGACTCGCGACTTTTCTACCTTTTCGCGCACCTGCATCTTCTTTCTTCTCACTCTTTCTCTTCTCTGATCTTCTCTCTTCTGCTCTTCTCTTCTCTGCATCCCTACCCCTATACAGGGGAGGGCGGGGGGGACAAAACCAACCTGTCGAATTCCACTTTTTTTTGCTTGGAAACCTTGGGATAGTGATCCAACCTCTCAAATGGAATTTTAAAGTAGCATTTCTTAACAAGCCTTAGCTAAGCGCAAGCATGATGATGGCAGCGCGATTTTTGGAGGGATGCGCCTAGCTCCTCCGGAGCTAAGCGCAAGTATTTAATTTTCATCTGCTTGCCACTCACATGGAAGGACGAGGAATTTATATTGATCATTGAGAAAATATGATTGCGAAAATGAAATTTTAAAATGAAATTTCAGTACGACTCCCCCCCTCAAATTTCATTTTTAAGAGGTAGAGATTTCTCTGGGTCTTCCCACCTCTGCTTTTTCCATATGTCCATACTGTCGGAAGTTTGACTTCCAAACTTCCTTCGATAATCACACGTATATAAATAAATATATATATATATAATGAATGCTATATATATAATAGAGATTGATACATACTGTATAATGTGTATATATATATATATTACACTTTATGAAATATATTGACAAGAATACAAATCTTGATCGAAGGAAGTTTAGAAGTGAAACTTCCGACAATATGGACAGTTGAAAAGCAGAGGTGAGAAGAGTCAGAAGAGACAAGATCAGAAGAAAGAAGATGCAGATGCGCGAAAAGGTAGGAAAGCCGCGATTCACTGTGTTTTTCCAATGGTTTGTGGCTCCGGAGGGTCGAAAAGTAGGCTCGCTAAAGCGGCGGGTGCGGAGCCAGCTGGCCAGATGAGACATGAAAAAGTGCACGCCGTTGTGGCGCGAAGCACATTTCCAAGTCAAAATGGACAAAACACTAGAGGATCGGACCACTTTTGGAAGTTGAGATGTCGAAAAAGTGCACGCCGTTGTGGCGCGAAGCACATTTCCAAGTCAAAATGTACAAAACACACCAGGTTCGGACCACTTTTGGAAGTCGAGATGTTGAAAAAGTGCACGCCGTTGTGGCGCGAAGCACATTTCCAAGTCAAAATGTACAAAACACCGCAACCTCGGACCACTTTTGGAAGTTGAGATGTTGAAAAAGTGCACGCCGTTGTGGCGCGAAGCACATTTCCAAGTCAAAAGTGTTAAAAACTGACGGTCTCGGACCACTTTTGGAAGTTCAGATGTCGAAAAAGTGTCGAAAAAGTGCACGCCGTTGTGGCGCGAAGCACATTTCGAAGTCAAAAGTGTAAAAAACTGAGGGTTTTGAGCCTTTTTTGACGTGAAGATGTCGAAAAAGTAGACACTGATTAACTTAACTAACTTGACTAACTTAACTAACTTCACTAACTTAACTACCCTAACTTCGACGACAACAGCAACAGCAACAGCAACAACAACAACAACAACAACAACAACAACACCAACACCAACAACAACAACAACAACTACAACTACAACTACAACAACTACACAACAACTACAACTACAACTAGAACTACAACTACAACAGCTACAACAACAACAGCAACAACAACAACAAACAGCAACAGCAACAACAACAACTACTACTACAACTACAACTACAACTACAACTACAACTACAAAACAACTACAGCTACAACCATATGACTGCAACTACACTACACTAATTACATTACACCACAACTACAACTCCACTACGCTACAACTACAACTACAGTTGCAGTACATCACACTACATCCAGCAGTTGTGGGTGAGGTGACCACTGCAACCATTGCAACCATTCCAGCAAACACAACTCCAACCACCTTTCGGTCAATCAGTGGCTTCGCTCTGCCATCCCTGATTCGCAACAACCAACTTCTCCTATAGGTTTCCTATTTTTGAAACTTCCGCCACCGCCTTGTGCGGTACTACTGGTACTTGCTACTGGTACGCAGGTGACATATCTGACACCGTGTAGGCCATTGCCATGCCTGGATGCGTCGCTCCCTTTGCTGATGTTTCAATGCTCTGTTCCGGAGGGCCTGCCGATGGCGATCTCAATTTGACAGTCTGAGTCTCAGTGCGATAGGCAAACAAAACTAACAAAAAAGCGCACGAAGCAAACGAGCAACATATGGATATATGATATATACATTACACCGAAACAGGAACATTGACTAGTCTACAATGAGACGAATTCAAGTTCGCTCGTTTTGTCATAACGTTTCAATTGGCAGGGCATGCCGTAACGCTGTAACCGGGGCCTGCCTTGATCTCATTCCGCATGGCATTCTGCTTCTCTAGAAGTTGGTCACGCTCCTTCTCCTTTGCACGGTACTTCATCGCCTCGATGTTCATAGCTTCCTGGAAAAACATATTCCAATGCTTTCATTGGGAAAGAATAGAATGGGCAAATGAGCGTACCCAAGTGCAATGGAACATAGCAGCACAGCATGTCATTCAGTCAGATTGGGAATATTTTGTAATGAATGGGCATCAACAGCATCAACCCCTCGCCTCAAGTTCACCGATCCGGACTCTGGCTACGCCCTGCTCTTTGAGTGCTGCCTTTCCAAGAAACATGAATTGGCAGAATGTTCCCTCGCGTGTTTGTTCCGGGCATCGACTCGTGTCCTTGTCCTGTTCAGTCTTTCCATACGAACTGGAATTCTTGTGGATTCTCTTGGTCAAGACTTCCAGCCAATGAACAGGGACCCACCTTGATACTCTTTTCCAAACCATCGCGAGTATGTAAAGCAGCCTCCCACTGAAGCCAGCTGAAGCTGGGATGTCGCAGGAGCTGATTCACATGTTCGGACATACCACATTGTTCAGCAGTTGGTCACCATGCAAGTAAACTCAACTGGGTGGAATTGGATTTAGATATCTTTTCACCACACATGTATTATAGGATAGCCCTTAAAATCTAGTGGATTTATCATGGATCTCTCATGAAATTAATCATGGGGCTTATGATGGGGCTTATGATGGGATTTGTGATGGGGTTTAGGAGGGATTTGTGATGGATTTACGATGGATTTAGGATGGGTTTATGATTGATTATCATAGGGGTTTATGGTGGGGTTTATGATGGGATTTTTGATGGATTTATGATGGATTTATGATCGGGTTTAGGTTCGATTTATGATGGATTTATGACAGGTTTCGGCCCGAGGCCTCTCAGTGGTAAACCCGGTTCAACCAACGCTCGGGTCATCTTTTCGTGTTCCAATAGCTTTCCAGATTTTTGGCACATCACCAGGTGATAGCCACTTTGATGGGAAGCTGCACATCACTTCTCATCTGGACGGCGCTGCAGTTGGGCACCGCATCCCTTGCTGCTCACCGGTGTTGATCCTCGACCAGGCAGTTCCTTTGGGCATCGTGTCCCTCTACGGCTTCCAGACTGTGGGCAGAGATGCTTTCCTTTCTCTCCCGGCACTTGAATCCTCTTGGTGGTGCTCTATTGACGTCTCTCAACGAGATCTGTCGCCGCAGATCTTGGAGCTTTGCGCTGGCATGGGTGGGATGGGAATTGGAGCCTCTTCTTAGGGGGCATCCCAAGACTTTCTGTGGACTTCAATGATTTGGCCTGTTGCCATTTGAATGCCAATTCTCATGGTCAAGTGTTGAAGATGGATCTCATGTCTGCTGATTGTGCGAAGCTCATTCACCGTGAATTCGGTGGCTCTCCAGGGACCATTGCTTTTGGTTTTCCATGCCAACCTTTTTCCAGTCAAGGTATGCAGATGGGTAGTAATGATGTCTGGTTTCGTACTTTTTGGAAGGGACACCACAGCATCTACATGATGCAACCCCAGTCCGCCATACTTGAGTGTGTGGCTGCAGCGGGAGATCACATAGAGAGCAAGGAGGGCATCCAAGCTCCTGCAGCTTCTATGGACTGGCTCGTGCTCACTTTAAAGCTTGACCTGCAGGCACAATGGCCATGTCGACGTCATCGGTGGTGGGCTCTTCTCATGCCAAAGGCTTGGCACTCCTATGGACTGCATCAGTGGCCTGCCTCTAGTCCATATCAGGTGGTGGGAGACATTTTCAAGTGCTGGGGTCATTGGACTGATGAGGAAGAAACGGATTTGCAGTTGTTTGAATTTGAATTCCTGGCTTATTCAAATCCTGAGTTTGGGAGTGACAAAAGGCTGCTGGAGTCTTCTGACGTCGCAAACACGTTTCTCCATTCTTATGGAAATGCCCTCATGTCATGTCCATGCAAATGCAGACAGTCAGGGTTTAGTCGCAATTCTCTGTTGCGAAAAGGACTGCGAGGATGTTTTGTCCAGTCAAAGGTTCATCACAACCCCAGATATCTTCATCACGTGAGCTTGGACTTTTGCTGGGTCTTTCCAGCTCTTTGGACTATCCTCTCCGACCGCGGGAACACTTGGCTTTGTTGGGGCTTGTTGCTTCGCCTATGCAGATGGTCTGGATCTATGACCATCTCAGGAACAACTTTGCTCGGGCTTGTGACCTCCCACCAGTTCCTTCTCCTTTGGAATGGCTGAGGGCGTATACCAACGTGAACTGCTCCACCAAGTCCAAGATCTGTTCCGTGAGACAGACCAGCCTGCCACTCTGGCTTATAGACTTGAACTTTGGGCTCAATTTTGCGATCACCGGGATTCCGGAATGGCTTCACGGAGTGGTGGAGGATTCATCGTGCTCATGCACTACCTGATTCTCCTTCTCGCTTTCCTCAATCTCCTCCTGGCCTTGAGGTTGCCGAGGTTTTGTTTTTGCGGTCTTCAAGCTCAACTTTGAACAGTATGACACTTGGCATTTGAGACAGAATCAGAAGGGCAAACTGTTGTTACAGAAATACGAGAAGGGCATGCAGGCAGGGCATTTTTCAAGACCTGAAACCTCCCAAGAGACATCGGCTTGATTTGCTTCATCAAAAGCATACCTTTTCGGTTCTTGCAGTTGATGTGGACAGTGGTCAACTTCACCTTGATGCCCCCATCTCTAGGATGGGAATCTCAAAATGGACGGCTGGCGATGCAATGTTGCAGCCAAAAATCATCAATGAGGTTGTGATCCAAGTGCCAGATGTCTCTTTGTTTGAGCAGGGCGATCTGGTTGAGCAACACTGCCCTCTTTCGGAAACAGCGTCTCTTCATGCGGAGTTACTCAACTACTGGACTCCAACTTGAAAGGCGAGGTCCACTGTTGACAACCACACCTGGTGCCGAGTTGCTGCATTTTTTCAGGCTTACGTTCCACGATTCCACATGGAGCTTGGTCCAATTCAGCCTGACCAATGGTTTAGTGCATTGAAGCGATACAAGCCCAATGCAGCTAGGGGTGTTGATGTAGTTTCCCACCATGACCTTCTTTCTTTACCTCTTGCATGGACTCTCAAAGACTGCTTGACTTACTTCATGCCATTGAACTTGGTCAGACAAGCTGGCCCACCGCCGTTTTGTATGGGGTTGTCAACTTTTGTCAATGTCGACAGGTTCCGACCAGTGGTCATCTTCAGTGTGATCTACAGAACATGGGCACAGGCCAGAGCTCAGCAGTTGCTTCGCTGGCTCACACCCATGATGGACGTGGAAGCTTTTGGTTTCATGCCGGGATGTGAACCATCCCAACGTTGGTTGGTCTTGCAGGCAGAGATCGAACGGGCACTTCCAAGCTCAAGTTGATCTTTGTGGTCTTGGCACTGACCTCACCAGGGCCTTCAATTTCATTCCGCGCCAACACTCCTTTGCCCTTGCGGAGCACTTGGGGGTTCCTGCACGGATTGTGGTTCCATGGGGGTCTTTTTTGGATGATTGCGCTAGAGCGTTTGATGTACGGGGGTGTCTGAGTTCTTGCGCCACCTCCTCTTGCTGTTTGCCGGAGGGCGATGCTATGAGTGTGTATGGCATGACCCTGTTGTCTTTCGCTTGGCACTTGTATATGAGGGCCTACAGTCCTTCAGTTCGAGCTATGAGCTTCGTGGACAATTTGAGCCTCCTTTCCTCTGCTCCTGGTTTCCTTGCAACTGGCTTAGCATGCATCATTGAATTCTTTCAACTATGGAACATGGCTACTGATGCCAGCAAGTCTTACTGCTGGGCACTAGGTGAGGGCCAACGCAAACAGCTGACTATCCGGCCGTTTCAACGGGTTGAACATGCACATGAACTTGGTGGAGTTCTTGTATTCACTCGAAAGCGGTTCACTGGTTCACTGGACTTCAGCAGAAGAGGATCGCCAAACTTCCTGGCAAATGGCAACGTTTGAGAGCCAGTCGTGCCCCACTACAACAGAAGCCGACTGCAGTTCCACTTATTTGTTGGTCGGCCGCTCTCCATGGCATGGGTGAGCACCACCTGGACAAACTGCGGACACAAGCAATGAAAGCCCTGCGGCTTTCGCATGCTGGATGGTGGCGTTTCCGATACACCGAATGGAAGAGTTTCATGTGGAATTTTGATGGTTCTCTTTTTAGTGGCCCCTTTTCTCAACTTTTTGTTGTTTTGGGGCAGATAGGATGGAGGGTTGTTCCCCCGTTTTTGGTTGTCCATGACCAATGCCATCTCAACCTGCTGGGCATTGATGACTCCGTGCCGATTCCAGTGCTTTGGGATGCCTGGCACGGCAAGTGGTTTCTCGGAAAACTATGCAGGGCTTGCAGGTGCTTGACCCTCACCTTTTGGAATCTGCCTCCAAGAATCTGACTAGCCTTGAGCAGGCACTGATGGGAGCGCTACAGTCTGGGCCTTCATGAACCAGGCTGCTCAGGGGCACTATGACATGACCAACGATGGGCTATGTTCTCTGTGTGAAGTTCCTGACACCAACCAACATTGGTTGGGTTGCCCTCGGTTTGCGAGCGTGCAAGCCACCATGGAGTGCTGGCAAGATCATCACAGTCTTGATACCCGAGCTGGTGAAGTGGTGGCAATGGGACATGTTCTAGGGCTCAGCCAATCTAGTGATAGAGCAGAATTGCTGGTTGCCTTGAGTGCCATTGAATTGCAAGTTCATTTTGGCATCAACATGCATTTGCGGAGAGATTCAAAGTTTGTGGCCAATGGCCTCTCCTTCATTCTTCAATCTGGGGCGACAGGAGAGTGGTCCAACCAGGACCTTTGGGAGAAGATCCATCAGTTGCTGCAACAACTTGAACAGTTTGAAGTTGTTACACATTGGATTCCCAGCCACTTGGATGCTACCAAACTGCAAGATCCATTTGAAGACTGGGTTAGATGCTGGAATGATCAAATCAAATTTGCCGTCGGACAGTACAATTTCTGTCGCGCACATGAATTTCTTCAACTTAGAGATGACACGCACACACACACACTTTGAGATGGGAGCTGCAAGATTACGGCAACTGCAGGCGTTCTACTTCAAGGTGGCGGCCAATCGGCCTGAAGAACCGAGTGAACCACCTGAGCGAGGCGGAGTTTCACTGTTTGGTTTTGTTGATGAGTTGCAGCCATCTTTCGGCGATTTGTAAAATTCTGAAGCCAGTGACTTAGTTTGCAACTCTGACTGCTGGCCTTCTGATTTGCCTGCTGGTTTCGTTTTGACCTTGATCAACCATTTGGCTGCTAATGTGGATGAGACTTCTGGGGTTTTATCCGTTGTGTTTTGAGGAAATGTCAATTTGGTTGATTAAGGACTTCAATTTGCAGGTTCCTTTCGGGAATGCGGGAAGTTGTGTGACCGAACTTCACTCCATTGATTCCCGATTTGAGAGACCCACATTGGCTTATGTTTTGCGATACAATCGTCGTGCTTTGGTTTGGTTTCTGAGTGAGTGTTTGGATGGTGGTGATGTGTTGTTTTCTTGTTTTCTAATTTCAACAACGTGGATCTCCGAGTGTACAAGCCGACTGGGGGAATCTACATTCGGCTCTCGTGCAGAGCTATTCGTCGCACTGCCAACATAGCTAGACCGCTGTAGGCGCAGACAGAAGGACAGTACGGCACTGCAGCTGCTGTGCCTACTGAGACCGAGAAGCTGTTCGTGATATGATGGATTTATGATGCTTAAACATCATAAATCCATCATTTTTCCCTTTTTTGATGACCCTAACCCTCCCCTGAAGATCTTATGATTCGTGGCCTCGAAGCGATGCTTCACCTGGATCTCTTCTCGCTGCACGCGCCTCACTTAGAATCAGAAGATATATCATATTAGTATGTTAATATATGTATATATTTGGTAGATGGTTGAACTTAGAACCAGCTATCATATATGATATCTACTTTATATGTGCATATAATATATAGTATATAAATATACTATAGATGTTATGGATAGATAGATGGGTAGGATGGTTGAACGCTGAAAAATTCTGCCCTTATCAATCATGAGAGCTCGACTGAAACAGAATACAATTATGTTCGAGACCACAACAACTGAGTGCAGGGATCCAACTTTCTGGCCCAGGAGCAGATCTCTGACGAGGAATCATGAACGATTATCTCGTCTACGCTAGCTGGACATTGGAATTCGACAATTTGTTGGCCTTGCAAATTTGCATACAAAATATTTGAATGGATAACTTGAAATTGTCATACCTAGGTATTGAGCAAATGATAAGTTGTGTGAGTATTACACTTTGCGACTTGCAATACCTGAAGATGAGAATACCTGAATGACGCAAAGAAACGAATCAAATACTACTACCACGGAGAGGGACAGTCAGTCACGCGACCCCTAAAGGTTGTATGTCAGTGATCAAACACATCCACATATGGTATCTGAGACAGCTTGATGAGAAATTTCTCCAAGAAATGCGACTTTAAAACGGAGTAAAGAGTCCAGGCATGATACAAGCTACGAGTCATCAACAACTTATAACATCAACGACAAATTAACCAATCAATTAAACATTAACCAAATTAAACATCACAGGATATGACAGGTGTGGTATTTCATGGCAAACTCTTCAAAGAAATGAATATGTTTCAGAGGAATAAATGACCCTCGGCATCAGGGATTTCAGAAATTGACCATCTGACTTGCCTTTGCATTGCCTGTACTCGTTCTCGAGAGGCTCGAATGGTGCGTTGCAGTCGTGCTCGAAGATTTGCCTGTGGTTTGTGAAGCAACAAGGTCACATCAAGTTGGTTTGCCAGTGCTAAAGGATAGCCGAACGGGCTATCCCCAAATTATCTGAAGCTTTGACAAACCATAATTTTTAAACCATGAGATTCCAACCATGGTTGAACAAACGCCTCATGCTGCTCGTCGCGGAATCTTGCCCGATCGGGTGTCGCTGTCGTCACCTCCTCGTTGCAGAAGATAATTGATGCCATGGTCGAGTTACCCTCTGGTAATTTGACATAACTAATTATGAAAAATCACCATTTTAATATTTGACATAACTAATTATGAAAAATTACCATTTTAATAGGTGAACCATCTATATAAGTGCGTCATTAGAATTACCAGAGATTACCAGAGGGTACATGGGTTACTATTGGATATGGTCATCCATTCCATGCCGAATTCTGACATAAATTTGGTGTATCAATCCCTACGAAGGGATTGATGACCATACACCCCAATAGAGGCAGTTTTTCTTAAGGTTTGACCGTGGCAAATACGGATGCATGGATTATTTATGCATATTGATGAACTTTGGATGAAGGAAATCATCAAAAAAAAAACATGCTTATTAACTGCTTATTGTTTACATCCCTTCAGACTCTTCAGCAGTGTTGGCAATGAGACTTGAGGATAGCGCAATCTTTGTCTCCACAGGTTGTCGCTTTTGACGCCTCAAACACATAGGCCCACAATGGCCCACAAGCATCCAAATGTCCATTACTTTGAGCAGGAGCTAAGAGCTAAGGAATGCTTAAGGATATGATTTGCTACTGCTCAGCCAGTCCTACACTTTCCACGGCATAGCTTCATGGGCTCCCGGCGATTCGGCGGCAGCCCTGCTTGATTGAAGGGCGGCCTTGCGGATCTTTAAAAGCGTCCGGAAGTCGGCTGGTCAAAGTCAGGAACCGTCGGAACCGTAGAAAAATAACAAAAAATAAGGAGTAATGTGGGATACAGATTAGTGTGGGGATACAGAATTGTGTCCACAGACTCCAAAATTATTTTGTATCTTTGGAAATGATCGAGGGGTACAGTTTTGTGTCCACAGGATTTTGGTGTAAGTTTTTTTTTCATTTTTCTTTTAGTTTTTAATTGTTTTTTAATTTTATTTTTAATTATAATATTTTTTTTATTTTTAATTTAATTATTTTTTATTTTGTTTTATTTTTTTTTTTAATTATATTTATTTTTAATTTAATTATTTTTTATTTTATTTTAAATTATTTGTTATTTTTATTTTTAATTATAATACTTTTTATATTATTATTTTTATTTTATTATTTTATTTTAACAATTTTTTAAATTGTGTCAGGATACACAATTGTGTCATTGTGTCAGGATACACAATTGGGTCTTGGTCTTGTTTCTGTTTGTTCAAACATTTTTCATTTTTTTTTTCATTTTTTAAAGCTTTTTTCTTTTACTTTTTATTTTCCATCATTGAAATTTTCCAGATGCCTTCCACAGAAAATTACATCCAGGTACACAATAGTATGGTTTGTTTGGAGGGTACACTATTGTGTCCTGCTGCTTTCCTGAGGTCATGATTTTTTGATTTTTTCAATCATTTCCTTTACCTTTTCCTTTGCTAAAGTTTTTTCTTTTAATTACTTAATTACTTTCTTAGTTTCTTTCATTTGAAATTCTCAGAAATGCCCAGTTTCCCAAAATATATGATGCCTTATTAAAACCCAATTAAAAAACATCACTCAAACAATTTTTCAAGGGGGTAGTCCATGAGCAACCCTGATACATAATAGTGTGGTTTGTTTGGAGGGTACACTATTGTGTCCAGCTGCTTTCCTGAGGTCATGATTTTTTGATTTTTTCAATCATTTCCTTTACCTTTTCCTTTGCTAAAGTTTTTTCTTTTAATTACTTAATTACTTTCTTAGTTTCTTTCATTTGAAATTCTCAGAAATGCCCAGTTTCCCAAAATATATGATGCCTTATTAAAACCCAATTAAAAAACATCACTCAAACAATTTTTCAAGGGGGTAGTCCATGAGCAACCCTGATACATAATAGTGTGGTTTGTTTGGAGGGTACACTATTGTGTCCAGCTGCTTTCCTGAGGCCATGATTTTTTGATTTTTTCAATCATTTCCTTTACCTTTTCCTTTGCTAAAGTTTTTTCTTTTAATTAATTACTTTCTTAGTTTCTTTCATTTGAAATTCTCAGAAATGCCCAGTTTCCCAAAATATATGATGCCTTATTAAAACCCAATTAAAAAACATCACTCAAACAATTTTTCAAGGGGGTAGTCCATGAGCAACCCTGATACACAATAGTGTGGTTTGTTTGGAGGGTACACTATTGTGTCCAGCTGCTTTCCTGAGGTCATGATTTTTTGTTTTTTTCAATCATTTCCTTTACCTTTTCCTTTGCTAAAGTTTTTTCTTTTAATTAATTACTTTCTTAGTTTCTTTCATTTGAAATTCTCAGAAATGCCCAGTTTTCCAAAATATATGATGCCTTATTAAAACCCAATTAAAAAACATCACTCAAACAATTTTTCAAGGGGGTAGTCCATGAGCAACCCTGATACACAATAGTGTGGTTTGTTTGGAGGGTACACTCTTGTGTCCAGCTGCTTTCCTGAGGTCATGATTCTTTGATTTTTTTCAATCATTTCCTTTACCTTTTCCTTTGCTAAAGTTTTTCTTTTAATTACTTAGTTACTTTCTTAGTTTCTTTCATTTGAAATTCTCAGAAATGCCCAGTTTCCCAAAATATATGATGCCTTATTAAAACCCAATTAAAAATCATCACTCAAACAATTTTTCAAGGGGGTAGTCCATGAGCAACCCTGATACACAATAGTGTGGTTTGTTTGGATGGTACACTATTGTGTCCAAATGCTTCCTGGTGTGTTTTTTTTTTCAAGCATTCCCTTTACCTTTTCCTTTGCTAAAGCTTTTTTCTTTTATGGTATTTCTATGGTATTACTATTGGATTTCTATGGAATTCCTATGGGGTTTCCATGATGTTTCTATGATATTTCTGGAGGATTTCTATGGGATTTCTGAAGGGGTGCTATGGGAGTTCTATGGTATTCTTATGGGATTTCCATTGGATTCCTATGGGATTTCTATGGTATTTCTATTGGATTCCTATGGAATTTCTATTGGATTCCTGTGGGATTTCCAAGGTATTTCCATGATGTTTCTATGATATTTCTATGGGATTATTATTGGAATTCTCATGGGATTTCTTTTGTGGTTCCTATGCTACTCCATGTTATTTCTATGATCTTTCTATGGGATTTCTGTGAGATTCCTATGGGATTTCCATGGTATTTCTATGATATTTCTTTGGGACTACTATTGGATTTCTATGGGATGTCGATTGAAAGTAAATTGGCAGTAAATTGAAATCAATTGACAGTAAATTCAAAGTAATTTGAAATCAATTCAAAGTAAATTGAAAGTAAATTGAAATCAATTGAAAGTAAATTGAAATCAATTGAAAGTGAATTGAAATCAATTGAAAGTAAATTGAAATCAATTGAAAGTAAATTGAAATCAATTCAAATTGAAATCAATTGAAAGTAAATTGAAATCAATTGAAAGTAACTTCAAATCAATTGAAAGTAAATTGAAATCAATTGAAAGTAAACTGAAATCAATTGAAAGTAAATTGAAATCAATTCAAAGTAAATTCAAATCATTTCAAAATAAATTGAAATCAATTCAAAGTAACTTCAAATCAATTGAAAGTAAATTGAAATCAATTGAAAGTAAATTGAAATCAATTCAAAATAAATTGAAATCAATTGAAAATAAATTGAAATCAATTCAAATTGAAATCAATTGAAAGTAAATTGAAATCAATTGAAAGTAAATTGAAATCAATTGAAAGTAAATTGAAATCAATTCAAAGTAAATTCAAGTCAATTGAAAGTAAAAGGAGATCAATTGAAAGTAAATTGAAATCAATTGAAAGTAAATTGAAATCAATTCAAAGTAAATTGAAATCAATTCAAAGCAAATTGAATTCAATTCAAAGTAAATTGAAATCAATTTAAATCTATCATTTTTTTTGATTTCACCGTATTGCGTACCCGGTACCTTGTTTTTTCCACACTATTCTGTATCCAAAATTTGTTGGGGGAGGGGCCCCCCACACTAATCTGTATCCTACATTAATAAGGTTGGGTTCTTGGTCGGTAATCAGAAACAAGGAACTTGTTGATGCAGTGTGACCTCACAGCTGTCGCAGCCTGAGACTGGGGAGACCTTGGAGAGCGCGCTATGAAGTTTGATGGAGTGAAAGGAGCCGATCTGACCTGAACAAACAACTGCATACAAGTGCAACATCAAATATGGATAAATATGGAGGAACTATGTACAAATGAAGAAACAAATGAAGGATGTCGTTACTTGATGTTACTTGCAAGTCCTCCACTAATATCGTGATCCTTCAATCTCTACCGAATCCTTCAGACTTCTCCGGTTTAATTACATTTATGCACTCCAAGCATCTGATCGAATCTGATTTCTCAGTTCCTCTAAACTCTGCGGACCTCTGACGCTTCCCGGCGGAGGTTTCGAATGTGTGCCTCGTTCGGTCCATCAATAAGTGACTATCCGAACCTTTCGAAAGTACAGTAGACTGATGATAGAGATGCAGACTGATGAATTATGCCGAAAACCAATCACCGTCTTCGTCAATGGGTTTCTGTATTCAAATATGTTTTTCAAGCAAGTTGCTCGCAGCAGGTCGTTTCGCTGGCACAAACGTCTCCTTGGTTCTTATATTATAGTGTGGTTCGGTGGTGCTGTTCAGTGCACGTCGGATTAGCTGCACAACAGTTGAATAATTGTCAACGTATGCAGGATCTGTGATGTTCTTCGCAAGGTTATTTCAAAAAAACCTGTCGACTGCAAGGACCAGACACTAACTCTTCATGCGTTTTCAAGCAGTTGTGGAGCTTCTCAGCCACTCCCTGAGCTTGGGGTGGGATCTCATTCCGAATTGTCAAAGCATCCCAGGGTTTAATTGTCGGTTTACTTGTCGGTTTACTTGTCACTGCCAGTACTTGTCACATCTTGTCACATCTTGTCACTGACCTCCGGCAATTCTGCGAGGTAGTCAAGCATGGAGAATTCCAAGGGTTCCTGGCAACAACTTTCATGCAACTCTTTGTACAACTCTCATCAACCCTTCGCACTTCGTATCACTTTGTGTTATTTATTGCCTATAAATCTATAAATGCCTATAATATCCTATAATATCCTATAATATATTGTTGTTTTGTGTACAATGGAACCACGACCAGGCACCACTTGAACAATGTTTCGCACCTCTGCTTCCTTGTTCCTGGCAGACTGCCTCTCCGAGATCGGATCCTCCTGCAAAGAGCCTCAGGGCTGACAGGGCTGACCATGCCATGGGGATCCTGACTGGCTCCTGCAAAACTACCCAAAACTACCATGCTGACCATACTTGTTGGTGCTGGGTGCTACTTGGTGTGCGGAGTTGATGCTGTTGCTGTTGCTGTTGTTGCTGTTGTTGCTGTTGTTGCTGTTGTTGCTGTTGTTGCTGTTGTTGCTGTTGTTGCTGTTGCTGTTGCTGTTGTTGTTGTTCATCATCATCATCATCATCATGTTCATGTTCAGGTTCTTTGTCACTGTCAATCATGATCGTTATTACTTTTTACTATGATGGTGATGCCATCCAAACGTTGAGGAGGTCTCATATCCCGGCTAAGTCAGAGTGCGCTTTGACTTCACAGCTTTTAATAGACACACGTTTTTTGCGTCACTACGGAAGTCACTTATATACGGTATTATATACGTATTGTAATTATTATATATAATATAAACATTGCCTCTTTTGAAGAAATATGAAGAAAACAATATAGAAGTCATCAAAATGGAGACAAACATCTGAAGCTTGCAGCGGTCTTTATGTACTGCACCACAGCATGCTAAGGAGGCCACATGTATCATCGTCACTATCCCACATGAAGAAACACTCTGCTTCACGGACCTTCAGCGGCGACATCCACATACGCGTAATTCTTTTTATATCTGTTGCGCTGACGAACTCAACTTCACATCTAGATACATCTAGGGCTAGGGCTTTGCGAGACTTTGCCGTGACGTCCTCTGTATCATCCTTCAGAACATCGTGCGAAATACACGGTGAGTGAGGCTGAGTGGCGCTTTTTGATGCTGGAGCTCTACCAAAATTGACAAAGTGACTCGCCTTCGCCTGTCCAGATTCAGCTTCTGCTGACTGCACGTAGTTTTCTTTTCCCAAAGGGCCCTCTTCTTCAGGGTACATTGCATCTAAAGGAGCATCCCCATGCTCCGGGGATGCTTCTACGTGTTCTGTTTCAGCTGAAGCATGGCAAGCTTCTGCATCTTTGCTTCGGACAGCCGTTTGGCCCTGTCGAATCCGTCTTTCTTCATTGATCGTCGCCAAATTCGCCCCACTCTGAAGGCCCGTTGGCATCAAGTCTGCCTTGGGCCAACCAGATTTCTGTAGTGAACCAGGTTCAAGCCCCGAATCCAATGGATTATGAACATTTTCTCCAATGAAATGACCATTGAAGGTATAACGGTATAACTCCAATTTCAGACAAACCCATGTGTTTCATATTGTTTCATATGATTTCCACATGCAAAAGTCGTCAGAAAATCTGAGTGCCTGACGTTTCATATGATTTCCACATGCAAAAGTCGTCAGAAAATCTGAGTGCCTGACGTCAACGACCTCCTTGAGCCGTTTGGTGTAGGTCGGCTTTCCCGGCGCTCGGCACTTGTCTTCCCAGCTGCACAGATTGATGCGACCAGGCTTGACCCCTGACGGCCTCTGGTGAGATATCGCATGGGGAGGTTGTGGACTTAACTGACTTAACCCAACATATAGTGGTTGGTTGTTGACCTACCCCTCTGAAAAATATGACAGTCACTTGGGATGATGACATTCCCAATATATGGAAAAATAAAACATGTTCCAAACCACCAACCAGTATAGTGTATGAATGTGTATGAAATGTATAAATGATGATAAATGTGGATCTAACCAGGTCTGTCAGAGGAAACTTGTGCCCATCTCTCTGGAAGACTGGTGCGTCTTTCCTTTCTCTTGCTATGCATCATCGCATTGTTTCGAGAAATGAATGCAATTAACTACTTGTTGTGAATTCTGAGCACTGTACCCCGAAGTAGCATGTCCGCCAAGAAAGGACATTGCCCTTTGCTTCACCTAACGGACAGATGCAAATGATCTATGCTAACAAGGCACCTGCAGCTAGCACATACTGATGCCACCCGCCACCCGCGCTGCCCTTTTTGGAAAATATCCTAGACCCTAGATCCTACAAATCTATGATGATTCCCATCGAGCCCTATGTACGATTCAAAATCTAAAGTAATTTCCATCGAGTGGAAGCGCGTCTATCAACCAGCCTTCACATGGGCCTCCACTGGCTGAGTTTGGGCCTGGCGAAGACTTCCGTATCTTACCGTATATAATAGGAAGGATGATAAGGATGTGACTTGCCATTAGAACATCCACACCCAAGGATTCCATAACATGATCCAGCATGATCCAGCTATGAAGATATGGTCTCTGACGATGAACAGAACCCATTCGTGTCAGTGCTGGGTGCTGCTCGGTGCCTGGTGTTTCTCAGGCTTCTCCTTCTCGGGTTGACTGGCTTCGCCCATGCGTTGGCGCCTCAGGCACCATGAGCAACATAAATGAATGTATTCATATATATATAATATATAAATTATATAATATACGTATGTATATATATATATTATATATATATATACGTATATATTAGACAGTATAATATAACATTCCTGAGCTGTGGCAGCCTGGCAGCAATATTCAAAGATACAAAAAATCCTTGAGCCCTTCACTGCCTATTGAGCTTGGATTGGAGGTCACCTTGATGACGCTCCTGCATTGCAGAAACTAAGAATCCGTTGAGTTGATTCCATTGATCCTCATGTTCCCCTAATATGTTCCCATTAAGAGATTGAAAAGCACCCTGAAAGGGTCCCCATTTTGAGACACTACCTGTACTACAGTACCATCCTGTAGCCATGTTTGATGGAATCTTCCCGCCCCAAGTCCTGCACCATCCTGGTTGGTGTATGACTAGAGGGCCTTGCAGCAAACCACCAATGGTGCTACAAAGGAGTTGGAGGTGTCTAACGACCCGGCTCAGGCACTACTGGAGCAGGTAGGTCATCCTCACCCATGCGAAGGCGCCTTAGGATCTTCGAGCCCCGTGAGCTGCTGCTTACTTTGCTGAGAACTGAGCTAGAAATCTAGAAAATTCATGAAAATTCCTTGAGGCACACGCTGCCGCCGCAGTTTTTGCAACAACTCTTGATTCGCATTCATGATCGTTCCTCAGCTAGTTACTCATCCACGTTGCAGCCTTCTAGATAGCATCTGGATAGCTGCTACGTGCATGGCAGGGTGGGATCTTGAATTCTTGTCATCACAGTAAAACTGTCTGTTCACACTGAGGCGCCTGACAAATCACTGCCTGCCTCTGCGCCGAGCACAAAGGTCATACACAATGAACAAGCTGCAACAAACCGTGGTCCAACGTGTGTTTTACTCGCAAAGAAGGAATGCGGTGCTTCTGCTGTATGCGATTCCACCAGCACTGCTTAAAATTTACGTCGTCTGATGAATTGAGAAGCATCCTACCTTCATAGCTCTTTCGCTAGGCATGGAACTGTTTGCATCTTTTTGCTAGGTTGTGAACCATGTTTCGCAAATGCCTACCATGATTTCACCATGTCTCCATCATGTTCGCCCTGGAGCCAAACTGCAGAATCAATGATGGCCATCTCATCAGTTTTCTGCCAAAAGGATCCAAAAGGATCCAAAAGGCCTATAATTGGGTCATCTCTCTGTCAGATTGCTTCACCAGCAGACACTCACCAAGTTCCAGTAATCATCTTCATCCTTTTTGGGCAGTGTTCAGGCACTGCGTGGCGATCGAAACCCAGACAAAAAGGTCCAGGTACGCCCAGGTGTACTGGGCCCGGTAATGGCGTGAGATGCATTCCAGAGAATGTCATCGGCCCCGACCAAAACCCAAACCTCTTGTACAATCTCGGAACCCCTCCCCGCCAGCGGAATCTGCTGGGAACATGATAAACACCAGGCCCTGCAGATCCGATGCGAGGGAGTCATAGTCAGCTACGCCAAAAAAAAACATCAGTCCCAGCGAGTCGTCTGGACTCTCACAACCCCAGAAGTCCAGCCTTGGGCACTGGATGTTTCACTACACTCGACCCACTAAGAGGTCACCTTTTTCCAGAACGGTTGTCTCAGAGATGTCTCAAGTATAGCATGCAAATACCATCAAATACCATCAAACTATCATCAAATACCTACGAGTCTTTTGCTTAACGTCAATTTCTTGCCTCACTCGGTCCTCTTGAGCGTGTTGTTGTTCTTCTCCTGAACATGAACTTCCAGGCAGAAGCACGTTAGCTAGATAGGTGATCTTCAATGACACCCACATCGCATTTATATAGCGGTAGTCACCCGGCAGTCCAACCACGAAGCAGAACAATGGCACTGCCAACTGCACCAACTGCACCTCCAGCTCTCCCCTTCTGGTCATCAAATGAATGGCTCTACGAGCCTTGGTGCTGACGAACTTCAACATTCTCTGATTGTCCAGAACTCTGCGGCATGGTTCAGCTTGTATTCTTGGATGTTTTATGATGTTTTGGTAACTTCTGGATTGTAATTTCGTGATAACTTCTTGTGATTAGATGTGATTAGACATGTTGGAACCTTTCTTCATTGCTTCACATTTCATGCCAGGAACCCACGGGCATAGCAGCATAGCACTGTTTCAGCCTCAGGCAGTTTGCTCCGCCACCCCTCCCAGGGAGACCAGCTGCTGTTCCAGCAGGAATTTGTTCTTTCGACCTCAGGCTATTTTCGAAAATACTCCGATCTGCTGAACATCAATGTTTGTTGATCATTGTCTGGGTTGCCTCCTGCACCACAGGTGGCATCTTTGCAGCTGTCACAGGTGGTTCAAGAAACTTCAGAAACATTCTTTTCTGACTTTCTTGCAATCGCGCTCATGTCTTGTCGACACGTCGGCACTTAGCTTTGTCGACGCATCAGCATTTGGTCCTAGCAGAAACTGGTTGCTTGCGATTCTCCAGCGCCTGCTCAAAACCTTCCCAAGACCCACCTCCGTAGTGCGCCAATCAATCAATTTATGGACTGTTCTAGTCAAGGACCACAAACACATTCAACATGTTGCAAACACGTTCAAAGTGTTCAAACATGTTCAAATACTCAAATTGAGCGATGGTCTTGGATGGGAGCAACTGCTTGGTGCCCTCCTTCCGAGCAGATTGCCAGGCAATCTAAACATCTCAGAGGAGTGCCCAGCTTTAGCACTCCAATTCAACAAGCACAAAGGTTGACATCGCCACCCTACAGGGATCTGTGCATCTGTTTCAAGATGTTTCTGCGTCAAATTGGCATCAAACTAGTCCAACTACCAGGTGTGGGTGGTGATGCAGTCAAGCCCGGAGTCAAATGCTCCCAGCTTGATCAGGCTAGGCTATGCCACAGGTTTGTGGAATCCACGAGGGCATTGAATCCCTATGCACTAGCATCATTGCCGTGCACTATTTCGTGCAACGGCTCGAACTGCCACGGTGCTTCAAGTGCCCCTTTCAAGAAATTTCAAGAAATAAAGCAAAGTACTGCAAAGACAAAGATCAGAATGTGTGTTCCGTCTTTTGCATCTCTGTTTTCCACCTTTAAAATCCTTTAACACTTTAACATGCTTTAACGATGTTTATCCATGTTTCACCTTCTTGCAGCAGTGCGGGTCCCTATATCGTTTTGGACTTCTGCAACTGCGGCTGGGGAGGAAAGGTAGAATGAAGCACTGTCGAGACCGCCACCAAAACCTGGCCGATGGCAGACCCGCCAAGGAGGTGAGGTCGTTGCATGTTTTAGCCAGAACCAAAACACAAATCAGAAAAGAACCATGCAGATTGCAAGAGTATGCAAAAGTTGATTGCCAAAGGCCAAAATTCCAACATTCTGGTGTCAACGTTGGAAAGCAGAGAAGAAAGATTGTCGCAGCAAACTACCACATGAAAACAAACGAGAGACTGCTGCCAGAAGGTGTCTGCTCGTCAATGGAGTATCCTCCAGCATTGCTTGGGATACGGTTGTCAAAACCTTGGTCATTGGAAAACAACCCACCATATTGTGCAGCGCTGTTCTGACATGACAATCACAACATAGCATGATATTTGTCTCGTATCGTACTAGACTTTACACTAGTGTCTGTCAAGCCATCAAGCAGTTTCCAAATGCTGCAAGTGAACGATGCCAGCAACGAGCGCAAAGCCCTTCTTCACAGCATCTGAGTACCTCAGTAATGAGCAGCAACTTTGCAACTTCGAAAGCCTTTGCTGACTATCCAGCAGATCCATCTAAACAATCTCCACAAAAAGTCTTTTGGTGTACTGAGCCCTGAGCTTCAGACTGCTAGATCGAGGGAAATTTGGCCACCGTTGTAAAGTATGAAATCATATTATGAAATCTAGATGATCTTGGGAGTTTGGCCAAGAGACTTCGTCACAAGTCCAACCAATATTCCACCACATGCCTTGAATTGCGAGCTGAAGGTCATCAACCGCACAGTAGGACAGCACTGATGGCTGTGTTTTTTTCAATGAAGAAAATAATACTCAGTGCCTAAGAAAAAACACCGCCATCTCGATCATCTCGACGCACTGTACCGGGCTTCCTTCGAAACTGATCCCCACCTGAGTGGAGATTGGGAGGATGCATTGCGCTGACCAGCCCTGGCGGAGGCAGAATAAGGCCCGTCTCACCATATTTTTGTGATAAGCCTTCACTCCAATTGAAGTGATCACATCTAAACCTTGCAACTGCTGTTTTTTCACGCATTCGCCAATACTATTCAATACTGAAGTATCGAAGCAATGAGAAGCATAGCTTCGTTCACAGCTGGCCTGGAAATTTGTGGCCAGCCAACCCCCCTCTCGACTCAAAGTGCCTGTGGACGAGGGCAAAGCCCTACTGCATGGCCCCAGCCATCCGTGCCAGATTTGGGCAAAAAGGAGTGCTTCAGAAATCTTCAGAATATTTCAGAATGCTGCTATGATGGCTATGATGGCTATGATGGCTATGAAACTCTTATGCTGTGAATCAATGTGCATCAATCCTCTTGTCGCTCTCCAACTTCGGTCCTGTCCTTCCAAGGCTGCATGCTGGATCAGCTGTCCACATATCAGAAAGAATGATCCCCAAATGGAAATCTCCATGGAGTAGAGCCAGCTATTCCTGGTGCTTCACTGTGACTCATCAGATCTCATAAGCTTTGGATTCACGTGTCATAATAGAGAAAACGCAATGACTTATTTGCGTGGGACACACAAAGTGCTCCAGCTTGAAACATCAGTACGTCTCCAAACCCGTGCCGAGTCAGGATAATTTCCCTTCTGAGACATGTTTTGACATGTGATTGAAAACAGACTCGGCATGCGGAAAGCGTCATTTGGCCGTGTCTGATAATGGGATATGCCCCTCTAAATGATCATTGAATAGCAAACAACGTGGGAAAACTATTGTGATTAAGCAGTAATTTTTGGGGGTACCTAGTGTATCCTATTGTCAAATAATTAATCCTATTTACCAGATTCCTATATTATACTTATATGATATAGTTATATTATGTTATATTCCTATCATTTCCTATCTATTTCTTCCACTTTCTGGGCTTCTGCCAAGTTGCCGGCCTTCCGAGCCCTTCAAGGCTCGTTGCGTCAAGGCAGCAGTGAGGCCCGAACTGAGAACTGCACACAGCACGGGCACAACGCCCAACCAGAAGTGGTCGTCCCTGCCGAGCCGAAACTGAAGTGCTCTTACCATGGTGATGTAGCGAAACATTGAAAGGCTTAGAGATTTCCGAGAGTCATATAGTCATACAAGGCAGGGACTTGCAAGAATCTGTCCTTCAAAAAAAACGAAAACGGAAACATGCTGCTCACTTGTAGCAAGGCCCATACCTCCAGTGACAAACGCAACAAGCTGGACAACATTGGACAACTTTATCCAAGTCTGCACACAGGGAAGCATACGCCAGGTGTTCCAGCCACCTCGCCAAATCCTCCATTGGAGTCACAGGAGTTGCTTTCTTCTTGGCCAACAGCAGCGCTGAAAGGAACAACAGAAATAAGGCGAAGCATTGCATCAACGATTGCCGACGACCTCCAACCATGTTGGCACCATGTTGGAGGGATCGGGGTCACGACCCCAAAATCTGCCCACGTCACAACGCTGGCGAGCTTGCAACATTCAAGCTAGAGCACATTCAGAAGATGTTGAGATGGCACAGGGTAACCCAACTGTACCGCTACCAATGGTCTAGGTATGGAACAAAAGGAGATTTTTCCATCAACCCGCGCCCGCACCCTTGTTGTGCCTAGCATCAAGTAGCAAATCAGTGCAGCAGACAGTGTCTTCGTCTGGTTCAACAGATTGAAGGTGAGGGAATCCAGGTGAGTCTGACCTCAAACCAAGTGTCCAAGCAGAAATAAGAAATGACATGAGAAAAACCGTGATAAATCATACACCAACAAGGGTTTGGTATGGTTTTGCGCCATGTCCGCAGCCAAAGGACCCACTTGAATGAGCCAACCCTGTCCAGCGAATAGCGCAGAAGGCAACCCGGCCTTGAGGGTAGAATCACCTGCACAGTTCTGGGGTTGGCTCCAATACATGGAACGTCGACCTCAGCAGTGAAGCTTTCTGGAGCCGAGTGTCGAAATGTCCAGCTGCGAGCTAGCTCTTTGAGCTGCTCTCTGTTGCTTCCAAGCCTTGCTGTGGGCAGCTGGGAACATGTGGCCAAAATCTCAACGATTGCACTCTGGCAGTTAAATGTCATATATGCGATTAATTCAACGTGTCGATTTCAGATCCCTCTCTGTGCACATTCAATGTGATCTTCCTTTTCTTTCCGTTGCCATTGCCATGCTTTATTGCCATTTCCTATCGCCGGTCTGTACTCTCAAGCAATACATGTGATTTGCTCCCCAATTCCAAGGAAAACCCAAGTTCTGTAAGTTCTGTCTCTCGTGTCCTCTCTCGTGTCTTGTAGCACTTGTACCTGTTTGTTGAATGTTTCACCGGTTGCATTTCATGTTCACCCCTGCAAACTGTATAAGTACGGTAGCCCAAAAATGTGTGTACCGGGGTGATCTCCCTCAAAAATCGCTGTTAAATGGATGAACTTCTGAAACATTCATCATTTATCCATTAATTTTAGGGAAATTAAGGGAAATTATCATCATTTATCCATTTATCCCCGATCTCATTGCGATATGGCCATGGCACAGCAACACGGCAGCCGAGATCAAGATCTTCATGGCGTTGGAACTCAGCAGAATCACTGAGGCAAAGGCACCCTTGGGCAGCAATCGCTTCGCCAGTAGCGGCTGGAGGCCAAACTGGGCCGCCAGAAGCACCTGAGGATTTTTTAAGGAAAAACTGGGCAAAAATATGGAGTTTCATGGACTTTAATCGACTATGTTATATAGTTATATAATGAAAGCTATTGGAATTGAAATGGATTCTAACGGATTTGAAATTGATTAAAGTTGGATATGAAATGATGTGAACTAATTTGAATGGATTTGAGTAGTTGTCACCCATTCCGTGATCATGTGCTGATTTTCCTTGCCTTCTTGATTGGTTGCAAGCAGCAGACCCATCACCCCTTTCTCAGCAGTCTTAAAAAGAAGGAGAAATCCACACGTATCGACTACTGTAGCGATCGAAATGGATCAACATGATCAAAATCATTCAGACTTTGCTGATCTTTTGCGTTGCATAGAGTGAATACACTGACCTTCTCCAAGCAACCAAGCACACGAAGTGGCCCTGGGCCATTGAGCGCAGCAGGCTGCCGCTCTCAGCCATCCGAATTTTCCAAGATGGCATCTTCCTTGCAGATTAGCTGTGAGCATTGCTTTACATGAAACTTTGCGTGGCAATTCAGCACCTCTGAGACTAGTTCAGGATCACATCGTCACTCAGAAAATCTGCAATAGTTTGAGAATAGTTGTCAATCGTTGTTTTACTCTATTAGTCTGTGTTTTCATCATTGTTCATCCATAGCCATTTTGAACTCGCCAATCGGCCCATGCCCCACTTCTTGGTTCCGGTTCAAGGTTCATCCCAGTGCGGCGCAGCAGAATTGCGAAGCCAGGCCATCCCGCTGCGTCCACTTCCGCCACCATGGCACTCTACACATCTGCTGTCATGCGGAGTCGGGCTGTTTTTGGGTTGACTGCGGGAAAGTTTCCCATATGCCATGCGCTCAACTGTTCTGGCACAGTTGTGGCTCAGCCTTTTAGTTGTAATTATATGTGCAAGAAGATTTTTCTAAGAGCTTTTCTAGTTGGGTCAGAAGAAGCCCCAGAAGAATTCTCAGTCGACAAGTACAAGCACAAACTTGGGGCAAGAATAGGTGACCACCAGGTGGGGTCTGGTTGGGGCGACTTGATTGCCAGCAAGTGCACACCCATTGTGGTTTGATATGCCGATCCGGGGCAACTTCTGTGCTGAAGAGCCAGAAACGAAAAGAACAACTAGTAAATATATATAAATATGCCAAATGATCCAAATGTGTTTGTTTCCTTCAATCATTGTACATTAAATCATATTAAATCATATGAAATAAATTGGTACCACTTACCAAATGGGATGATCCTCCAAGTATCTTGCCTGGTACTGGTGTGATTCCATCTTAAAGTGGAAATGGTGTCACCGTCTTCACCCGGCGAGTTCTCAGGCCCCATCCACCGCGTGGCACCAATCTTCGAATCGCCTGGAGCACTTCCGAATTTCATGACTGGAAAAAATTGGTGTACTTTCTAATAGGGTCCGGAATTGTTTTTGATGTGTTTTTCCGTTTTGTTTTTTTGGGATCTGCTGTTCTGTCTGTTTTCCTTGCAATTTGCAACATTTTGGAGCTGGAAGCTGCCATTTCAACGGTATTGCAACATTTTGTAGGGGTTACTTAAGGTTGTTTTTGCTTTTTGGGTGTGTTAGTTTGGGTTTATTTAGGGTTGGTTTGGGGTGTGTTTGGGGTAAGTTTCAGATTTTAGGTTGTTTAAGGGTTTACTTAAAGTTTTTTTGTGTTTTTTGGGGTTGGTGTGGGGGTTATTTAGGCTTGTTTTAGGGTGTATTTATATTATGCATCTTGGGGTTTATTTAGGCTTGAGAAGCAAAAAGCAGAAAACAGCGGAGAAGCAGAACAGTGGAGAAGCAGAGAAGCAAAGAAGCAGAAAAGCAATCAAGTAGAGAAGCAAAGAAGCAGGGAAAGAAAGAAAAACAGAAATGCAGAAAAGCAAAGAAGCAGGGAAACAGAAACCCCCCAAAAAAATGCCCAAAACGGAAAAAAAACAAAAAAACATGGTCCTCCTTTCTAATATGTACACAATCAGAAAGGTGGACAGCAACTATCAGTTATTCATATTATAACATATTAATAACTAGTATAGAAGGATACGTATTTCTGAGGCTACACAGCCCTTTCATTGCTGGTCCCTTTTCAGGCAAAGCCTGGCAGGGCTGTCCCTGGCTTTCCTTCCCGCCTCCTCTGCTTCAAGAAGTTCCTGCCCATTCTATGGTCCCAAAGGCGTGTCAATCCTCTACTGAACCATGGTTTATGGAGGTGTTTATTAGTTTTTTGGGGTGAAAGGATTATTAAATGCGGTATCAAACTGGTATCAAACTGGTATCTAACCAATATCTTATCACTGCTGGTACCGAATATGGATGAATATGGATGAATATGGTATCTACAACTGCGGCTATCTAGCTCGGAGTTGACTGGTATTGTGATCACTATAAAGAAAGGATATATATGGATATATAAAGGATCTCATTTGGAAGTGGGAAGGGCCCATCATTGTAGGGTCTGAATTTCGGACAATGTCGGAACGTCAGTTGTACTGCGTGGACAAGGCTCTTTTCAAATCACAAGAGGGCAAAAACGCAAAGGTATGCGCAAGTACTGTGGCATTTTGTTGGCATTTTTCCTTCTTGTCTTCCTCCGAGAGGACATCAATACCTTGGCAAAGCAAAGGGCAATCAAATTCACAATTTCGGAACCAAGAATGAATTTCTGCAACAAAATATAATACTTCAGCAGATGTAAGCAGTATAAACTCGAGACCCAGTATATCACAGCAAGCCACCAGAGCTGAAGCTGAAAGTTGCTGGGAATTTTCTCTTGAGAGCCCTGCCCACACCATTGCGATCGCGGTTGGCAGAGTCGAGGGTAGACACCTGGCAAGATTGTTTCTACTTCGAAGTTGTTGCTGCAAGATATTGCAAGATGCTACAAGCTTGTTTCACGGTGCCCCTCAATCGACTGTCAAAATCTTTCAAATCAGTGTAGAAAGTCCGTTTCAGTCCGTTTCACTCCACCAAAAAAGACTGCAGTCTTCCTTTTGTATCCACATCGGACAGGGTTTGTTCTCTCAATCGAGACGTGCCAGGCCCCTCACAATTGCGACATGCCGGCAGCACGGTGAATAGACGCAGCGCCTCTTCTACGTGGCTCACGTCTGCATCCTGCAGTCCCGGTTCAAGGCTGACTAATGGCTGCAGGGGTGACTTTTTGCACAGCAAGGAGGCTTTCTTTGCGAATCACATAGACAGACTTAACCATTTAGATCATTTAGCAATGTTTAGCCGATCTTAGCAGCCATGTATATAGATATGGAGGTTTCCTAAAATGGGTGTACCCCCAAATCATCCAAAATTGGACCAATTTTTTAGGGATCCCCCATTCTTAGAAAACCGCACATATGGTCATTCCAATTCACTCCACAGTGCTGCAAAGTGTTCAATGATCTTTTCCAAATGCCTGTTTGAGCTCCATCTTCGCGAGACCTTGAGCTGACAGAGTCTCGACTTTGACGCCCTTGTTTTGTTTTGAGGATCTCAAAGCACTCAACCAGTCGAAAGAACATGGAAAAATTGGAAAACACGAATCCGATTTGCAGCCAAAGAGCTCTCAGCAATGCGGACGATTGCCTCTAGCTGCCTCCCGGCCGTGCTTCAAATTTCTCTTCTGTTCCGGTGCACAAAGATCCATGTTGCGCTAGAGCAACGCAGCAACGGACCGTTGCCTCACGGTGATGGGGATAGTGGCCTCAGCTGTTTTGAGTCCAGCGAGTCCAGCTGCAGGATACCCAGACCCAGGCCTTCTCAGACTTCATTGCCTTCCGGATGGTGACATAGTGGTTCTTCAACACCTTCCGAAACACTGGTCATATCTGGTCATATTCAAGATATTCAAGAGAAGCCCAGACTGGCCATGTTCAGAGCGAAAACGAAACAAGCGAACAAGCGAAACTGCTCCATGGCCAGCTCAAGGAAAGGTTCAAAATGAATGCTCTATTATAGGACTAGAGGTGTCCACTAACACTGCGCGACCTTGCAGACAAGACAAGAACACGAGGGGAGACCGCCCTGACGAAGGTCCGACAAATTCCTTCTCGCCTCTGCACCCTCTGATGTGATGCGTGGAGAGCACTTGGTGCGACAGTAGGCAATGTACCTGGAAACTGAGAGGGAATATGTACCATAAAAGTGGTTTGCATTGCTTAGCTCATTTTGACTCTACTTGCACATCAAGGTGGGATTGGCCTGTCGATGCCTGTGAAATGTCTTTTGCGCTTCCGAATTCTCAGAAACTCAGCTCAGGGCTTCCGCAATTGCTGCGTTGAGAGCGGCACTTTGTGTTCCTTCTGTGGGGTGTGTTCAATCATTTTCGAAGCATATCATTATATCATCATCATATCATCATCAAGGCAATGCAATAGCGATGCACTCCTCGGTTTGAGCACCACTGTGAAGTGAAACCAGGTGCTTTGCCAATCTGTAGTCGCGCTCGGGGTCCCTAACGTCCTGCAGGTGCAACCAGAGTTCATTCTCCCTAAAATTGCCATGCAAATGACGAATTGCCAAGAAGATCCACAAAGCCAAACTAGTCAGAAAATTGTAGGGAGTGAAGGTTCCCAAGCCAAAAAAGCTTATCCATCGGTCAGGATGCCTTTGAGAGGAGGGAAGTGAAGTTGAATGACCATTTGCGCCTTGACGAGAAACATCATGTCGAAGCGGGACAGAATGGTTGTCTGAAAGTCCATCTGCAGGGGGGCAAACTTGCTCGGCATTTTACATCGTACAACCGTGTAGAAGCACTGTTTGACTGTGAAAGTGAAAAGGATCAGGGTTCTAGAACTTCTCTTACTTCCTTGTCACACGCCTTCCTATCCTGCATCTACTTACATTGATTCTCACATTGATTCACAGCCATTCATCGTTGATTCATGTCATGATAACTCTCTTGACCTGCTCGTTTCGGTACTTTATTTGTTGTTGAGTCATATCTGTTGATATGAGTAATCCATAGTAAACCGCATAATCAACTGAAGATAACTGAAGCAATTATGGATGTTGCACGCCTGATCGGCAGTGTTGGACAAGTCGTCATAGGAGCCAAATCGAGGGTTGGCAGCCGCCAGAACACTGACAGGTCGTTTGGGTCATGACGAAAAGTTGTGACTGCAAAGCATGGCTTTTAGTTCGTTTCCTTCAAGTCCGGCATGAACTCCACATACTACACGAGTAATTGCATTTACGCGCAGCAAAACAGTTGCCTGCAGCGGGTGTTGAGCCTTAGTCTGATTTCAACGTTTGCAACTCGTCCCATCGAAGCATCAAATCTGGCAAAACGCCTGGCGCACTCCTATGATCTTAAATACAATCATAATTCAACAACTCAGAATCCATTCAAGCCTCTATGTATCTCTATGTCTATGTCTTCTAAAGTCAATTTTAAGTCTGTTTGATGTAGATTCTGGATGATTTTGGTCCTCTATGGTCGCCCCTTGGATCCCTGGGGCCCACCACATGACGGTCATCCCAGCTTTGGCAATGGAGATGGTCTGCTGCTCCATGGCCTGAGACGGGGTCACAAAGCGGGGGAACGAGTCATGACTCCTTTAATTGAAACCAAGTGTTACATGTGCATACCTATATATATATATAATAATATTATATCCATATCAAATCTACTCCAATTCTAGATCTTGAGGTTGCTTGGGAAAGGCATGTTCCAGCAGTTTTGGCGCCTCGTGGATTGCAACTCGGTCCTTCTCATCCATCTTGTCAAACTCATCGATGCAAACCTCAAGGTGAAAAATGATGCAACTGTTGGATATTGAATGGTTGAATCTCCATTGTTTCGGTAAATCCCAATTTTTGGATGGTACAATCCCAATCTTTGATGTTTAAATCCCAACCTTTGACTGCTGCATCTGTTCAATCTCACTTTCATGACAACTACCGGCAGTTGGGCATGGCCCAATGACCATTGCACACATGCTCTTTTAAAGTGCCAGTACCAGCAGGTGATGCTGTCGAAAAGCAACCCCGTTACTTCCCAATGTCTGACGTGCCTGCATGTATTCATGCAAATAAAGGCGTGCATATGCACATGTGTTTGTATAGGTTTATGTTGTTGCTTTGTGGCTATTTGTGTTTGTACGTTCAGATAAATTGTACATATTCATAATTCACATACACATTACCATTTTGTACATAGTATATATCATATAAATATATCATATAAATCTATCATATACCATGGTATATATGTGTATATTATATAGAAATATATAGAATGAGATCCCTTGGGCCAGCGCCAGGCCATTGTCCGCCAGCACCATCGCACCACCTTCCAAGGTGAAGCCACTGCCGTCCTTGACCACGGCTGCCTCGGTTTAAATGACATGATGACAAGAAAATGTGATAAAATATGGTATATATAATGTATAATATATATATATACATATTATAATTATATGATTATATATATATATATATGATGATATGTGATAAAACTTGACACACTGTGATTTAAAAACATTGTAGAATATGATGAAATCACCGAGTGACATAGTATGTAAAATATGTGCAAATAGTCAAATAGTGTTGAAATAAATTGAAATGATTTGAAATGTATAACATAATATATATATATATATACGTATATATAATGGTGGCTTTTGCATGCTTTTGCTATGTTTTTTTTCATTGCCATGTTAAATTGCCGGCATCCATAGCGGCTATCTGTCCCCTTGGAGGTGCCGTGACCTGAGCTTCCAACGGTGAGACCTGCTGCACTACTACCCTTTCCGCTGGTGTACCTGACTGGTTTGGAAAACAGTTTTTGGATGTTTTTGGTTTGTTGAGTTTCCATAGTTTCCCAAGGTTTCCCAAGGTTTCCCAAGGTTTCCCAAGGTTTCCCAAGTCCCAAAACTCTGTTCTTTCACAGAATCATTTATTCAAATATTACCAAGATGACAGGTCACACTGCGATAGGCGCAACCTGGTGGGCGAACTTCAGGAACTGACCAGGCAAGCAAGTGAGCAAAATTTCCAGGCACGCCCGCAGCTTCAAACAACCGAAGAGTTGTCCGCTAGAGTGATTCACAATACATCTGTCGAAGCCTGACTCTTTGCAGTTCCAGGATCTCCCAACAACAAGACGTTGATATCGCCTGACCACCGAGGAACTGGGAGCACGGATCAAACTCTCACCAGTCCAGCCTCGCAGGCGATTTCCACTGGGAAGGTGTTTGCGGGATCCTCCAAAAAGCTGGCCTGCGGGCTGCACTCGCAAGACTCAAAGCAGTGACTAGAATGTCATTAGTGAATGTTACTAAAGCAAAAGAAAATTGTCCATATTTTTGCCATGAATGGGTGGTATAAACCATCAAAACTACATCACTTCAACCCTCAGCAGGAACTTCTTTGACTCTGAAAATGCCACTTTCTTTAGGATTTCTGGTTTTTGTCTGAGAAAAAGAAACAGGGCTTCATTCCTGCATCCAAGGCCAGGACTTGCGATGGCCCGCTTCACTTGGCTGATGGAATCCTGCAGAGATCAGCTGGCTTCTTTAAAAATCCATGGTTTCCAGTTGTACTGCCAGAAAACTAGGGTATGCCATGGGAAAAAACTCATTTCTAGACAGCCCCATCTCGGAAGTTGGCAGATCACAGAGCTGCTTCTAAACGATTCTAAACCCAAACCTTCTCGCTCGCGCAAATGGCTGGGGCAATCGACCTGCCAAAAATCCCAGCTGGGAACGCCCAAGGGATAGCCAATGATCATAATGATCAAACGATTGGGAAACATGATGAAACATACTTGAAACATCTTGAAACATGACAATCCTTTAACATCCTTTAACAATCCTTTCGGAAACTGTCGACTTTTTGGAAGCCTTTCTATTTTCAGATCGGGACCACCTTCAGCATCCGGAGATCTATGGAATTTTCATTAATTTTCAAGCCAAAACACTGGAAGATCATCTCGCGGATGTTTGGATCCTGTTCAGCTCCAAGGCAGCTTGGTATGCTTGGTATGCTTGGTGGAGAGTTTTGGAACTTGTCGCTGACCATGCTGACCAGAGCGACAAGTTCAAATAGTTCAATCTCAAACCCAAAGCCTTCGAGATCTTGTCAAAGTATTCCTCCTCGTCTGGCGAGATCTTCAGAGCTCCCTGTCCAGCTGTCATCTTCGAACTTGGCAGAAATTGTCCAGTTTCCCCAGCGGGGCGTGCCTGGCTCTGATTTCCTTGTTCCAGTTGCAGGCCCAAAACCTTCAGGCCCATTGGATCCAGCTGATTCAAGCTAAGCCAAGCATCTGTAAAATGTATGAAAATGTAAGATCCAATGCAACCCACTGAGCTCATGGCTTGGATGTATGAATACTTCACTGTGTTGGTGCCCTGGTTCCTTCAAGGTTGTGCATCAGGCAGTTTTGTCATGCCATCAACAGGTAGTGACTAGCCTTGGGGGAGTTCGCTCCTTCACGTTCGCGATCATATCAGCACTCTCATCCAATTCGTGTTCATACATGTTCACCATCGAAACTGCATTCAACCATTTCAACCATTTCAACCATTTCAACCATTTCCATCATATCAATATCACGCATAATTTTAAACCTCATTTCACGATCATTCTTTCCATCCAGCTTCATTGTTGATCTTCATCACCACCAACCTCCACATGTTATCATCCATATTCCCATCCATCTCCATGCTTATCTTCGGATTCCATGCCGTCCGCGAAAAAAAAAACAGCCTCATCCATCTTCATCCTCATCCTCTTCCTCATCCTCATCATCATCATCATCATCGTCATCATCATCATCATCATCATCATCATCGAGACTGAAATTGAAATAGATAGATAGATTAGATCAGGTTAGGTTAGATTAGATTAGATTGGAGTAGATTAGATTGACAGACAGACAGACAGACAGACAGACAGATAGAGAGAGAGAGAGATCTTGAACTGGAAACTTGAAATGGGAAAAGGAAAGATGATGAACGGGTAAATTATGAATACTTGCATTGGAAACAACATTGAACAATTAATCAAAATGATTCAAAACGAAGATGTATGGAAAACATATTTGGTGTCATGGGGAGGGGAGGGGATAAACTGGTTGATGCGGTAGATGGCAAAAAGTCAAGCAACGAACCACCACAAGGCTCGTCACTACTCAATATGGCGTCTGAAAGTAGGGCATCCCATTCCACATCCATCCACTGGTTCATCATCATTCTATTTTGTCCATTGTGTATCCCCCATGGAATGGCCATTGTTGATATCCCCATGTATCCCCATGTATCCCCATGTTCAGACAATCCAGATCCATGTCATCCGGATCTGAAACAAACGGCCCAGCCATGAACATCCACAGAGCTTCGGCCTAGGGCCCTGGCCTCCCCCGGGTCAGCTTGTCGCCTGCTGCCTTTTCAGTGGCGCAAAAGACTCCTTGGTGACATTGGCGTGCAGCAAACATGTTAATCAAAAATTGGTGGATTTCTCCGGACCTTGATATTTCATGATCTTTCTACCGATTTCTACCATTCCTCCAAAATTGTGATTCCATAAATGTGCAATCAAGAGCTGCCTTATCTAATATATTGTTCGGCAACGGTGCAAGTGCGGACGCACCCAATTGTTTTCCACCTGGGCCAAGAAGCCTCGGTATTGTCCTGAATGTTCATGCGTGTCGCATGTGAATTGAAACTGAACATATATGGTGTTCTCTGCAGGATGCTAGTGCAACACCCTGCCTTTTGTGAAAAGTAATCCTCTTTAGGATTCTTAAACAAACTCCTGCACTTCCTATGCTTGAGCTTCGTCGTAGACTGGAGGGTCCTTTGCCTCTGGGTCGATACGACCTTTGCCTCCAATCTTTCCCTTTCCTCCTGCATGAGCTGGTCTGTCCGTTGACGATCCCACAGAGATGTCGGGCAGTTCGGTGACTACTGGCATCGAAGCTTCCACTTCTGGTTCTACTTCTACCTCCACCTCGACCTCTTCATTTGATGAGCTGCTCCAAGAATCTTCTGCTCCTGGATCTCGAGGCTGCTCGTCCGTCGAATAGCCCCATCCATACCGGAAAGCTGCCCACTCATCCGGTAGCACGCTCTCTTCCTGTAGCTCGTTTGGATCTACGCGTCCCAAACTGCTCCAGAACAGATAGCGCCGCCGTCCCATCAGGTAGTTGATGGCTTGCTTCCGGACTCCTGCATCTCCAAGTTGGATAGACTTCTGTAGGCTCATCAGGTCTCGGATTTCGTTCCAAATGGCCTCGTTCACCGGAAGTCCACGCAACCAAGCCAGCTGTTTGATCACGTAGTGCTCCACTCCATGAGCATTGAACAGCTGTTCCCATCTGTACTCATCATAGGTTGCTTGGTCCAGATGCTCAAAGTCTTCGAAGTTCTCGTTGATCACATGGAGCGACCCATAGTCTGTGGATACACTACCCTCAGACTCACCATCCTCTTCCATGGTGTTGTTGCAGGCCTCCTCCATGTCGATGCTGTCCAGGCCATCCACTCCATGCCCAGCTGATTCCACATCTGCATCTCCATCGTGCTCATCATCAGGTCGATCTCTGTCTCGGTCCAGTAATCCCCAAACTACCTCTCTGTCCAGGGACTCAGTTTCCACGGTCTCGTCCATGGCTCTTTCCTCTTCTGACTCTGGATGCTCCTCTTCCATTGCCTCTTCATAGTTTTCCACCTTCACGCTGCGGATGAAGATGTCCTCGTCATCGGAAAAGTTTTCGTTTTCTGATTCTCCACCTTCGTAGAGCTCGACTCCAAGTCGCGCGATTCTTGCCTCTCTTGATTCTCTCCGTGCTTGTCTGCGTCTTGCTCGATCTCTTCGTTCTCCTTCTTGTTTCAAGATTGCTCTCACTTGACGCACCATGTTGCGATGATACTCCGCCAGGTACTTGTACTTGTAGACCTTGTAGGCCAAAACCACCACCAGCATGAGCATTGCCATGATGACAAAGACCAACATGTAGACCATTGCTTCTGCTGATGTGCTCGGCCTCGATGGTTCGATCATCACCAAACCTCCTTCATCTGCCAGGCTCAAGGCTTCTCCAACATCCGCAAGCAATGCTGCCAGTGTCAATCTCATCAATTTCTTCGCGACCTTGTTCATCAAAGTGCTGGTCTGTTGTTCTCCAGCTTCAGCCACCTCGTGATGGATGACTGCTCTGATGCTTCGAAGTTGTTCTCTCTTTTCCTTCTTCGCCTTCTCCTCCAGGAACTCCTTTACTCCAAGGTCTCCATCTTCGTTGTTGTAGTTGATGAGGTACAAGAGCAACTTGACTCGCTTCCCTGACAAAACCTTCGTTCCAATGTCCGACGGGTTCGTCATGGTGTCGATCTTCCTGAGCTGGAAGTCCCGTCCTTGTCGCTGTTGTACCCAAAGTAGTTTGCCTGAAAGGTGTTTGATCTTGGACACACCTTCCTTGCTTGCAATTGCCACCGCGGAAGTGTTGTCCGCGTACAACTTCATCTCCACATTGGGCCCAACCAAATGCTCCAAAACTGCCTTCAAAAGTAGGCCCTCACTTGCTCCAGAAACCAATGCCACGTACTCGGACTCAGTGCTGCTCAAGGTGATGTTTCGTTGGGTGCGGCTGTATGAGTACACCCAATTTCCTCCAACAAACACGCATCCGCTGCTCGTTGAAGACCTCGATGATTTGTTGCCGCTCCAATCTGAGTCGGTAGCCACCTCGAGTAGCCAACATTGCTTGTTCTCCTCGTACTCTGGTACTGCTGCAAGTCCGTGGGCTTTCTGTCTGAAGCTCCTCGAAGGATTGTTCCCGTCCATGACCAAGTGGTAGTCCTTGGTGTAGAGCATGTAGCCAATCACGTTGAGTAGAGTGGCCATTGCACCTCGTGTAGGGCTCGAAAGTTTTGATGCCAACTCCTTCACATGGAACTGTATATCTGGACGATCACCAGCCAAGTAAAGTAGCGTTCCAACTCCACTCCGGAATCTGCCAATCTCCTCTGCAGTCTCCAAGGGTTTCTCATCCAACACCACCTCATTCAAAGTTCTCCTCAGCTTCACACCCTCAAAGAGTGAGACAAGGCCATCCAGGTACTTGTCGTTGACCTGGATCTTCGTGGTGCCATCCTCTGAAGTCACAGTCCTCTTGAGAAAGCTCACCTGGTCGCCCATCTCCACAGAAACCTTGTAGCTCTCTTCCAACTTCTGCAACAAAGAGCTCATTGCTTCCTCGGTGCCGGTGACAATGAGGTCGTCCACGTGAATCAGCAACGCAATGGTGTGCATGTCATTGCTCCAAACTGTAGGGGCTTCTGCACACTGTTTCAGTCCAGCTCCCTGCAAAGTGCCTTTGAGATGCTGGAACCACTCAGAAGCTCCTTCTCGTTGACCTGGAAGAACGCGGCCTAGTAGCCAGTCTCGAGGGATCTGCAGCGCCTCAGCAACCTCTTTGTCCACAGTGACTCGAATGTTCTTCTTCTGCGGGCACATGAGGTAGGCGTCTTTCACGTCCAAAGTTGCCAGCTTCCATCCTTTCAGCCGTGCAATGCATGGTATCAATCTCAACAAGCTCTGTCCTCCAGCGGGTGCAAACGTGTCAGTGCGGTTGGGGTTGATCCATGCGTAGTCTCTAGCAACAAGACGTGCTCTCCTTTGCCACTGGTTGTCCCTCCATCTCCAATCCATCACAAACCTCGTGCTGAGTTTCTCTGCCGTCTCCAGGTCAGCTCCTTCTGCACTCACCAGAACTCCCATGTCCACCAAACGCTTGATCTCAGTCTCGATTGACTTGGCTTCGACTTCAAAGAGTTCATCTGGACCAAGGTCTGGCGGTTGATCTGGTAGTTCCAAGTCGGCATCTCCATCTTCCAAAAGCTCTCCTGCAACGACCATCCTCACTTGTGGTTCTCCATCAGGTTGTGGTTGATTCGAACCTGATGCTGCTGATGCTGAAGCGGGTTCACCTCGTTCTCCAAGACGTGGTGTCTTCCTTGCCATGGAAGACTTCAGTGCTTTGCTCGGGCTTTGTACTTCTTCTTCAACTGGTTCACCACCACGCTTGGGAGAGATGTCCACTCCACCACTGTAGAAGTTGTCCTCCCTGATGTTGTCCAAGAGGTCTTGTAAAACTGTATCATCAGCCACTGACCCGGGTGCCATAGATGTCGAGTGTGAAGATTGAGCACCTTCTGCACTGGAACTTGGATCCGATGCGGCCTCATCAGTCGAAGGCCCTGCCTGCCTCTGATCTCCTCCATCAGGGGCTGGCTCAGCTCGTCCACGTTGTTGTTGAGCTTGACGTCGTTCATCTTGGCGTTCAGCTCGTTCTTCAGCTCGAACTGCAGGTGCCATCTGTAAGGGCAATGGTGTGCTTGGAGCCTTTGCCAACAAAGCTGATTGTTTCACGCCGATCTGGCCGTAAGAGATGCTCCATGGCCAAGCCCTCACATTGGCCAAAGTCTCCGCATCATAGGGCACTGGCATGCGCCTGATCGTGCGGGTCCACCTAAGCCCGTCAGGCACAAAGACAAGGTGAAAGTCTGCCCTGTCCGTCTTTCCAACCCAAACTCCAACTTGAAATCGATCTGCACCATTGGGACCTGGAAGGCGAGCAAGAACTCGTTCACCAAAGTTTGCAAGCTTGCCCACATAGCGCCTTCCAGTGTTCATTTCATAGGCAGTGGGTGATCCATTCTGGCGACGGAAGTGTGAGAGTAGCCAGGCCGCATGGCGAAATGCCCATTGAGCTAAAGGTCCATAAACGTCAACCTCAGCTTGTGCTCCTTCTCGAACTGACCTGATCAAAGTCCTGGCAAGTCCTCTCACTGTCTGGATCTCCCGCTCGACTCTTCCGTTGGCCTGAGAGTCTTCTGGACCAACCAATTCCACCACCGTCTTGAAACCAAGTTTCTGTCGGGCTTTGGAGACAATGTCCAGCAAAAGTCGGGTTGCTGGTTCTGCATCAGCCTTGAGGATGCAGGTGCTAAAACCACATGCACTGATGTACCTGACAATCTGCTCGGCCAAGTACTTCGCGTGAGATCTGCCTTTGCCCGGAACTGGAAGAGCTAGAACTCCTCTCGACCAATCATCTGTCACCACCAAAGAAACTCCTCCTCTGATGTCTCCGCCATAGAGCCTCAGATCTTCTTTGTCTGCTTCCGTGGGTTCAGTCAGTCCACGGGTGAAGCAGTAATCCATACTGATCACTGGGAACTCAGATTTGCCTTCCATTCGAAGATCGTCTTCAGCTCGACGACGGTGAGGATCAGCTTTGCCTCGAGCAGCCACGCATTGCATGCACCAATCTTCAATAGGCCAATGCGTCAGCTCGTGGATCTGTCTCTCCGCTTTGGTGGGCAATCTGGGAATTGATTGTGGCCTCACACCATCTCCACCTTCTGCAAACTTCCTCCTCTCAAATTCTCTCCTCGCCAGCTCAGCACCAAGAGTTTCGGCAAAATGCCTGTGGTGCTCAGAAAGCCTCTGCCAAGCTTGGGCTTTGCTTCTGCCCTTTGGCAAACCACACAGCCTCAATCCTTCACGGAGTTTCCTCAAGCTTGACTTCATCGAATACTTTTCTCCATCGATGTCAATCTCCTCCACAACCTCTTCATCACCAACCTGTACTGCTTGTCGGCGACGAAAGGGTGCTTGTCGGCGACGAAAGGGGTCATCATCGACTGCCTCTGGCTGCTGGCCCATGTCCTCATCTGCATCGTCCACCTCATAGACTCCATCTTCAAGGCTTCGACCAAACCAACCAAAGCCCTGCTGCTCCCGTTGTCGATCTCCACCATCTTGTTGTTCGCGAAGTCGAGGTTGTAGGAATGGGTCATCAGCGCCAGTGTGAATGATTCCAACTTCGTTCACATCTTCCATGGCTTGGTGGAAGAAGAAAATGGCAGTGGTCTCAACTCCATTGCACTCCTCAATCTCGTTCTCTTCCAAACTTCTCTCTGCCACTTCCACAACTTCCCAAATTCCATCCTTCTGGATAGCTGTCGACCTGAAAGGGAAATCATTCCTGTTGAATTGCGGATAGCAGTCTTTGTAGTTCTTGGTGTTGTTGACCACCAAGAAGGGAACACGGCGGTTGAGGGACAAATGCCATCCTGGAACTGTGATCATGCTGCGCATCATCCCATCGAAAGTCATGGTGACAACCCTGACATTCACCAACTTGTTGCCCTCTGCAGTGATTGCTCGGATCTTCGCCTGAGCTACCAGAGAGTTGTGCCGGCTCTGCACCACCATGCTGAAGTCCCCAAAGCTCAAATGAACTTCTCCATCATGACCTTCTACCTTCCATCCTCTCTTCAAGAGTTTTCCAAGCGCTAGCAACGGTTCTGAGACATTCGAAAGTGCAAACGTCTCCTTGATGGACACGACAGTCCCATCTACACCAACCAATTCAACCAAAGCTTCACGAAGAGCTCCTCCTTGCATGATGTTTCCCTGCGCATCACGCAGGACACTTTTCCTGCTCAAAGCAAGACCAACCTTCTCGTACTCCAAAGGCAACACTGACATGTCTGCGCCACTGTCCAAGATGACTGGCATGGTGCCATTTAAGGTGATCTTTCGAACGTTCACCTGATCAACTGCTGGTAGCCTCAAACCACCAAGCTGCTTCTCCCTGTTGTTCTGCTGGTCGCCCTCTGCAAACTTCGCGAAATAGGCGGGATCACCACAGTCACTTTCCTCGCAGATGCACCAGTCTCCATCACTGTCACTGTAAGTGAGGTCATAGGTCTCGTTGGCCTCAATGACCCTGACAAAGGGCTCTTCCATGGGCTCGTCGAACTCACTCAAGTCGACTTGGATGATTCTCCTCACAGTCGATTGCGGTGATGCCTGAGCGGTCTGGTTGCCTGACCCGCTAGACACCATTGACTGCGTTGCAACCGTAGATCCACCTTCTGCCACTTGACGAAGGTTGCGCACTGGGCATTCACGGCTCCAATGTCCACGACCTTCACAAAGCTTGCAAGTGTCAGCTGGAACTGAACTCTTTCCACGTCCAGCACCTCCAGCCTTTCCTTGTTTTCCATTGTCCTTGCCCTTGCCCTTGTCTTTGCTTTTCGACTTGCCGCCATCATACTTCTGTGACTTGCCTTTGCTGCCCTTGAAGTCTTTTCCTTTTGATTTTCCTTTCTTGCCCTTCTCTTTGCCCTTGGCTCCTTTCACGCGGTCGATGTCCATGGGTGCAGGTCCACCATCATCTGAAGGTCTCGAATTTCCCAACGCCATTGCTTCTGTCCACTTGATGTTCGCCCGGTCATACTGTAAAATCATCTCGCGCAAAGCCTCATAGGTTGCATCTTCTCGAAGCGAAACATTGATGTGCATCCTCAACTGGCCCGTGATGCACCTCAACAAGATTGCAAACTTCATCTCGGACGCCAGGGCCTGTGCTGAGATCTTGTCATACTCCCGGAAGGCCTCTTCTAGTTTCACGATCTGACTCAAAAGCGATGCCTTCATGTCAAACTCCTTCCATCCCATCACGGCGTTCAAGATCCCAAGGCTCCTGTTCCTCGAAGTGGGCTGACATTGCTTCAGTAGTTGTCGAAGCGCCTCATAGCCGTTATTGTCGGCTACCCCACGAAGAACAGTCAACAAGCGTCCACGAAGAAGCGCTGCCAAAAGACCATAGAGGAACATTGATCTCCTCTTCTCGTCGTCACCCATCAAACTTGGATCCTGGAAGACTTCTGTATGGTTTTCTATGTATCTCACTTCGGTTTCATACTGATGATCCAACGTGCACAAATATTGGTTGACTCCCCAAAACCATTCCCGCCACTGGGAAATCTCCTGGTCATAGTCCTTGGGGTCGAAGATGCTTGGCTTTGGGAGCAACTTGAACCAATCTGTTGCCTTTGAAGATGACGAAGTTCCACTTTCAGCTTGCTGTCGAAAGAACTGCACGGCCAGAGCTGTCGACGTAGCTGCCTGTGCTGCCGCTTCTGCTGCTTGGAGGATTCGGGCTGCCATCTCGTTTCCATCCATTGCTTGACCTGCCATTGAGCTCGTTGGTGGTGTCCCTTGGGGACTCAAATGTCCACCATCAGAGGTTGTTGCCATTGAGGTCCTCTTTCTCGCTCCTCCAAGGGATCACCACGTTGTACCCCAAGTTGTAGGCCCTGGGCTCCTTAGAGCTCCGCTGCCATGTTCGGCAACGGTGCAAGTGCGGACGCACCCAATTGTTTTCCACCTGGGCCAAGAAGCCTCGGTATTGTCCTGAATGTTCATGCGTGTCGCATGTGAATTGAAACTGAACATATATGGTGTTCTCTGCAGGATGCTAGTGCAACATATATTCTATCCCATCATAGTATGTCATGCAAGTCATACCCTTTTGTGTGTGGGCCTCATCTAGAACTGCTGGGCTCTCATACACAATACGCGTGTGGAGGAAAGGGCCACCACATGGCACCACTTTTTGTGACCCAAGCTTCCGATGCAGGTGAGCCGCGTTCCTGGTGTGCACCGGTCCACATCGTACCTCTTCAGAATGGCAGCATGCCACCCTGCTGCACGTGTCACAGAACAGATGCATTGCTGGATGTTGCTGGAGTGTTATTCAGGGAAAAAACCAGAGAGGGAAAGAGGAGAAGAACAGAGAAAAAGAAAATGAAAGAAAATGCCAGTGGCAGGCGCACATCTGAGCGCAAAGTTCGATGCTACGAGGCATTTCTCCCACTGGAACCTGCAACACTCACAGATGCAGATTTGGCTTAGCCGCACCTTTCGTCCTTTCTCTGCTGTCTTCTTTCACAGTCTGAGGGATCAATAGACTTTCCATAGACTTCCCCTTGTCTTACGTTCTGGGGCAGTGAATCCTTCGCAAGCCAAAAAAGCTGCAGAGTCAATACGCTCACTGATCATCACTGATCTCATATTGCGCATGCCAAAGATTTCGATCTGGAGCGCACATGTTCGGGAAGCTCTTGAAGGCGGATAGACTGGTCCACAGCATATTCACAAAGGTCTCCAACAGCCACCTGGCTGAAACACGTCTAAGCCCCTTGGTGATGCTCCAGAGATATGGACATAAGGAGTGGTGCTTCCAAATGCCATGGAGGCAGACTTGAAAACAAACATCTCAAAGATTGACTTTAAAAGAGCTGGGATATACAGAAATAATTTGAAGAGTGATGCAATTCTCGGCGTGTTGAATTCATTCCGTGCTCTGCGCGTTGAGATGTCCAAATTGCTTGAGTGACGAAGGAATTTGGAGGGCACTTCTCCATTTGCCTGAGGTCGCTCTGCAGCGCACTAGGCATATTCTTAAATTAAAGCAAACAACAGAGGGTTGGTTTGGCTTTTGCAGTGATCCAGTTTGTCTGGATCTAGTGACTCTAGTGACTGATATCCTCAAATCACGATGCTCACTCCCAGCAAACTCCCATCTTTCATCGGCACTTGCACAGGAAGTGCGCATGAGGTGTTCCTATCTCGTCACACCCTGAGCTTCTGACCCAGCACGGAAGGCGTTTCCCTTACAGCTGGAAGGAATGTGCGCCGCTGTGAATCCAGTCTCCACAGTCACCTGCTGAAATAAGAAAAAAAAACATGCCACATGCCAATTATCATTAAGGGCTGTAAAACGGACAAGCCCTTCGAAGAGCATGAACATGTGCTTGTGTCCATGTCTGAGTCTGTGTGTTCATCTTCATTCATCTGTGCATGTTTGGGGTAATTGTGCCTCTTCCACGTTCTCACAGTTGCTGCACTTCAGCACCACCTTGCGAACCTCTGCCGATCATACGTCTGAAGCTGGCAGTTTGTTTTTTTTTAATACTTGCTTTACCTGCCTAGCACATCCGGACCTAGAGAGTCTTCAGATTGACTACACAGCACCTTGTCACGGGGAGTCTTCACAGATGCCACAATGCCCTGAATCACAACCAATTTCTCCACCTGCGATGCTGGTACAAAAATCAAAGAGCACAGAGGAGTGCAAAGTTGAAATCATCTACCCTCTGGTAATTTAACATAGCTATTGAAAATCACCATTTTTAATGGGAAGATCCACTAAAAATAGCCATTTTCAATAGCTATGTTAGTCATTACCAGAGGGTAACACTTTGACACAGAATGCACAAGGAGATCCACACCTGGTCAGACGTCAACTCCCGGATCCTGGCAGGATTCCAATTGGATGGCATGAACAGCTTCCGCTGAACTGAGTCGCAAACATCTTCGGCTTTGTTGATCCCAGAGTTCCTCATCCGTTTCACAGCGTTTCAATGTTTGGGTGGCGGATGGCAAAATCATTCCAACAGTTGGTCCCAACATATCCCATATAGCCCAGCATTTTTCAAGGTGGTCGATGGTCGTCTGAGCTTCCCACCATCCAGGTTGGCATCGGTCTTGAAAGCCAGCTGCATCAAAGGCACCTTCTGAGGCATGTCCTGGTCATCCTTGTGGAAGAACTCCCTGTACAAGTCCTGGAGGCTCGAAACTGAGGGCGTGCAACGACACCAAATACATCAGTTACATATGAAGTCAGTTGGCATACAGAAGTTGTATCTGCACACTAAATATACCATCTTTCGCACACATCGTTGAACCACGAGGACTAACCGAGAGCACTCGCCAAGCTCCGCCTGCAGCGCTCCCTCACAAAGCTTCACAAACTCTGTGGGTCCTTTGGGACAGCTGTCCAGATTGACACAAGCACAAGCAACAGTTGAAGCAGCTTTCGTCGCACGTTGCAGTGCTGGGGCCGACTGGGGCCCCTGCTGTTCACCAGGTTGTGGTGCAAGATGGTACCGTCCTGATGTTCAGCCACTGATTCTCTTTTATTTCTGCTACATTGTGGCTGGGAAATTGCTTTCATTTGCATTTGCCACGAGATGGGCCGGATTTCAAAACGAAGTGCGGGGATTTTCAGCCCTGCCCCGCGCGGCTTGACAAGGACAACTAGCAGAATTGAAGTGAGGGGTTGGAGATGGTTCGAGGCCTCGCTATCCGTGCTAAAGTCGTTCAAGCTCACCTGCACGGGCATGATGGATGGGTGCGAAGACTGGACGCATACCTCAAACATCCTCAAACTGGGCGAGCACTGGAGCACACTTGACAAGGATGCAGTGTGAACGGCCCAGAGCGCTCTTTTTTTTTCGATGGCAGATTGCAACCTTCACACCGCAGGATCATGGCAGCACTTTCGTGACCTGTGAGGCTTTGGTCAATGGTGATGACCAATGCTCAACAGGCGTACACCATTGGGGCCGGGGTGTTAACTTGAGTAGGGAGACGGTACAAAATCAAAGCATCTCTGGTAAACCGGTACACAAACCATAACAAACCTGGCAAGCGAAAAATCACCATTTGAAGAGGATATTCCTCTGCAATTGGAGCCTCTCCATTGCCATATTATATTACCCTGAGGCTACTCCTCCGTGAACATTGACCCCTTGACAAGCTGCCTCTTTGGATGCAGTCTGACAAAGGTGCTGCCACCTCAGACAAGGCTCACTGGTGCCCACAGGAACTCTCAATTGATTGCAATTTAGAATATACAGTAATTCGGTCCTCACTCACTCTCAATGCATCTCGATGAAAAATATAGATTTTCCATTGCTCATTTATATATATATATGTATATATCATTTATATATCACAAATTATCACTATGGGTTGAAAGAGGAAAAACATGCTCACTTAGCTTCATCAATGCTCCATCTCTGTTGGGATTACCCAATTCTGTGCACCTCCAGTGCGATCAACTCAGGTCAGCACAATGGCCTGCGAAAGAAAGCCCCCAACAAATGCGTCTCCAGCGCCGTTCATGTCGACAATGGTTTCTGGAGGCACCCTAAGTTTGCGTGGCTTGGTGCTGCGTTCAAGACTATCGGACAAATCTGTGACACTATAGGAGCATCGTGCGAACAATGCCACAATTTCGAAATTATGATTTGATGCGTTTGATGTCACAGTATAGGACTTTCTGGAAAGACGTGTTCAGTCGGTGAAACTGCAAAATGTCCACCAGTAGCCAGTAGCTAGCCTTTCTAAGAACACGACATTCCATGTTGATCCATGACACTTCATGTATCTTCATGTTATGTCTGAGGCTCAATGGGACAGGAAAGCACTGGGCATAGCCATCTCCAGTTGCCACCATGGTTGGTTCAGCACCTGCTGTGATGACTGCCATCCCACCAGGTTTCAGCATGGCAGCCAGGCGTTTGATGAGTTCCAATTGGTCCAAATCCGATTCCGAAGCAGTGGCAGCTATGGCAGTCCAGCCCATGAGCGCCGCAAAAGCTCGAAGCTCTCCACAATTTCCAAAGAGAAAGGAGCACTCTGGCAACAACTGCAACAAGGAATCCTTGACTCTCCGCAGAAGTCCGGCTGAGGAGAGATTCAAACACAGCCGTGTCCTGGACGTCGAATTTCTCAGAGCACTCTTTGCCAACGCTTCGGCAGCGGCTATGCGAGGCTGAGAAGTCAGAACAAAAGAGGTGATGTAAACCATGGACGCCTGAGGGAGGCCGAGTCCAAGGCGAAATTGTCTTGAACATGTGAGGAACACATGTATGAACATTACTCTGAGTTGTTCTGAGTAGCCGTACTCACATGGTATGCAGTGTTTGCCCAACCAGCCTCATTCACGAGACAGGAAACACTGGACTTTTCTAGCCACTTTGGATCAAGCTCCGCAGCTGCACCCCTGACCATTGAGAGGGTGCGATCGCGATTTTTACTGTCCACCAATACGCCACAAATACCGGTGTTCTTTTCCACCTGCTTCAGCAATGGCACAACCCCTGCATCAACTAAGGCTTCCTGAATGATCAGTCCCTCCATGTCTCTGCCGATTGCACCAATAAAGGCACCACGCAAGCCCCACCATGACGCAACTCTCAGCGTATTCATACACGCACCACCGGCCACCTTGGCGCTTGGATTCTTCATGGCTAGCTCAACCAGTGCCACCTTCTGCGAATCCTGCAAACCTGTGGCCTCTGTGCCAGGGGACAATCCGAATTCCAGCAAATGGGATCCTAGGTCATCAATCACTGAGATCACGTCGACCGTTGGGTTGCCAAAACCTACAAGAAGCGGAGGTAGCGGTCCAAAAAGACCAGTCCAAGCACTTGCCTCCGGTTGAAGCAGGGATTCCAAAGATTCCAGGCGAAGGTCTGCAAGGGCAAAAACCTCTTCCGCCGCTGGGTCGCCAATCATCCACATCTCCGGAACAGCAACTGTGAAGCAACCAGCAGCCTTTGCTGATTGAACGCCAGATGGAGCATCTTCAAACACCACGCATCGGCTTGCTTCCACTCCCAGAATCTCAGCACAAGCGCTGTACACCTGGTCCCAGTATGGTCCAGTACTGTACGCGTTAAAAAAAAAACTTGAAGTCACAAATAGTTACAGTATGTTACAGTAGCATTTTCAACAAGTGTTCAGTTCACCAAGGGAGTGATTTCATACCGCGTTCATCTACAGCTGATCCTTATGACCCTTGGGTCATCAGGACCTCCGGGTCAGGCTTTCCCTTCAGTTGCTGGCCACTGCGAGGATCAATGGCTCCAACAACCTGAACCTGGCACCGGTGGCGCCGGTGATCCTCTGATGATTTTGGCCAAATTGCACTTGAGAAACTCCATGAAACGGAATAAACAGGAATCAACAGGAAGAAATGTCATACAAATGCCATACAAATGTCATAGAACATACTACATCATACTATCAGCTTCTCCAGCTTCGTGAACGGGGGGAATATATGATGAATATGTTCCAATCTTCCCACTGCGAGCTGTCAATCAGAGAACCCATATGATCCCACAAGGCCTTCAGAGCTTGTAATAGCTCAGCCAGCTCCACTCTGAGATCCATCAAGGCTTGCAGGCCATCACCTCTCGATGGGCCCTGCTCCCACTGGGATTACAACTACCCACAACATCCCACAACTACCATAGGTTACCATAACCAGGCTTCAGTAGGGCCAGTCTAACTAGCAGTTGCTTCTCTTTTTGGACATCTTTGAGTGGTGATACACAAAGGTGAAGGGTGTACTATGGGGCACGCCATGGCCCGACCTTTGCGGCTGGTGCATAGGGCCAGGGGAATCTGCAGGGATTGCAAGCGCTGTATCAAGGCAACAGCACCTGCTTTGATTGCCAGACCTCACCAGAGCACAGTGCTCTGCAAAGAAATTGCCTTCGGGAACTATGGTGAAATCTCCCGAACTTTGAGGCTTCCATTGGGTTGGCATGGTTTGATCTTGCCCAAAATGGACAAGCCGGAGCCATATCAGAGCCAAGCAACGTTCTCCTACGTAGTCGTTGTACCTCGCAGCATATGTTTCCATGCATTTCCTTGTATTGAATCTGGGGCAAGATTCCAGTTTCCTGCATTTCAATGGAAAGAGGCTGCAACGGCCACTACAGCTGAGAATCAGAGCCGTTGAAACAATGCGGGAGAAACACACTTGAAACATCTTGAACCAACCTCAGATATCACTCCGCAAGTCTTTCACCTTGCCAATCAACATGCCTTGAGCACAGCAATTGTTGCTTTTGTAACAATGTCCAAAGTTCAAACTGATCAACGAGGTACCCCACAATCCAATGGTTCGTCATCTTTTGCATTCAGATTGCCATAGGTTTTCTGGACAAACCCTGATGAGATACCAGTGATACCCATCTAAATCATTCAATAAATGTCGATAATATCAGAAATTTGGTGATGTCCCCTTTTTCAAAGGTTAAAATATGTCGACATCAGCACGTGGCATCCCCATTTTGGTGACCCATAGATGCCAAGCGGCTCTGGCGAGGTCAGTCTTGGTGGCAGCCACTGGAGCAGCTCGGCCTTCCTCTGCGCAGAGACCTGGTGTGACGTAGTGTGACGTATGTTTAATCAATCATGTTCAAAGAAATCGTTGATGTGTGCATGAGGCAAAGTTTCGAAACGTTGTCAAATATATATTATATATGATACAGGCCTGCAACCTCACCCCCCCGGTCATGGTCATGGTTCCCTACCCCCCCTGTGGGAATGGGGGGGTCTCTCCCTCCCCCCGTGGGAATGGGGGGGTCTCTTATATGTATGTATATAAAAAATATATGTATATATGTATGTATGTATGTATGGATGGATGGATGGATGTATGGATGTATGGATGTATGTATGGATGTATGTATGTATGTATGTATGTATGTATGTATGGATGTAGACATGTAGGCATGTAGGTATGTAGACATGCAGGCATGCATGCATGCATGCATGTATGTATGGATGGATGTATACATGTATGCATGTATGCATGTATGCATGCATGCATGCATGTGTGCATGTATGCATGTATGCATGCATGCATGTGTGCATGTGTGCATGTGTGCATGTGTGCATGTATGCATGTATGTATGCATGCATGCATTGCATGCATGCATGCATGTATGTATGTATGTGTGTGTTTATGTATGTATCTGTGTATGTATTGTATGTATTGTATGTATTGTATGTATTGTATGTATTGTATGTATTGTATGTATTGTATGTATTGTATGTATTGTATGTATTGTATGCATTGTATGTATTGTATGTATTGTATGTATTGTATGTGTTGTATGTGTTGTATGTGTTGGATGTGTTGCATGTGTTGTATGTATTGTATGTATTGTATGTATTGTATGTATTGTATGTATTGTATGCATGGTATGTATGGTATGTATGGTATGTATGGCATGTATGG